GCGGGCGGTGGATGACAGAGTCGAGGTAGAGCTTCATGTGTTCTTGGAAGTCTTGGTGGGCACGGTCTGTCCAGCGTTCGAGGGAGGGGATGTTGTGGACGTCTACTTCTTCGACGTAGTGGTTCATGTTTTCGATTAGGAGGATGTGGTAGTTAAGGACTTCTTTGTCTTCGGGATCTCCGGCGCCGCCGGTGGCGACGCCTGGGGGTTGGCCGGGGGCTTCCTTGGCAATGAATTTGAGGGACTCCCACATTGCGCGGTTGATGCGGTCGTAGGCGTCGTTGACGCTGACGCGGATGTCGCACATTTCGCCGGATGGGCCTGAGAGCATTGTTTCGACTGCGTTGGAGAAGTTGGGGAATACCCGCATGAAGGAGATTACTCCCTTTCTCTTGTTCACCTTGACTTTGGTGTCTTCGATACCTCGGATCTGTTCATCGACGAATCGGTTGAACAACCCCATCAGGCGAGAGTGGATCTTTTGTAGCGAGTGAAGGATGAACTCTTGATTTGTGTCATCAAAGTCGGCCATGGAGGTCTCCAAAGCGTAGAGGATACCGATTCCTTGGAGAGGATCAGCCTGCATCGCCCAATCCACAAGGCTCTGCATGTCATTGGGCCAGAAGGAATAGATCTCGTCCATGATCTGTTCCACTCGCTTCGCCATCCCACGATCAGGGTCGTGCGACTGGCTGGCAGAGAAGTCGGGACACGTTCGGCGTTCCGGAGTTGATGATGACACTAGATCAGAGAACTCGGCGCTGGAAAGAGAATCGAGGTGGAAGAATTGAACAATGAAGTTCTGTTCCTGAGCCATCATTTTCAGTGTCTCACGCAATGTACCCGAAAAGGCCTCGCATGGCTCAACCCTGCCTTGCTTCTTCTCGTCGGACGCCATACGGAGACCAGCGGCGGCTCGTACTGTCTTGCCTCGTCGCACGGTCAATTTCCGCGCGGCCATAGTAATACCCTCAGTTTCCTTCTCCTTCTCTTGGTGGGTAAAGAGTAGTTCCTGTTCATCTCCAGTGGGCTTGCGAGCGATTTTCTTCCAAGCCAGGTTGTTGTCCCGGAAGTCACCCTGGTACGAAGGCTTGGACTGTTGCTCGTAGAGGCCGACCAGACCATGCCATTCTGCCATGCTAACTTCTTTAGCAAAGAGCATCAGGGCATTGTACTTCCAGATCTCTTGACGGAAGTGGCCACGTGCGACAGTGTCAAGCTTCATTGCATCCTTGGCACCATTTGCCGTCGAATCGGCTCGTTTTTGTTCTGCCATCTTGAAAGCCATAGCCATGAATTGCTTCAGACGCTGGAGGAAAACTAGGGCAGTAGAGCGGTATTCTTCCTTCTTTTGTTTGATTGCACGCATTTGGCCAATCTCAGTATCGGCATAGACACCGACGCTGGAGTCTACCTGACGCTTCTTGTTTTGACCAATGTCGGAGTCGATCATGAGCATGGCCTTGTACAAGGTCGACAGAGCGTTTTCACTGTCCTTGAGACCATCGAGGTTGCTCAATGAAGCCTCCTTAAGTGGTCTTAGCTCAGACGAAGAGATTGAGAGAGTCTTCAATAGGTTTTGGAGTTCGTTCTGAAGAAGCTTCTGATTGGCTGTCTGTACCTGCAGGCCTTGGCCTTGAGCTTCAATGTACGCCACATCTTCGTGGAGAGTCTGTCATAATTTCTCGTTAGCGGATTGATGATCAATTCCAAATTCTCCAAACCCAAACTCACGTTCAACTCATGGGAGTAAAGGGTCAATAGTCCATCAAGCTCATCACACTCCTCAATAGTTCTGTCGATAAGACTGGCAAGTTGCTCAACCTTTCCTTCCTGCTGTTCAAGATTGCCAAGCCAGCTGGTGGCCTCGACGCGGCCAATTTCACGACGAACATCTGCTTCCAGATCCTCAATCTTCTGCTCATCGGCCAACCGGCCGTTCCATCCCAGATCGGAAAGGATATCATCAAAGTCAATACCGCGTCCATCAAGAACTCCCGAATCGATTCCAAGGGCCTGGCAATATTTCAATGTATTGTCCACACGACGTCTGCGACGAGGTCCTTGGCCAGATGGAGATGGTGTTCTCGAGCGGTTCTCAACCAGCACAACATCCGTGAGAGTGTTCTTGGACGAGTCAGGGATCTGTACAGGGGGCACCGTAGGAGCAACTGGAGCTTCATCAAGCTGTGGTTCTGTGATCTCCACAGTTGGTGTTTCAGGTCCAGAGGGTGGCTGCTGCAGATCCTTGTCGGATTTCTCTGATTTCTCTGCCACTGGACTTTGGGGAGGATCAGTCGCAGACCGGGTAAGCGAGGGAGCCGGAACAACGCCGGTGATACCATCGGGTCCGGCTTCCTCAGCTTGTGACTTCTTTGCGGCTGCCAGCAGTCGCTCACCAGCACCACCAGGTCTAGGTTTGAAACCACCGTAAGCATTTGCGGCTTTTCTGAATGCACCTGCAATGTCTTTGCCTGACTTCTTCTTGATCATGGGACCGAGGCCTGGACGATGTGGGTCGAGCTCTCCAGGTTCTCCCACCGAGGCAGAATTGGGCTCAGATGAGGGTTCCTCTATAGGAGAGATTACTGTAGGGGTGGTTTCAGCAGGGCTAATTTCTTTAGCAGACTCAACGGGCTGAACAGGTTGAGCAGGCTCCTCTGATGCCATATTGGCAGCGTATAAAGCAGCCGGTTCCGCGACCAGGTCCTCGATTCCGGGTGAGTAAGAGGCTTCTCGCGACTCTAGTTGGTCTGCAACTGATAGGCTCTCTGGCACACTTCTTTCTTGAGGCAAGGGCGGTTGATTCAATGGAGACGGTTTATCACCACCATCGCGTTGCGGTGACCTTTGCCCGAAGCTGCTAACTGGGCTTGGGACTGCATCCCGACTGTCGCCGGCGGAGGCAGGTGTAATGGGACGAAGTCCATCGGTGCTGCGCACCAACTCTGGGGACTTGTCTGAAGGACCTTGGGTGGCAAAAGCTGGAGGCTTGGGACCGTGATCCTGACTGCGGGAGGAGGCTGGTCGTAGTGAATCTGGAATCCCGCTATGGCTAGAACCGGGAGGGGTATCTTTGCCTTTTGTGTCTGAGGCGAGACGCTCGGTTGCGCGTGGGGGAGGTTGCAACTCTTGAGGGCCCGATGGAGACGCTTTGGGCAGGTCGAAGGGTGATGGTGCCGGTTTTCCATGGCCGGTCGACGGCCGAGAACCTGTAGATGGTCGGGACATCTGCTCGCGGCTCTTTTGTGCACGAGGGATGGGATCTTCAGAAGGCTTCCTTCGGGGTAGTTCTCGCGGTGCATCGCGACCAGGATCACGACCTCGGTATGACGGTTGTAGTGAAGGTGGCACTGCACCCTCCGCAGGACTTGCCCCAGCTCCTCTTGACGGGGGACCGCTCGACGGCCCTGACTGTCCAGGTTGTCCCGGCCCTAACAGTTGTTGGCGCTCCCTTTCATCGAAGCCGATGAGGTTTGGGACTCTTCCATTGGTGTATTTCTTGAAGATCTTGACCAAGCTTCCAATAAAGAACTCCTTCTCCTTGGAGGTTCTGGCATGCCAGTAGTAAGGCTTTCCTATCGTGACTGTGAATCCAACGTGTCCAGCCCATTCCTTCTGTTGTTGTTCTGTTGGTGATTGGGGGACGAAGGCGGAAAATGATTGGATCGCAGTTAAGTCGTCGAGCATCCAGGTCTTTCCAATTGAGAAAGATCCATCGTTGTTCTCACGAGCTTTGTGCATACGAACCCGACCTGACCTTCGCACCGAAACGATGATGACACGAGGTTTCTTGTTCTCCGGTGCTGCGTTTGGCGGGGAAGGACTGGAGGGGTGGGCTGCATCCTCGACGATGCGGACGTGGGTGATGTAGGACTCGACCACTATAAGTAAAGCAGTTAGCAGCAGTCCAAAGGACCAAAAGTGGCAACTCGGTTCGGAATCTATCATCGAGGCATGTTGAGCGGCGATGCGACTTGTCCGGACGAATTGTACGTCACTTTCGCCATGCGTCGCTCAAGCAGCTCCTGGCTAGAACCAGGGATGTGTTGTAAAAACCAAAGAAAGTCGTTTCTCAGGATACGTACAGGTACCGTCAGCGTCCTTCTTTGCATAGCAACTATGGATGATGCGCTTCTTCTCGTCGTCGAAATGGTCCGCTTTTGACAGGTTGCTATCACTTGGGCTTACACGCGGATCAGGCCCGCGATTTGGCGGAGGTCCGCGGGGACGGTCTCGGCCGTTCATTGTGTCGTGGAGGGACACGGAGCTCACTGGTGGGTAGCGTCGAGATCAAGGGGACATGGTCCGGAGGGTCGGGATCCACACCACGCGCCGAGGGAATTGAGATCCGCTGAGTGACAATGCAGGTGAGCCGGTAAGGTAGAACAAAGTGAAAAGCACTTGCGGTGGGCGCTCTGGGGTAATGCGAGACAGTGCCGAGCTCATCTGTTTGGGGTGGGCGTAGGGCGGAGAGCTTGGCGCGGGTTATCGAGTTGATCCGGCGCCCAACCTCAGGTATGCAACCTCCATAGACAGTGACGACTTCAATGTGACCGAGTAAAAACAATAGAATTCTTCTTTTCATATCTCAAAATGATGTTACATGTAGGTTCCCGAGGCACGTTAAGTTACCTGCTGCATGTTGGCCTTATTTATCAGGCCGAGTTATTTGTCAAAATTGACTTGAATTGCATATATATGATATTCCTCAGTTGAGTATCTTGTTAGGCGATTGTCTTTTCTATTCATCTAAATAAGGGTGAATCACTCTCAATGCTCTACAACTCCCAGTTCGCTCAAGAGTATAGTCCTTGCCGTTGAATCCACGTGAAAGGCTAGACTGTTACCGCCCTGGATCGCCAATCACCGTGATGCCATTCCTCACCGCCTCCTATACTTTTTTCTTTTCTTTTTTTTTTTTTGGTTCCTGGCGAAAGTTCATCATATATAGTCCTCCGTTTGACCTTTTCTTTGCGTTGATCCGGTATTCTGTCGTTATGGCTAAAAGTTCAGTCAAGGCTTCGGCCAAGGTATGTTACTCATTTGAACAATCTGCAGAATCGATCTGACAATGCCTTCCTCAGTCTCCCAAGAGCGTAAACACTGTTCCTCCCCAGTTGATCGCCTCGGTTGCTGCTTTCCTCGCCGAGAACTTCCCTCAGACCGCCGCCACTTTCAACAAGGAATTGGTCAAATCGGGCAACAAGACTGATAACAAGAATGTTGCTTCCCTGCTCGACCTCTTCCAGGCCTCTGCCGTGAAGAAGGCTGCCTCGACCAGCCCCGACAGCAGCGATAGCGAGTCGGACGTTGAAATGGGAGATGCTAGGTCGTCTTCCTCTTCTTCCTCTTCCTCTTCTTCCTCTTCCTCTTCTTCTTCTTCCTCCTCTTCTTCTTCCTCTTCTTCCTCCAGCTCGGAGAGTTCCAGCTCCGACAGCGACGCCGACGATGAGGACGATGACAAGTCCCCCGCGGCCCCCGTTCCTGCCAAGAAGCCTTCCGGCGTGAAGCGCAAGGCCAAGTCCAGCAGCTCCTCTTCCGACTCCTCTTCTGAGTCTGAGGATGACAGTCCCAAGGCCAAGAAAGCCAAGGTCTCTCCTAAGGAGGCTTCCAAGGACCCTTCTTCGTCCTCGTCTGATTCCTCTTCTTCTTCGGACTCTTCTAGCTCCGACTCCGATTCCTCGAGCTCTTCATCCGACTCCTCTAGCTCTTCATCCGATTCCTCGAGCTCTTCGTCCGACTCCGACTCGTCTGACTCTGATTCATCCGACTCGGAAGATGAGAAGAAATCCAAGGTGGCATTGAAGGATGCAAAGAAGACCCCCTCCCTGAATCCGACTCCAGCGACTCCGACTCTTCATCTGACACCAGCAACACACTCGAAGCTGCCCCCGTCGTTGTCGAGAAGACCGTGAAATTTGAGCAGGCCCCCTCTTCAAGTGCCAGCCCTGCTCCGTTCAACGGCCAAGGCAAGAAGAAGCACACCGGAGCCCGCCCTACGCCTCTGGCTCTGCTGAGTGAACTGCCCCACGACCACCCCTCCAACGACTATATGTCGTACGCGTACGCAGACCGCGCCTTCCAGGACCTTTCCGTGACTCGCGGCAAGGGATTCACCAAGGAGAAGAACAAGAAGAAGCGCGGCTCATACCGCGGCGGCCCCATTGATATCACTGGCGGCAAGTCCTTCAAGTTTGACGACTAAACGACGGATCGTTCTTCGCTTCCCCACATTGCATTGCTATGCCATAATATCTGGTTTATACAGAGCCCTCACTCAGGAAATATGCCACCAAATCCTATGAAGGAATCCCCCCAAGCCTGGCTTCTGTCTTGAAGGGGAACTCACTTTTACTTGGTTACTGCAATGCTCGCAGGAACCATCAACGCTTGCTGCGGTGGATAAATGCTGGAGATAGGTTTTCCATATACCACACGTGTATTTCCCTCATACTTTTCCAATTTCACTCAGCACGGCGCACATGGAGCTTCAGAGAAGGCTGTTGGATCCACATTTTGCTTACTTAGCTTATAATCAAAAGTTTGGGATTCTTTTTCCTCTACAACCCTTCTAGCTTCCGAGTACATACATGCATTTACTAAATCCGTCTAGCCTTATTAAACTCCACGTACAGAGTATGTATCAAATCAACCCAGAACATGCATACAGCAGGGGTCATAAGTCATTTCACACCCCTGCCTTTATATGATCTAGGTGATTAATTCGGGGCACTCAAAAATGGGCAAAAAAGAGGGGAAAAGAGAGGCTAGAGCAGGGGGGAAACAATGCATGAAACGGTACACTCACTACAAGGCTTTCGTAACGAAACTGTCCAATACTTCATAGCACTGTGTACACATTTATAACCCCCTGTTGTAATCACATCCATATCAATCCCTCCTCCTCCAAGCCCCAGCCTCCTCCAAAGGCTTCCACCTCCGATCCCAACCAGTAACAATCTCAAGTCCCTCATCAGAAGAAGGAATCTCCCAAAACGCCCGCTGATTCCTCAACTTAGATGTAATAGTCGTAGTACTATCACTATCTGCATTCGGACGCTCATACCCAGCCAGATCAATCGCATCTCGAGTCACATCAGATGACGGTCCTGGACCGGTATTTAGTCCCAACCCCAGATTATCCTCGTACCACCCCTTCCGCGATCCGGTTAGGTCATCTGTAGATGCGAAATCTAGGCTCACGACTCCGTCGACGATGCCTGCGTACACGGTTGGTGAGGATGGAGATGGTGTAGACATTGTGTAGATTGGACCGCGGTAGTGGAGACGCCGACGGGTTCGGGAGGTGCGTGGGACGGGTGCGGGATTAGAGAGAAAGACTGAGAAGTCCTTTTGTGACTGGAGAGGAGAACCCGTGGCTATTTTATTGGTTGTACTTTTGCCGTTAGGGTTGGGGCCGGGGTTGGGTTGGTTGGTATGCATTTGAGACGGACTGGGTACCTGCGCATCGAGATAGCTGTACGTATTGCACATGCGCATATCGAAGATCTTAACGATGGCTTCGCCGCCAGCTCCGGCTAGGAAGTGGTTGTGTCCGAATGTGTGGAGGCTGTAGATGGGATTGAGGTCTGTTATGTCTTTGTAGGCGACTTCGTAGGGTCGTGGAGAGCGTAGGTCGTGCAGTCGGACCGTGAAGTCGTCCCATGCGGCTAGGAAGACTTCGCCTGGGGGACCGGCGAGGGGGTGGGTGTTGAGAGGTTCGATGGCGCCGATGTTGGCCTTCGTTGATAGGCTTGTGAAGTCGGAGTTTAGGCTGTTGATGCTGACTGTTCGGCAAGGGAAAATGCCGTTAGGTGTGACTTTTGAAATGCATAGGGATTCTTTAATGTCTCCTGTTGATACTGCGACTAGGGATGGGGATAACAGTTTTGAGTATTTGTTTCGTAGCGTGCCGTTTGGGCGGAGCCATGTGAACGGTTCGACTTGTTCTTCGTCTGTTGCTGTGTGGTAGAGGGCGACGGATCCGTTGTCAAAATGAGCTGCCAGAACAGGGTCCGGGTCGTCACTTAGATCTGTGTTGTCGAGTTTTAGTCCATGTGTGAGGAATTTTTTCTTGTAGCTGTGGGTGGCGTCTTTCGGTGAAATTGCAATGTGAACAATGTCACCTCGGATTCGACCAAAAATAAGATGCTCGATATCGGTATCATGGCTGTATTCTGGTCTCGAGGATAGAAGATGCAAGGAAGAGATATCATCATAGCTGCTGACATCCTCAACATCATTGAACATGACCCACTTCTCTTGAGGATGAGCACCAGTTTGCTTGAACCTCATAACCAGCTGGTTGGCAGCACCCCAGGCGAGTACCTCTTTCCTATCAGCCCAGCCTTTACCATTCCACACTTCGTATGAGTCGATCACAGGCCGGTATCCCAAGGTCGGATTGTCTAAACGTGAGACCTCATCACAACCGATCTTGATAGCAGTTCCAGATGGCACAACGAATCGCCCGATGATGGCTTTCCTGTCCAGAGCCCGGGACCGGGAAGTCAGGGCCTGAGCCGCATCTTTCCAATACGGAGGTGTCTTAACAGCCAGAAATCTGCTTTGAACAAAGGCTCGGAAGATCCTCGAGTCTTCGGCGGTGATAATCTTGTTCAGTCGATGACATGTCTGGGCTAGATGGGCCAATGCATTGGCTGTTGGGAGATATGTTGCAATGTGATAGATTATCTCTGAGGGGAGATCGGACAGCATCTTGAAAGCAGGAAGGTGCTATCTGTGAATGAAGTGTTTGGGATTTTAGATCATCCTGGTGTCAGCCCCGCCACTGTCGTGCTTTGGCTTTATGCAAGAGAATAGTTCAGTGTAGGCAACAACGCATAAACAAAGGATCCCATTGGACTAGTGATAAGTATATCGAAAGATGATTTATGCGACAATTGTTGATCGTCTGAGGACATAACTACTGAACAATTTGATAAACAATTGCGGGTTGCTGGCTATGACGTAAGCACATACCGGCCGCCTCCAGGGCTCGCTTGAAAATGATCCTTTTTCGACTAAACAAAGCAATATATGGAGCTGGGTTCATCTTTTTTTAGGTGTTCATTCATTCTCTAAATGCCGGAATAAAATTACATAGTCAACCTAGTCACCTACTGTATATGCATGTGCAGATTGGATGAGACAATTGCGGCCAATGCGCTCTTATACATAGGGGTGATATTTACTCATACCTCCTGATGATGTGGTACTTTGGTCAAAAGGAGAGCGAAGGAAATATGGAATGGATATTTCATCTTATGGACCAGGGTATATACGTATGTCCGGTCAATCAATATTAGCATTTCGGTCGCAACCGTTGACTGTCCCCTTATCTCTTATCACATTCCCGGGGAGGAGTAATAACGCAGTTCTCGTTGGACGCAGCTATTTCTACTATTCGAACTATAACGTGCATGATCCCCTCCTTACATTGTAACTACCTCCAAGCGCGGGACCCAATTACCTAAACCTTGGCCGTCGGCAAAGGTAGAGACGAATCGGAGCGAGTTAAAAGCCGATATTGGGGAGCTAGGTTAATCTTGCAATTAGGGATCACCCTCGGCACCACCTGTAATACACGGATGGGCGTTGGCTAGTCTAGCATTTAGCACCCGTTGTATAGAAGTGCCTTATCTATCCCTCGGGCCTCAACTTTATTCCTCTCCCCTACAGATCATTACCGAGAGCGAAGAGAGACCAGTCCGAGTGGAAGAAGGACAACTCTTTCCTTCTATTCAACATGACTTTGTCAGTTACCACACTGGCCATAACAGGCCTGGTTGTCCTCGTCATCTACAAAGTGATCATATATCCAGCATTTCTATCGCCACTGTCCAAGATCCCCAATGCCCACTGGAGTGCCCCCATCTCCCCAGCATGGATGCTATGGAGGCGATTCACAAGCCGGAACAACAGAACCATACAAGCAGTCCATGAGAAGCTAGGTCCGATTGTCAGACTGGGACCATCCGAGATCTCCATCAACTGCGTCGACGGCGGAATCAAGTCTGTCTACACAGGCGGATTCGAGAAACATGACTGGTATCCACGAGTCTTCGGTTCATTTGGGTTAGTATGAACGTATCCCCCATGCCAGAAAGACGAATGACTCACCAGCCGCAATAGAACAGTGAGCATGTTCACCATGACCGGAAGCAAGGCACACTCAAACCGGAAGAGGATGTTGTCCAACATTTACTCCAAGTCAACCTTGCAGACATCTCCTCATCTGGGGGTCGTGTCCAATGCAGTCGTCTTCGACCGTCTGCTACCGCTTCTCCACGAAGCAGCTTCGTCTGACAAAGCAGTTGATGTGCATGATCTGAACCAAGGGCTGACCATGGACTTCGTCTCATCCTATCTATTCGGTCTGCAGAACGGAACGAATTTCCTACAAGACGAGTCCCTACGGAAACACTGGCTCCATTTGTATATGTGCAGAAAGCCATTTGAGTTCTATGCGCAGGAGGTCCCTTATCTGGATGGCTGGCTGAGATGTGTCGGTCTGCGGGTGGTACCGAAGTACTGTGATGATGCCAATGCAATGCTCGATGCGTGGGCTTTAGACCTGTGCGACAGAGGAGATCAATTGATCGCGTCAACCGAGCCGGGCGTTGAGCCCAGCGTGTACAAGCAGCTGAAACAAGCTCTAGACAAAGATTCCGCAAAGAAGGGCGTCGCGGAAGTGGACAAAGCCCAGCAGCGACTCGATATTGCTTGCGAGATGTATGACCAGCTGACAGCAGGGTTTGAAACCAGCGCGGTTGGTCTCACGTATTTGCTTTGGCAACTTTCCCGGAATCCAGATGTGCAGAATCGACTCCGCAAAGAGCTGTTGTCTCTAAATCCTCGGATCTCCTATCCGAAGTCTGCAGGGCTCCCGTCGGCCAAGGCAATTGATAACCTACCCTTGTTGGAAGCCATTGTGACGGAGACGTTGAGACTCCATGCTCCCATCCCGGGTATCCAGCCCCGAGTGACGCCATCTCCGCCTTGCACTTTGGCTGGGTATGGGGATATTCCGCCTAACATTAGAGTGAATGCTCAAGCTTATTCTCTACACCGCAACCCCGAGGTGTTCCCCGACCCGGAGAGCTGGCAGCCGAAGCGGTGGCTGGTTGAAGAAAACTCAGCTGCTGAGCTGGATGAGAGACGTCGGTGGTTCTGGGCGTTTGGAAGTGGAGGGCGGATGTGTGTTGGGAGTAATCTGGCATTGCAAGGTACGGATTGACGATGAGCCCCAAAAACTCAGGCTAACAGCTGCTCAACAGAAATGAAGTTGGCCGTCGCTGCGATATACACTAATTTCCGCACCATTATTGTCAACGACGACAATATTGAAGCAATCGACGCTTATACCGTCAAGCCACAAGGTGACAAATTGATTCTGAAGTTCGAAGCAATTTGAGAAGAGCAAGACATGCCCCTTATTACCTAGAAATAGCATGAAATAAGAGTATAATCAATTGTTTTGACAGGTAATTCCATATCCCACATAGTTATATACTGTACATATGAGCAAAAAGCCCAACTCCCTTAGCCATAGCCAATGATGCAATAGCCACCCGGAAATCTTTCAAGAGGGGGATCGAGGGGTTGCAAAAAAGTGTATCAAAAGAAACCCAATAACTCCAGATGGACAACTCGCTTCTGCTGCTAAGCCCCCGATGCAATACCGAGAACAATCCGTCCGTAATTAACATTTAACCCAGGACACCGTCCTTCTTGCGCGGGCCGACGACCTTGGGGTACATTCTCATCAGGTGGTAGTTGACGGTGTTCTTCTTCTTTTCCTGGGATTTCTGGATTGTACAAATTGCTTGTTAGTGGGAGAGTTCCGAGGAAGGGCGAAGTTGGGTTGGACATACCGGTGCGTCCATGCACTTGCGCAATTGAGCCTCCAGAGCGGCGCATCCCTCTGCACCATAGCCAGAAGATGCCCAGCAGTCTATTGTAAGGATGTATTATTAGTTACCGTGTATAATTTGTGACAATTCATGTCATGGACCATCCAATTGCGAAGATAGGGCGGTTGGAGACCAACACCACTGGCAGCGCAATGATACTGGTATGAACGTACTCAGCATGGAAGACATCACTGTAACGCAGGGATTCTGCTCATTCTGATTCGGTCGGCGAACACGGAGGTGATTGATGGTGTTCAGACGCATTGGATTGAGCCGGGTCGAAAGGGAACCCTTGGGCGCCATGGTGGGAAATTATGAGGTTCGGCGGAATGGCAGCGAGGATAGTAAGCGGTACGGCAGGAGGCAAGATGCCTTGAATGATCGTGGACGAGACTGACGTTGAGAAACTGGCGCCGGCGACGGGAAGTCTTCGCCAAACAAAATCCAAGTTTTGACTCCGCGGAGGTGGATGAGTCAGCAGTTTATCGGCCACCAGCTTGCCACTTCTTTGTTCTTATGTCTGTACATTATTTCTGAGTTTTTTGATAGCTATTTTGAGTCAAATATGACTGGGAGACACATCTTGCCAACGCAGCTTCGAGGTGTTTCATCAATATACACCTTTAGAGCTTCGACAGCTCCTTTGTCTTTGTCCAGGCGGTTCTCCGCAGCTTGCCCACGCAACCAGACGTCCTCAGCGTCTACGGCCAAGGCAGAAGATAAACAGACCAAAGATGAGAATGGAAATGAGAATGAAAATGAGGAACAGGATAGTGCGATGACGCGACGTCTGGCCCAGATGACCGAAGATGCAATGCTAGAAGGTGGACGGTCTGCGCGTCGTAACATCGAGCATGCCGGGTTCTCAGAAGAATTGAAGAAACAGCTCGAAGAGCGAGTAGCTGCGGCTTCATTTAAGAGCGAGTATGCGGCAGCTCACTCTATAGTTAATATGCCAGTAAGTAATCTACCTAATCTCCAACCGACCACTCATTGACCCATACTCCATCACAGGCTGGTGCAGGCCAAGGCACAAGAGAGATGGCCGCTGCGCCTGCATGGACAGGACAGGAAAGGGTGGAAGATACAACTCTGCGCATGCTAGACGACGCAAGCAAACCAATCCGCATGCCCTACAAAATCCCCCAACCGGTCAACCTCCAACCGGCCCCGAAACCAAAGAAGTCTCGCGGTCATCGCTTGGCTGAGGCGAAGGAGCGCACATCTACCTATACATTGAGTCAAGCGCCTGGCTTCTCCGAGGAAGAGCGTGAGAATATGCGCCGTGAAATGCGAGAAAACCTGTCGCCCGGTGCGCGAAGCATGCCAATCTCCATTTCGGGTCTGTCGTCACTGGCAGAAGAACGGATTGAAGATGCCATTGCCCGCGGACAATTTAAGTCGATCCGGCGTGGCAAGGGTGTCAACACCGAGACGGATCATAATGCGAATAACGCATTCATTGATACGACCGAATACTTTATGAATAAGATCATCCAGCAACAGGAGATTATACCACCATGGATCGAAAAGCAGCAGCAACTAGCCACGGAAACCAGTCGCTTCCGCAGCCGTCTCCGGGCAGACTGGAAGAGACATGCAGCCATATTAATCTCCAGCAAAGGAGGATCCCTGGAAGCGCAAATGAACCGAGCAAAAGCATGTGCAGCCGCCGAAACAAGGCTAGCCGAGAAAGCCAAGCTGGAAGCTTCCCTGCGCGAAGAACCATCCGTTTCCGAGATCAACGAAGATGGCCGAATAGTCCACAGAGCCGAGTCCTCCCCAAGCAACGAGAACAGTGAAAAACCATCCGAAGACCTCGCCCATCTTCCTCCGTTGCGAGATCCAAATTACCTCGCAATTGAGCGTGCTTATCATGAACTCGCCGTGAAACAGATCAATTCCCTTGCACGTTCGTACAACCTCCAAGCACCGCCTACCGCCCGTAAAGCATACCTCAATCTCGAGCGAGAGCTCAATGCGTGCTTTGCTGAGGTTGCGCCTCAGCTGGCGGAAGAGATTAAACGTCGGGCGACGGAGCGCGCTCGTCCGTCGTCGACTGTTACGCCGGCTTCGAGCGCGTTTGGGTCTCTAGGTATGGCACAGTCCGCGCGGGTTCGTGATGAAGATAAGGCGAAGGGGTATGGTATGAAAGAACTCTGGAGGGATTTATTCTCCAAGTCATAAGTGTTTACTCTTTCTTTTTGATATAGTGTACAATATTGGATGTTGAACCGGCTGGATACGGATAAAAATTTGATTGATATACTCTCCTCATCTCTCTTTGAGCGGAGGGTACTTGGGCTTGGTACAGCAAGGTCTTGGGGCATGGCCCCAAGACTAATGGCTCTAGATAATGATGTGACTAAAGCAGAAAAACCCCATCCATGCGATGTCAAACTTTCAACACAGACTCTTCACACAGCCCCATTGGCATGCACATCGGCCTGCACGATGACGAACAGGGGTTCGTCAGACCCCAGAGCTTCAATGACGCTATGCAGGAAGACCAAATCCACGCCGCAAGCCCTCATTGCCTCAGTAACCTCAGGATTACTCATATCCCGAGAAAACACAGCATTCCTTGGAGTTCCCACAGCCTCATTATCCACAGCACTGGGTCGCCGTCTCGACCAGTACATCAAGTAAAGGAAGAACAGAATTGACATCGTGGGGAAGCCCAGACAGATGACAGCCGCGTTAATAAAGACGTACATGCCAGCATTGAACCGCTGCATTCCTGCCACAACGCCCGGAATCCCCAAGACGAAGAAAAGCGCACTGAACGCCAACTTTAAGAAGGCATACATGACAGGGCGGCAGATTGAACGTCGGTACACAATGCCCATAACAGACAGATTTCGTTGCTGCTTGGGCATAGCATTGTAACCCCGACGTACATGGAGGGCACAAACGACATTGGAAACGAAGATCAAGTAAAGCCCAAAGCCGATGGACAGGAGAAAGGAACCCAGTATGTATGCAAGGCACCAATCAATTCCCGTGTATATTCCAAGATATCCATGTGTCGGCAGCCAATTATCAACTGCTGGAGGGGGTTTATCCCGAGGAACGATTCGGACATGTCGTCTCGTTTACGCATTGGAATGACAAATTGATGCCAGGGTATTTTGGGCCACCCTCCTGCTGGCCAGCCGGCTTGCTCGAGGTCTGAGTCTCCGAAGGGGAGGCGGGATATGATTTCGACGTCTCCAACCCAGATTTCGTTTATCGCATTGCCCTGGTCATAAAAGTGGTCTGATTTTACGCCGTGCACAGCGGAGATCTTGGCACCCATTCAGCGGGTGGTTGGTGGAGAGAGAAATGAGTTGTAATGGATTGCAATGGAACAACGTCGTATAGCGATGACGGTGATGGATAGTGGTATGATATGTGATATGTGGGATGCGAGATGAGAGATGCGAGGAAGTGAAATGATGACAGAGAAGAAGTGACGAAGAGAGAAGGAGCATTCGAGGCCGACTACCTTATGGACAACAACGTCACTTCGCGTCATCTCGCAAGAAACATTGATCTTTTTGATCTTTTAGGGCTGTTCAAGCTCACTTGAATGAGTTGAGATGGGCCACAGCTGGGAAGTAGCTTTCCAGACTAGTGAAGTGACTCTGTTGGCATTCGACATGTCGGTATTCACTGCTCAGACGGAAATATTTCTATGAATCTGAGGTGAAGCCCTGAATGTTGATGTTAATAGATGATGTTGATAGAGGTGAAGTATAGAGCTCACCTGATCTTCGCCAAGCCCCTCAGCTGCTCTGTGAGTGGCCGCCGCCAAGTGACGATCGTGCATGAGGGCGCGTATTTGTGACCAACGACAGGCGCAAACTCGACAATTCTTGACGGCTCTTCACTTCGTCACATCCTATAAGCTTCTCTTATACGAAACCCCTCCCCTGCCGCCCCCATCACAGAGGAACATGTATCACCTCAATCTCTCGAGTGAGATTCGTCTGCTGCTTCGACATGTCGATCAAAAGTGACTGCACCTTCTCATAATTTTGTTTCCTTTTCTCTCCTCTTTTATAAATCACACAGGCGCCGGAAATGACTCCCTCCCCGGTTGCCTTCTTTTTGCGTGTGTCTTTTCTAACCCTGCATATCACCCCGGTCTTCGGGGTTCAAAAGATCCAACGTGCCCAACCGGATGCTCCTCGCATCGTGGACAAACCACTCCTCGCAATTCAGATTGGGAGTATTGCTGGCGCCTACGTGATCTTCGTTGCTGTCATCCTAGCTCTGCTTCTGTTTGTCGGACGTCGTCTACGTCGGACAGTCCAGTCCTCCAACTATACACTGCATATGGAGATGCTGAAGCCTGCCAGACCGCCTGTCAGCATGGATCCCAGCCCAGTTTCTCCTATGTCACACAATCTTCCCAGTCCCAAATCAAGTGGGTTCAAGTCCTGGGGTTCATTGAACAGGAGTACCAGACCTTCTCAACCTTCTGTCAACGGCAGCATGTTGACCGTCGACGAGTCTATCGTCGCCACCGACCGACAGCGAGCCCAGGATGAGATGGAGATGCTGTATGCTGCTGTCATGGAGCACGATGCCAAAAAGGCCTCAGCCCCCGATGTGTCCGGGAAGGAACCAGAGTTTTATGCCCAGTCCCCGGACAGCCAGCTCACAAATCCATTCACGGATCGTGGCTCCCATGGCTCTGATAACTCTCTAGCGCCGTTGAAATCCCCGACAAAGGGATTCAACAGTTCCCGCCTGTCAAAACTCTTCAACTCGGGCTCCCGCGCGAATCCAGATCCGAGCAAGGTGCGCTCCCCACGTCTGGCCCTCCGCAAAATGGCCATATCATCCCCAATGGCTTCGCCGGCTGCGGCTACACCCCGAGCCTATGAGTTTGATAACCCGCCCCTCTCGCCGCGGATCTATAATCCCGGTCCTCCACCAGTGGTGCCCAGCCAGCACCCGGCGAGCCAACAGCCTGTGACCCGACAGTCAATGCTCAGTCCAATCAAGCCTGCCCCTGGGCGTGCTCGTGCACCAGCACCTGCGCCTCTGAGCTTAGCTACGGCGTCGCCTTCATCGTCTCTTCCTTTCCGTGAGGCCTACCCACCGCAAAGTGCTCCGGCAACCAAGACTACCATCTTGGAACGGCCCATGAAGACCCGCGCGGGCCCGGTCACCGGCATGGCCACGCCATACAGCCCATACATGCCCTTCACTCCTGTAACCCCCTTCACACCAGGACGCACAGTGACTAAGCGCCAGCGTAAGCGAGAAGAGCGCAGTAATGGCCTTCAAGTATTGAACGAGGATGATCTGGTCAAGGGTGATGATGATATTTGGGGATGAACAAATTGGAAACGGTACAAATGGATCTGGAGTTCGAGTTCAAGTGCAGATGATCTTATATAGCCCTCGGGGCACTGTTCACACACTGTATACACTGGCTGTATATTCTTTCCTATTTAACATATCAATGCAATCCAACGATAATGCCCATCTCCTTCCCTTACATCTTCTCCCTCAAATGCTTGTTCCCCGCAACCATAGCCTCAGCAAAATCACTCCGAGCACCAGCTCTCTCAAGACTCAAAAGTGCCTGAATAGTACACCCCCTCGGCGAAGAAATACTCTCCCTCAACACAGCCGGATGCGTCCCAGCCTCCAACGAAGCAGAAAGCCCCCGAATCCCCTGCAACACAATCTCCATCGCATCGCCCCGTTTCAATCCCTCCGCCACACACCCATCCAGTAATCCCTCGATGGGAAGCGTCAACGCCGCCAACGTCGCTCCAACAAGGACTGACCCCAGCCCCGTCAAACTGGCCGGTAGGTATTTAATCATACCAACCTGTTTGAAAATCCACTCCGTCGTTTCGACCATTGAAGCAGGGACATTCGAGGCCGGTTCTTCGAGGATAGTCATCGACTCACGAAATTGCGCGCCCATATTCGGGATTGCTTTCATGATTATCGGATCAACCGTCTCAGTCTCAGTTTCATTTTCAGTTGCAGAGCTTCTGATAATCCTCAGCAATTTCTCAACACTTTGTCCGGCTAACATGCTGATAACCAATTTCCCAGCTAGCGCTTCCCGTACGCCCTTGGCGCCTAGGACTTCTTCCGCCATGAACGGTTTGCAGCCTAGGATGATGACGTTTGATTCTTGCATGGTGCGCACGTTTTCTCCCCAGAGGATTTCTACTTGGTCTGTGTTGTGGCTGGGGATTGTGGATTGAAGCCGTTGGGCTGAGGAGGCGGTTTTTGTGCCAGCTTTGAAGTTGGTTATTGGTTGTCTTGTCGAGACGTCTTGTTGTTGACTGTTGGCTGGGAATGCGGAGGTTAGGATGCCGTTTAGGACGGCTCCACCCATGTTTCCTGTTGTTTGTTAGATTTTGGTTGGGGTTGGTGTGTATAGATGGGTGTGGTTACTTACCGCATCCGATAAAGCCGAGGGTTTGCTCTGTGGCCATTGTTCTTGGTCTTTTGGGTTTGCAGTAGGTTTTTTGGAGTGAATTGAGGGACAATTGGAGGTTTGGGGGAGGGGTTTGGTTTGTATATCTTTTGAGTCACGGATCTCGGGTGAGGCTCCCGAGGGGTTCGGTGGTTGATGCCGATGTTTCGATTTATATCCGTAGCCGACGTTATACGTAAAATGGGATTTATCATAGGGTTACAGCTGTTTGAAAGGGGTTAGAAGAGATGCTGAGAATTGAAAGACAAGTACCTTGGTATTATCACTACTCCAAGGCATGTTATAACTTACCCCTACCAAAAGTATACATGGGTTTCTATTGGTAGTGTTCCATGCTATCGCCAGCAGTCACTAGCAATCCAAATATCTAAGATGTCCACTGTGATCAAGTGAAGTGATGGCAAGAAGATAGATGCAGACAAAACTGCTGATTATTCGTTACTTGTAATTGTCTCATTAAAGCGACGATCTAAAGAACAGGCGCTTCCCAGAACTCGCGCTTAATCTTCATAACGGCAGACTGCTTATGCGGGAAGCTAACCTCACCTTCTTTATAGAAGCCAGCTTCCTGGAGGTAATTGATGAGTCTGTAAGAGATGTCAGTACGCGAATACGAAGCTGGGGGAGAGGGGAAGAGGGGGAACAGGGACACATACTTGAGATTATCAACCCTGGGCTCCAAAACAACAGCCTCGGTGCGCATATCAGCCAGGAAACAATGATGCACCAAAGCACTCAACCAAATAGCAACCCGATGCGCACCACGGAACTCCTGCTCGCCAACAAGCAGATGAATACCCCGATCATAGTTATCAACCCGGTCCAGCAACCTGCCCAGCGGATCCTCCTTCACCCAATAGATCTCGAAATACCCAAAGGGCTTCCCGTCCCAGCATCCAATAACAGGGAATTTATGCCGGCTCGTCAAATTCGCAAGTAGGAATTTCTCCTGTGCAGCCTTCGGTCCGCCTTCTGACCACATCGCCTCTACGCGCGGGACATTCATCCATCTGTGCAAGGTATCCACATCTGAGGAGACATTCTCGCAGAGATGCTGCTCGATACTCGTGACAGCGGATGTAACCGGTGTTCCGGGTCGACTACCACTCCCACTGCCACCGCCACTGCTCGAGCCCGGGATCGAAGTTGGTTTTGTCATGGGCACAAATGGGATTCGGAATGAGAGGTACTGGCTCACGCTTGGGATGTACCGTACGTAGAAGACCTCGCCCTGGTGCGGTGGTTTCGGGCGCACGGGATGCCGCACGCCGTGCGTGAAGGTGTACTGGGTTGGGGCGGGCGGGTAGTATGTTGGCAGGTGGCTTCCTGAATTGAAGGGGCCTGCGGAGGTGAACGCGCCTACATTTGCTGTGTGGAATGTTGCCTCTGTTGGCCCTAGTGTTGTTGGGCATGACAGGCCGTCCGGGGCTGGGGATCCTTGTCGTGAGTGGTATGGTGACAACGACGGAGATGGAGGGCCGGCGGCGCGTGGCGTCAGAGTAAAGAGGAAAAGACGCGGATCGAGCTGCCAGAAGCTCCGGCGGCTGACGAACATGTTGGACCAGCTGCTTGAGTCCCTTGTTTCAATCGGCTGCAGACCTACCGAGGAGTCCTCGGTGGCTATTAAACCCATTCGCTCGAGCTTCTGGAGCAAGTTCCGGCCTTTGAAGATGCCCTCGCGCTTGATATTAATGCGCCATTCGCCCTTTGGCCGTCCGCCGTGGGGCGTCAAACTTGACGCCGTCGTCTCGAGGTGCAGGTCTGGCTCAGGTTCGTGGAAATACCACCACATGGTCGCCCACAGCATCATGGCAATCTGGCGCGTGGGCGACGTGACAGGTTTGAAGTCACTAGAGGGCGGGTTGACTATATACGAGATGTAGAGCGAATCGCGGTTCAAGGTGGGGATGGTGAAGCGGGTAATGTTATCGTCATCATTAACGCGCTCACTGTCCGAGCTTGGGGGAGGTTTGACACCATCTTTGGGCTTTTCAGTGTGTATGATAATCGTCCAGCCCGGTGGAAAGGTGGGGTTCTGTTGGACGTTGAAGTCGGTGGATTTAAATGTTACCCCACCAAAGACTGGCGAGACAGTGAAGGTGAGGCCATTGGGCAAGTTGCAGGTGGTGTATCGCATGGCGAGGTGATTCAGAGAGAAAGAGAAAAGACTTATGAACACGGAAAAGGTTGACGTTGACTTTTATCCCTTTGGCTTTGGCCCCTCACTTGCGGGAATTGGCAGGGAAAAAGATGATGATCGCTCTCCAGTACTAAGGATTGAATTCGTAATGTGAACAAGGAGAGTGGGAGAGGAGAATAATAGTCCACAGTCCAGTCCAGTGTAGTCAACTAGTCAACTTTGTCCGACCTTGGCTTTGGATGACGCATAGCATCGGCCCACGCGGAGCTGCACCTCACAACTAGTAATTTTCACTACTCATTTCTATTCTATTGGGCTATTTTGCTATTTCCCAGTTTTGTGGTTTTTTTCGTATTTTTCCATTTCATTTTCTAGGTAGCTTGGGCGCTATTCTCCCGACGGCTTGAGAGTTCTTGGCAGACCACTCTCTAGACCAATAAACATGAAGTAAAGCATGCAAAGGGTATTCTACGCATTAAAAGTCCTCCACTGTGGTTCCCAGCTTCCGCTCCCGCGCCAAGCGCACCAAATCTCCGCCGGTGACCAGATCCATCAATCCAAGACCAACCGATTTGTAGATCACATTACCGCGTTGCGACCACTCGCGCAAGCTCTTTTCATCATCCACGGTCTCGGCCTGCCGCGTAGCATCACGGACCATAAGCAATTCACCCAGTTCAACCACTTGGTTCGGTTTGATTCCGGCTTGGATGATTTCGCCCGCTTCCTTGACGGCTGCGTCGAGACTGTCAACTACGATCACACCACTGCGGTGGATGTGCTTGTGGAAGTGGCGATGCGGCGGCTGCACATTGACCTCGTCCCGGAGGATATCGGGGTGAATCTCGGCCATGTGAGCCTTGTACGACCCAATCGCACAGATCAAGCGGCCCTTTTGGCGGCCCTCGCGCGAGGTGAGGAACTCCGCAGGGAAGAGCGGCTCGGGAGAGGGAGTGCAGCAGAAGATCGCGTCGGCCTTGCGCACATGCTCCTTCAGTATACGGCTGTACTCGCCGAACTCGCTACTCATTGCTGAGAACTTGATGTCTCGGCGCCATTCGGCGTTTTCAGGCGAGTAGATGTCACGCAAAAGCTCGGCGGCACGGTCAAAGGAACGGTTCACAATGTACACTCGGCGAATGTCCTCGCCGCGGAGAACAAGTGCCAAGCGGATATGCCAATAGGCTTGAGTACCTGCGCCGAACACCAGAAGGGTGCGCACCTTCTTGCGCTTGTTGAACATCATCAGCGATGCCAAGGCCGTGCGGAACGCTGTCAATTCATGAACGTTGATCAAAGCAAAAGGCTGACTGTCGCCGTCCAGCAGCGTCACACTGCCGCGAGGCGATGTGTCACGAGTGCCTACGCCCGGCCAAGCGCCAAGCGTTGTGGAAATGCTGCCGGTCACATTTTGTTGGTTGACACATCCAGTGAGAAGGGTTGAGCTGTCCGCGCTGCTGCCGGTAGTGACAGAAGGGCTGACTGAGTTGTCGTCGTCCTGGTCTTCCTTGTCCTCTTGGGAAGATCCGACAGACAAGTCACTCAGATCAGAGGAAAGCGAGGCCACCGAGTTACGGAAAGAACCCCGCTTCCGGGACAAGGCCTGCTCTAGTTCCTGGGCTTCCATGGCGTCGCGTTCAACAGCACAACCGGCAACAGCCCCGTCCTGCAGGGAAATCATTTTGATGCCAATTGTATGGCCCGTGGTAGCGGGCATGAAGAGTGTTGTACAGCCATTGTGACGGGTGATAGCAGTTCTCTGGGGCTGGTAAGCCGCCGAGCAACCCTTATCCTGGGATCCGCTGGAGTATTCGCGTAGGGCTTCGGCGAGGTTGCGCTGTAGATCGACGACTTCGTCGCGGGAGAGGGACTGCAGCAGAGTGCGAAGCTGCGATCGGGAGAGGACAGTGAGAGGCATGAGAGCGGGTTGAGAGGGAAGAGGAACGTTGAAAGAGGAAGAAAAGTAATCTGTGATAAAGAGCTCCAGTTACCAGTCAGCCGGGTGCCAAGATAAGAGTGAAACAACCACGCAAGACCTGTTCGATTTGGTGCCCCGCGCCACAATAAAAAGGCGTGGGACCCAGATTAAAATAGGTCGGGCGTTCAGAGGCAGCGAAATTGGCCGTCTCGGAGATGACGACAGTCGCGACTGTGAGGTGGGGGAGGAGCGGGGTGATCAGCAGAGACGATGCATCAGTGCCTGTTCGCTAGACGTTTGAACAGCAATGCAAGTCACAAGAGAAACTTATTAAGGGTATGAAGTACAAGTAGATTGAATGTCAGGTCTGTGCCCGAGAGGCAAAGGCAAAGTCGAGGACTATCGCAACCGGAGATCCCTACCGCATTCGGCAATTGAAGCCAAGCCCAATGCGGAAATCCGTGTGTAGTGCGGCCTGAGGCCACAATCTGATAGACGTAAGGCTGCATCACGGGCTATTAGTCGTGCTAACCTAAACGTCTACATCAACACATATTTACATACAACAGAATACTGAGTGATAAGCTTGATTGCTACACATGCGCAGGAAAAACCAATACTTAGTACTGTATGAAGAGATGAAAAAAGAGAGCGGAGGATGTGCCAATATTCCGCACCAAAGTATAACTGACAATAACTTCTCAATATATACCAGCTAAACAGAATTACCCTCAAGAAGTTCCACCCCCTTCAACGCCTTTGCGACAGTGTCAACTAATTGCTCACAATCCTCCAACCCAACACTCATCCGCAAAATATGCTGTGGCACCCCATACTTAGGAACCTTCTCCCGATTCCAATAATTCGCCAACTGAACATAAGGAATAACCAGCGTAAAATTTGTCCCAAAGCTCGACCCCTTGCACGCATCTAGCACATTATAAAAGTGCTCCGCGCTGGCCGGGTTGTGGAAGATTATACTCAGAACGTTACCGTAGCCTCCACCTTTCCGTCGGAGACTTTCGTATATTGATGCTGTCGGTGCTATGGATGGATGGTGGACTGTTGCGACGGATTCGTGTTTGTTGAGGAGGTCCACCAGTGGGAGAGTATTTGCGTTGCATTGTTTCACGCGCCCCCAGGCCATGTTTTGGCAGTTTTCGCTTAGTGTGAAGATGTCCAGTGGAAAGAATGTTTCTTCGTATTTGGTCGAGAGAGCTGTTTTTATTGTGTCCCTGTGACGGGAGTTGGGGTTTATGACGAGGCTGGGTCATTGTTAGCTTTCACCTGTGCATCCATGTATGTATACGTTTGAGGAAATGTGCGACTGAGTCTCACCTTCCCCCTGTGACATTAGACGTTCCACTGAAACCAGCATTAACATCATTGAAAATAGGTGAATCCTAAGCGGTGCTAGATGAAGAAAGCAATCTGGAAATCGGGATCCCACCATGACGACTGAATGGACAACGGGCTATACTACTTGCAAATTGGATTTTCAAGCATGATATTCTGTAGTACAAGCAATGCAAGGGCTGCTCATCTGTAATGGTACTTCTGTTGATCCCTCAACATAGGATCATTCTTTTGGATTATCTTATATTGTTTAAAACATGTCAATTGCTCGCGTTTCCTCGCCTGAGATACTCGCTTACCTACAGATGATTACAGTCCCAATCTGCTCCTTATATCAGAATCTGACAAACTACATCGATCATTCCTTTGACCTTTTATCTGCTCGTTTTTCGGATCCTCGAACCAAAAGAAAGCAGCCTCCACCGCGTTGCCGTTACAATGGTACAATCTTGGAGCGTTTTATTTATCACCTTCACCATTGCTTTCAATTCGGAAGCTACTCCTCTCGATGGCAGATCATTGGATCCCAAGACAGATATCCAAAGCATATGCGATCGTGAACTTGATTGCAAAGCCTTTTCATTATCCGCATCTCTGCAATGTAAAGAAAACATGAGTATCCAGAAACCATTGAAGTGAGGCTCTACGCCAGCCACGTATGTCATGCTCAGGGAATGCAACAAAAATGAGAAAAATCAGTGTGTCGACAGAAGATGCAAGACAGAGACCCAGACTTGTGCAAAAGCTCCTGCCGATGACGCATGTAGGGAGGCGATAATATGTTCTGGTGGTCCGATCAAGTCAGTAAAATCGTTTGCCCCAAAAGATGAACAAAAAGGACAAGTTTCTAGATTGGACATGCAAAGACTATGACATATTCAGGCGGAAAATGTAACAAGCTTCTCAACGCTATTGAGGAACGTGCCGCCTGGATAAGAAGAAATATGTCAGTCAGACTTCCAAGTACGCGAAGAAGGCTGCGAATGTTTATTTTTGGGATCCGACCCCCTGAATAGACGAGCTTGTCTTGTACGGTGCGATCTTATTCCTGCAATTCAATGCTGGATATGGTAGAATATAATTGATCTCGAACTATTACTTAGATGACCATAATAAAACCCCGCTTTGTCTGGATCATGTAACGAAGCAACAGATTACTCAATACAGTGTCGAAAAAGAATAAGATGGTGAAGTACCATTGCTAAATAGACAAGATCCTCAGCGCTACGTTCTTCTAGACATCCTGCCCTTATATTAGGTATTTCAAAGGAACTAATCTCATTATAACTCAAAGTGTCTCTTTATGAACGTAGCGATTGCATTGTAACCAGAGGCGACAGATAGCAAGTCATATTCTGGCAAGAGAATTGATCGAAGCTTCGATGGGAGTACTCGGTCCTCACTCGCTAAACACCTCGGCTACCCGCAGACTAAACTATACCCTGATGATTGTATGCCTACTGCGGCAGCAGCTTCCGCTTGATAAGCATTACCCTTATCGTATAGACTTGGTTGGTCAGGAAGGTATTGTAGCTTGGTGTTTCCTGGCATTTGGGGCTGAGAAACAATGAGAATGTGTATATATAGTTAATCGTGAACACCACTGTACAAACTGACAGTCCCTATTTGACGATCACAATTGTGATGTTCAAGGTGGTTGCAGCGTCACCCGACACTATTGACTAAATGCATGCAAGGAGGCAATGGTGTGTTTTTCTTTGCTCCTCATTGAAAACGCTTTCCGTTTCCAACAAGTTCAAAAGAGATTTCGGAAACTTTATCTCAACTAAAGTTGGTTATATCATTTGCCTCATTTGGGGACATGACTATGCCATCTACGGATTCAGTATGGGGCCTTCGCTGGCGGTCATCAGCGTGGTTTATCGTCACAACAATGGTCGTGGCACTCTTCACAGGTAATTTTCTGTTGCCTCTCTTCACTGATTCTGAACTGAAGATTCCCGGGCTAACATTTACGTCATACCACAGATACATTTTTAGCCAGCTTCATTGTCCCCATCCTTCCATATATGCTCGAAGATCGGATCAGCTTAGACCCCTCCCGCACACAGAGCATGACTACATGGTTATTGTTTGAGAATGCAGCTGTCAGTGTGTGTATTCGTTTGCCGTTAGCACATTTTGCAGATCAGTCTACTTCGAAGCGCAAGTGGTTCATGTCAGCGCTGGTGATCGCCCTTAGCAGTACTATTGCGACAGCATTCTCATCATCTTGTATGTATAAATTGGCCACTTCTATGCAGAAGTTTTATTTTGAAGCTAATCACACCGTACAGTGGCCGTGCTATTCATTAGTCGGTTCGTGCAGGCTTTCGCCAATAGTATCATGTGGGTCGTGGGATTCTCGACATTAGCAGATGTAGTTCCGATTCAACATACAGCGAAAGTGTATTCTGCGGTATCTGTGGCAAACTCGCTGGGTAGCTCTACTGGCCCCATGTTATCTGGTGTTTTGTTCCAGCTGGCAGGGTACTGGATGGCATGGGCCTTAGCATTTGCGATCATCGGTGTCGATATTGCTTTTCGTCTGTTGATGGTGGAGAAGAGTTCCTCGGGGAAAAGAGGCATGTTATCTCCGATCGTTGAGTGTCTATTGGATTCTAACATGCTACTTTGAAGATACTGCTAGAGACCCTGCGATTAAACAAGACTCACCTTCTGAGCACTCACCCCTTCTTTCTTCCCAGCGCATCTCCAACCATTATGATGGTCCCGAGACCCAGGATCCTCCTAAGGCGACACCAAACTTCTATAAATGCATTTTCAGCAAGCCCAACTTCTCTGCCGGCCTGTGGTGCGGTTTCATGTTTGGGGTCATATTCACTGCATTTAATACCACAGTCACACTACATGTCCGTGATGCATTTCAATGGGGTGGGATGCAAACTGGGCTTACATTCGCAGCCCTACAAGCTCCCCGTCTCGTGATGTCTCCATTTGTGGGCTGGTTGAAAGACCGGATAGGGACACGGATACCAACTGTTTATGGATACGCCATATTGACTCCGTTAATCTGGCTTTTGGGCGTTCCAGGGAGTGGGCTGTTTTCATGGGCAGACACCGAGAGCCGGGGACCTGCTCTGTATGTGTTAGCCATGGTTTTTATTGGATTCAACTCCACGTTTTTGAACGCAGCAGGAGCCATTGAAGCTACAATGGCTGCCAAAGAGCTGGCAAAGGAACACCCTGGGGCATTTGGTCCTGGTGGTGGTAAGTCGCGAGCCCTTGCTCTATCTGGTATCACTTATGTATTGGGATCGTGTGCTGGACCTGTCCTGGCTGGGACGCTCAATGAGAAATTTGGTTACTACGTAATGAATTGCGTTATTGGTGAGCAAGTTCAGTTATCGGTTCTCTGCTCCATGCTAACTTCTTCTAGCTTCATTGTCTGCTTTCACCTGCGCTGTTGCATATACTTGCCTTCCAACGAGGACAATCGCAAATGAATGAAGATGATTCATGATGATAGCACAGAAGTGATATCTTGTTCAAACTCTTATGCCACCATGTTAATATAATCACGAACAAATTGCTAGAATACCATTTATCTCTCTATCTTTCTCTGCCTTCACATTTTCAATGCAATTACCATCCGAGGATCTATATGACGAGCTTTCCCCGCACTAGCCTCGGTGCTTTTCGGTCTACGCGAACTACAAAAGACAACATCCAAAAAAGACATCAAACGCTCCTAAACGCACAACTTTTCAACAATATCAACCCCGATAAACACACCCAAAAATGACCTCCAAAATCCTGACAACCCTAACCCGCCGCAAAACAGGCACCCTAGCAAGAATAACAATAACCCGGCCCACAAAACAAAACGCACTAAACACCCACCTCCTAACCCAACTCCCACCAACCATCAAAGAAATAACAGAAACAAACAAAGATCTCCTAGCCATAATCCTCACAGGCGCCGGCCCCAAATCCTTCATCGGTGGCGCAGACCTGAGAGAAATAGCCGCGTTAGATTCACCGGCTGCTGCGCGCGGGTTCATATGCAAGATCCACCTGGCCTGCTCTGCATTGAGGCGGTGTCCTGTTCCTGTTATTGCGCGTGTTAATGGGTTTGCTCTTGGGGCTGGTTTGGAGGTTGCTGCGGCTTGTGATGTTAGGGTTTGTGGGCGGGGGCTGCTTTTGGGATGCCGGAGGTTTGTCAATTTTATTTTTTATGGTCTTTGATGTTGAGTTTATATGCTTCTTTTATAGATGGATTAGATACATAGACTAATATTCACAAACAACCATTAGGTCCGGCTCGGGATCCCCTCCGTTGTTGAAGCTGCTCTCCTACCAGGACTGATAGGATGGGGTCGGGCCAGGCGACTCCTTCTATTAGGGGAGACTATATCCGCCGACGAGGCGTTAAAATGGGGTCTTGTCGAGAAGGTTGTTGAAGATGGTGAGTTGGATGATGCTGTTGAGGAGTGGGTTGGTTTGTTAGAGAAGAATGGGCCGCTTGCGGTGCGGAGACAGAAGGCCTTGATTTCTAAATGGGAGGAGCTTTCCCTGGAACAGGGGATTATAGCCGGTGTAGAGGCTTTTGGGGAGGCTTTTGAGGTGGAAAGGGATGGGAATGGGATTGAGAATGGGGATGGGGGAACGGAGCCTGGGAGGATGATTGGGGAGTTTTTTAGAGAGAGGGATGAGGCGAAGGGGAAGGTTTGAGGGGGATAGGGAAGGGGTTGAAGGATACTTGACTGCGAATGTGAGGGAAGAGATGCGGGCTAGAGTCGATGTTGAAGGACTATAATTACAATAAGTCTAAATATTTGGGAGGCAATTGGAATTTGAGTATGAGTATCATTATCGGTTTGTCCACCATCTCGGACATACAAACGGAGAAGATAAGTACATCCATAAGATACATAAAGCGCAGAATCTAATCTGGAGGGAACAACAAGGCCATCCGATCCACATCTTGGAGAAACATCCATGAGATAACAATAATGAAATAATAAACCACAATAGATGAGAAAACGCCCATTGAAGAAAAGAGACCGGGCACATGAACGCCATACCGATCCCAGGGCAATGCAATGTAACGAGTGTTTTGAGAGAGAAGAAAAGAAAAGAGACAAGAGAAAGGAAATAGCGGAGGAATCATCTCATCTCTAGTAGAACTGAGTAATGAAACACGCGGCGGAAAGGCGGATGAGGAGGAACCATAAATGAAAACCAAATGTGAGCGAAGGGTATTGGCACAAGGCGTATCGACGGATGAAAATGCTTTTGAAGCGGCAATAGGTAGAGAGAAAATAAATAAAAGCGATATGATGTTGAGATGGGTAGGAAAGAGATGCAGATGCATCGGTGATTAGCTCGGTATATGGTAGATAGAGAGAAGTAGGAAATGTGAATCGAGGCCAGCTCGACTTAGTGAGAGCGACCAACGCGGCCGTTCATGTAAGAGCCAGTGGCGGAAGCGAAGAAGCGAGCAACAAAACCGCCGCCGTGGGCGTGGCTGTTGACCTTTACCTTCTTGCTAGGCTGGCGGAGGGGCTCAAAGTGCTTGTGCTTCGTCTCGATGGGAGCGACGTTGACGTAGCTGTAGTTGAGGGAAGAGGCGCACGATGGGCTGCGGCTGAGGTCTGTGAGCATCACATCATCGGCACCACCGTGAGAAGAGATTGTGCTGATGCTGGCCGGGGTTCCCTTTGAACTTGGGGCGAGGCTGGAGGAACGCGAGCAGAGAGAGTTGAAGGTCTCGGCGTGAGACAGGGCCGGCACATCGCGAACGGAGGGCGGGGAGATGGACCGGTTGGGTCGGTTGGGAGATGCGCGCTGGCGGTGGTAAGGGTTGTAACGATCGTGTTCAGCGGAGACCTGTGTGTTCTGGGCGTTGTGCATGCTCGGGCAGGAGACATGGCTTGGGAGACGGCGGAGTGAGTTGTCGTTTGCGCGGCGGCTCTCACCACGGCTTTCGAGCTTTTGGCGACGCAGGCGGCTGGCCAGCAGGTCCGCTGATGCGTGAAGACGGCGCCTGTGGGTTCGGTCAGCAAGGGTGTTACCATGGGAAGTTGTCATATATTGCTAGGGCATACCACTCGCGGTGTTGTTGTTGCTTGCGGATGTGCTCCTCTTCGGACTTGCGCTCACGCTCGAGGGCGATCAGGCGCTGACGGTGGGGAACCAGAAAGGGCTCGAGGTATGTGAGAAGATCCTCTTCAGTTACACGGGTATCCCAGTCGAGAAGGAAGAGCAGTTGGCGTTCCATCAGGTTGACTTCCGGCAAGGAGAAGCCGAAGCCCTCGAACCCCTTCACCACGGTGTATCGGGCCCAATGCTTGTTCTTGGGGCTTGAGTCGTTCAGGTTCTTGGCGGCGAGAATGAGCGAGGCGAGGAAGATCCGGTGGACGGTGCAGCGCATGCCCTTGGCGACCGGGGGGAGACGGGCACGCAGTCGACCGAGGTATACCAGGGAGCTCATGAGAGTAGGCACCTGAACCTGGGAGCGAGCGACGAGTGACGCGATGAAGGCTTCGATTGACGGAAGGGCAGGCAGGTCGGAAGCTTCCATGGGAGGAGTGGATGGCGGCGTGGGCTGTCCATGTTGGTTGACAGTGTTGGTCACATGGGCTTCACAGCGGATGACCTGAGCTGCTTGCTGGGCCAGGTGCGTCACCATTTCCCGTGTCACTCGCTGAGTGACAAACTCGTCGAGAGCTGCTCTGTTGAGCGACAAGGAATCCATTGTGTATGTGGTTGCGGAGGTCGAGGTGGGTGTAATTAAATATGTCGGCACACTGCAGACGAATAGGTAAATCAAGGCAGTGACGACTGTCTCGGGAGATATTCTTTGTGCGAAGAAAGACAAAAGACAATGACAATTGTATGGGTATAGATGGGACGAGGTTCAGCACAAAGGCGAAAACCAAAACAGAAACAGAAGCAGCAAAAGCAAAATCGAAGTAATATGAAGCTGGATCGCTTTCAAATTCCTGGCCAGCAGGATAACTTGACAATGAAGTAGTTCTTGAGTGAAGGAATGTTGCTGTAAGGATAGTTGGGGTTGTCGTGTCAACCCTCTTTATCGATAGCCCTAACTGAGCTTCTCCGGAAAAGTGAGACTCGGAGAATTTATGAGAGACAATTCCCACAATTTATAGCAATAGATCGAAAAAGATGCGTCTGAGGAGAGACAATGATTTCCGAGAGAGCGAGGGAAACCAGCAAAGAAAAAGGAAAGGATGGATGGGTGACGACGTTGAGCATGTGGATGAACCCCGTGAAGAATCCGTGGGAATACCTCTAGATATAGCATCTGGTATGCGCCAGAGAGGCGGGAGGGGGAGACGGATTTCCAGCTGTAAGGACTTTCGTCCAGTCAGAGTCCCTGAAGGAGAGTAGGCCAAGCACAGGGGTCACAGAATAGCCAGAGCGGACCTGCATAGTTGGATCTGAGATGCTCGAACCTTTCGCGCGCGGAGTCTAGACAAATGATTTGTCCAGGAATGTGGTGGAGAAATACTTGATAGACACACTATTGTCTGCTATCCCTAGTTTCAGCTGTACATCCTCATGGATGTATTACTACGGGCTCGACTGTACAACTATAATTAATTTTGTCATTTGCAAATTACAATTTACAATTTGCTGTGTGTTTGAAAAAAAGTAATAAAAGAAAGAATAAAGTAGACGAACGTAACAGGGGGATCGCCCTGTGGACTGTGGACAGGGCTCCGATTATTCACCAGCCCCATCATGAAACTCACGACCGTCTCATCATTGCGCGAGACGCGGGGGGATGCGATATGTCTATACTTACTTCATTCCATGGAAATAGATTGACGCTAACGCTTCGATCCATGGATCCTCCCAACCTTGACCCGATGAAGTAACTATACTAGATCTATTATTTCTACTTGTATTGTACTCGGTGGTATGATAGTATTGTAGTATTTTAGTATTCTATCTATCTCTTTTTGAAAGTGGTTTGATCTCTCGCGTTAGTGCCCAATACCTGTCAGTTGCCGACCGTGGCAATTCGAGGTGCCTATACAGAAACCCCCTAATGCCTAATGATTCGCCCACATCCGTGCCTGGCATGGGGCAAGACACGCCACGATCCCTGTCAAGTTTCCCTTTCGACGTGTACATGTACAAGCATAGGCTTCCCTCATACCAAATGACCCCCTGTCACGCCCGCGCCACGAGTTAGCGTGTTCGAGGGGCATCCCGAACATGCCAGATGACCCTCCTACAAGGGAACGGAGGGGGACAAGAAGGACGAAGAATAGTCTTTACACCTCGCATGAGGGGAGTCACATATTCGCGAATCCTCTGATATCGTCTCCTTTGGCCGTTCAGAGTTTTCCGGATCGGGAGAGAGGGGGCGCGCTTTGGATGTATCGAGTCTGATCGTCCCAGCCTTCGATTTCTCCCCGACACTACGGAGTATGCATACTATAGTCCATGTCCATGTCCGTATCCATATGTGTCCGAGGCTGCAGTCCATGCATGCAATGTTCCGTGTGCATGCAGAACTACTGTGGTGTGCTCGGGTCTAAAAAAGATACTTCTCTTTCTTGTTGTTACTCGCGATCATTGCATGTATATAAGCGCCCGTCCTCCCTTCCCCTCCTCCCCGGCCAGCGCTTACATAGTTTCAGCACACAGCGCTTGCTGTGACACTTTCCGTTGTTGCTAATTTTGTTGAGGACAATGACGGTAAGAGATGGAGTTATTCTATTGATAGAATGATAAGGTTGTTATTCTTAGATATGCGCGCGACGGTGCCGAGTTCTTGATCTTCGCACTAGCTTCGTCCCGCCCCGTTGTCTACGATGCGACATGCTTGTTCCAGGATATGGGCGTCTCGCTGGATTTCATGTTGATGTTTTGTGTGTCATTCGGTTGGTTAGGAGTGTCTTTCGACACACAACCATCAGATTGTGGATGAGAAGCTAGGCGTCTGAAACGATACTTATGTTTCATGGTTGAACGGCTGCTTGTTTCAGCTGTGACGTGGACGTTCGTCCGGCGGTTAGAGGATGTTTAAGGTGACCCTGAGGCGTGGTTCTGGGATGAAACGCTGGCGGGAAAGCGGGTGTGTGGAAGCAGCTCCCGCTTTGGTGTATGGCATCTACGTGGCATCCCACCGAATTTGCTAACACATGTTTTGGGCTCTTTATGATTCCAACCTCGCTCACACTTCTGTGAAAGCATGCCTGAGAAAAATTACCGGTCGCTCAGTTATATTTTCCATTTCTCCTTGGTTCAAGCTACCGATGTATCATGGGACAATGATGTCAGATGATCACAAAGGCAGGACAAATGTTAGTCAATAACCAAAGAGTCGTAACTAGTGCCTCTTTCTCACAACGAACTACAAGCGCAAAGCTCGGTCAAGCGGATGTTTTTACAGATGACGCCGTGACTCCTGCGACGGCCGTCATGGGGCAGTTAGCTGTGGTCTTACGACTTGCGCCTACTTCCACAAAGCCGTAAGTGGCCTTTTAGTGCTAAATGAGAAAGTTGACTGCCAAAAAAGCGATTCTAGTATTATCGAGAATAGTAATTATTGAACAGGTGTTGAATGAGAAGGGTTACATCACCCAATGTAACTGCTATGAACTATACTCTCCTCACTCAACATACCCAAGTACCTGAGATCGCATCATTTATGCAACAACAGCAGAGTAAGAGGAGACCTGGAGGTCAGAGGTACCGGTGAAAGGCTCAGTACCAGCCTGAACGTGAGTGAGGTACAAGCTAGAGCTGAGACCCTGGTTCTTCTCAAGATAAGTGAAGAAGTCAAGCATATCACCAGAGAAGTTAGTAACGGTAGAGGAAGCGACAAAGCTGTAGACAGTCATGCTGCCGTTGGGGCCTTTGTACAGCTTCCAGGAAACACCGTTGATGGTGACAGTGGCGATGGCAGAGCCAGTGGAGGAGATAGGGCCAGCACCGCCCAGAGCAGCGAGCCAGACCATGATCTCGTACTCCTCGCTACCGTCAGCAGTGGAGCTCAGGAACATGTCGTAGGCGACGTCAGCGACCACGTTGGTGTTGGAGGCACTGTCGAACAGAGGTGTGATTAGCCGATGTGTTCCATTTGGGTCTAATGCTGATATATAGGTCCCACATACCTCCACTTCCAGCTGGACTTGATGCTGTTAACAGCGCTCAGCTTCCTAGCGGTGAACTGCAGAGCAACGTTGGCGTAGCTCTTGACCTGGTTGGCGGTGCCAGCCCACGACCAAGAAGTGTGCCAGGCGATAGTGCTGCCGCTCAACGAGTCAACGCCGGTGCACTGCTTGCCGGAGGTGTCGTAGCTCTGGCCCCAGAGGTTGTTGTAAACAATGTAGCTACCGGTGGTAGTAGAACCCCACTGGTCACAGAAGTCCGCACGGCGGTTGAGAGTCTTGGTGGGGACGGCTGCGGCCTCGCCCACGGCGGCCAGCGCCATGGTAAGGAGCGAAAGGGGTGCGAAGGACTTCATTTTAGGCACGGAGTTGGTCGAAAGGAATGAATGAATGATTGATTATTGGTATAGAGAAGGGAGTTGATCAAACGTTGTCCATTGACCGGGTCTGTCTGGCCGTTTTATACATGGCCCCTTCTTCTCAAGCGGAAGTTTATCCGATGGGACTTAATGGACTCACGTTCCGTATAGATCACGGAGTGGTCCTGTCTCACAATTTGATATCTTATTCTGCTCCGGACTCCACACGCCGGATAAAATCAGGCTTGAAGCCTGCTAGATTATCCCAGTTCCTGTGTTTCGCGATGCTTTATCCTGCCTATCAGCCGGGTTTGTCGAAAGGGATCGCCGCAGCCACAGTCCTCATATCCTTCGAGTTCGTGAAATTTTCCGCGACTGGGGTCTGCAGAAAGGAGACGAGATTGCGGTTTTGGGAAGATCTCCGGGCGAATCTGAGACCACGGTGGATAGCGGGGCGTCCGGCTGCGGCTTCTAGAGCATGATCAAATAACATTTCGTTGCAGAAAGGTATCCGCAATTCTCAAAGCTGATCCAAAATAATCTAAAGGTTGCAGTAATTGCGACAATTCTCCGAGGAATAGGGGTTTCGTTATTTTACTGTGGAGCTCGGTGTCGCGGGAAGTTCACCAGTGCCGGCATAAAGGATTGAAGCAGAAGTTCGAGCTGCAGTCTTCTAAATAGTCAGTCTGCAAGGGATTGGCGGAAGGTCGTCGCCGAGCCAGCCACGTCGTCAATATTTCTCCATACTCTTCAGTAATATGTACCCCGCAAACTAGTCAACATCCGAGACTTTGTAAAGAATGGTCGAGAGTAAATCCGACTGAATTGTGATTTGATTTCAGATGGAACGGAGAGCTGGCCGTTTTTCAATGGGCGATGATCGACATGGCCATCTGGTACTGAGTGGAAGTATATATATCTGGACCACGATTACCCCTGTGGACTCTCAATTTAACCGGGGATCACATTAATTTAAACCAAGACCTCAAATGTGTTTGCTAAGAGAAGTAACAGAAGCTATCAATTGTCACGCGTCTTCGGTAAACGGTGAGTCTTAAAGGAGTTGGTAGTTCCTGTGCTAGGCTCTCGGACAGGTGATGTGAACCAAGCTCTACGTCCGACTCACGCGTCACTTGCTATACTGTTAATTCTTCTCTCAGATAGTCAATTGATCATTTTCTCTGCAAAGTGATTTAGCTGTTCACTAAACTTGATTCAACTCGACATCATGCGATAACAGGACGGATGTCCAGATCGCTAGAGACAATCTGCTAAGATAATCGCATGAGAAATACTATAGAATCCCACGAGAGAATGTCATACGGTCCTTTTTTTCTCCATGCTTGCTACCGCCTTCCGTGTAGTATTCACCAGTATATCTATGAGGCTGTTTTGTTCTCGGGGTTGAAACTGTTCCTACTCCGATCTAAACATTTGAACTTCGGTCAGTTTTGGCAAATATCTGATCTCAGCAATGATATAGACATATACAGATAGACAGACAACATAGCCGAACAAAGAAGCTGATAGACCAGTTGGCCAATAGAAGAGACGGTGATTCGGATTGCGGCGATCCGGATGGCATGTTGCTGATTCAGCGGGCCCGCCAGATGCAAACAGGGCAAATAGACACAAACACAAACAAACACAAACATTTTATAGAAAAAATTGTGCAGGTGTGAACATGTATAGAGTCAAGAGCCGAGGAGTATTCAATTAGAAGTATTTGCGTTCATAGTAACAGAAAAATAACCATGTAAATGACAAACAACAAAGAGCAAAGTATGAATCGAGTGTTTTGATCGCCCCACAGGTGGATCTCTGGGGTTTTCGCCAGGGGCCTAAAATTCAATTTAAATGTTCGCCTCTTCCTTTCCCCAGGACCCGACCAATTCACAAGATGCCTTCGAAATCCTCCAGGTCCTCCAGCTCCAGCTCCGGCTGTGGCTGCCGCTGCTTCTCCTTGAAGACCCTCAGCTTCCTCGCCATCTTCCTGGCGCTCTTCTCCGCCGTCTACCGCTACCTCGACGCGCGCCTCGAGCAGTTCTACATCTTTGACCCAGAGCACCTGCACGACCTCTCTCAGCGCGCCATCAGCACCCATGGCGAAGACACCCGCTCCATCGTCAACTTCATTGTTGCCGAGCTCGAGCAAAAGGTGGGCCCTAACTATCTGAGCACCGAGGAGGAGTGGGTGTTCAACAATGCCGGCGGTGCCATGGGCGCCATGTACGTGATTCACGCCAGTATCACTGAGTACCTGATCATCTTCGGTGAGTATCCCATCTGCATTGTGCTTTCCACCATTTCCGCTTTCTGACCTCTCTTCCTTTCCTAGGCACCGCCATCGGTACCGAGGGCCACACCGGCCGCCACACCGCCGACGACTACTTCAACATCCTCCAGGGTACCCAGCTGGCCTACGTTCCAGGCGAGTTCAAGCCAGAGGTCTACCCGGCCGGCAGCGTGCACCACCTGGTTCGCGGCGAGGTCAAGCAGTACAAGATGGACGAGTCTTGCTTCGCGCTTGAGTACGCCCGTGGCTGGATCCCTCCCATGCTGTTCTTCGGCTATGCCGATACCTTCTCCAGCACCTTGGACTTCCCCACCCTGTGGGCTACCTCACGCATTACTGCTCGCGAGATGATCTCCAACTTGCTGCAGTTCAAGCTGTAAATTATTTTACAGTTTTAGGATTCTGCTAGATGGAGCTTCTGTTCATTGACAAGCCCCGATATTTTATACGTGGCATGTACATCATAGGAATTGGAGGATCATGTTGGATTAAGTGATGGGGTGTTATTTTTCGGCGCCGCAAAAGTTACTTGCGAGATTACTTAATGGGTACTGCATAGAGAATTAACTAATGAATGTTCGGCTGGTATTACTACGCTGATTCAGAAACATTGATCAATGTCTCGGTAGATTAGGTGACAATTGGCAGGAAAAGCAAGGGATTTCTGTAGAGGAAATCATTGCGGGACTACGCAAGGCAAGGTAGCCATCAGGCAATATTCATGGATGAACATGAGACCAGCATATTTTATCGACTTCAGGCTTCAGCCACAGTAATAGCCACTGCCTGATTGCCAATTGTTAATTTCTTAATCGAATTGTCGCATGCATGCCAGTTCCTCGAATCTGTGTGCCTCGAAGTAAGTTTCAGTTATGCTTTACCGAACACTAATTTTACTCATTCTTTACCTCCAACCAAGCAGTACAACAGTACTAGTAATAATCCAAAAGGCCCTACCATCAAGCCTTGGAGTGATGCCCTATGTACCTTGTCCATGCCCTATGTGCCTAGGCTAGTCCCCACCTGTGAACTCTATCGGAAATCCGCCGTCGGCGCATAGGATATTTACCTCAGCAGAATATAACGTTAGCAACAAAAGTAGGTAAATAGACAATCTATGATACCAAGCAAACCTCAATTCCAAAGCTCAAGAAGTTAAAACTCTTTCGCCTTTATCCAACCCTTCTATACCATCCGTTAAACACTATCCCGTGGGATCCATTCAAGAACCAACTCTTTCCGAACCCGAATCCTCGCCAGCAAAATCACAACCCCATAACCGGCAACGAAATAGGAATGATAAGCAAAATCAAGCAAGACTCCTCCATGAGAGTGGATCTGTTGTCAGCACAGGAATGTGGGACCTCGCAAAGGAGACATTTAATCCAGTGGAGAATCACCGTCGATTCATCCTTTTTTCCGGGGTGACTCTCTTCTCGCAGTGGTCTGGAGCCAACGCAATAACACAGTACTCACCGACTATTTTCGGATACCCTGGAATTTTTGGAGACGAGTCCAAGTTCCCGGCCACGGGTATATACGCCGTAACGAAGTTCATCAGTACCCTCGCTTTCGCTCTGTTCATAGTTGAATTCGTCGGATAGCATCGGTCCTATGGCAGGCATCACCCTGCAACTGGTGACGTTGGCCTATGTCGGGCAATATTAAAGACATGACCACATCATATATCAATACTGCACCCAACGTAGCTCGGGCATCCACTGGAGCCATTGTCGCCGTCTATTTCCACGCAGTGGCATGGAGTATTGAGGGTTCAGTATTCCATACTTGGTTGGATCAAAGATTTTCCCAACCAAGATCCGGGCATTCAACTTGTCTATATCAATGGGATTCCATTGGGAATTTTATTTTGGGTGCTCACAGGCGATGGCGAGTCCGCTAGCGGCGATTCAGAAATGGGGTGCTTTCATGTTTTTCGGTTGCATCTGCACAATATCGTTGTTCTATGTGTGAGTCATTCGACAATTGACGGTAATGATGATACTGACTTTGTCGGACACCACTGGAAGGTCTTTGGAAGCCTTGGACAGCCTGTTCCAGCGACCGTGGTACACCGTCTAACAAGCGACATATGCCGACTGTGGGGATATTCAAATTGAACGGCTGGATAAGGTGAACTTGGAACTCCTACTCAGTATGTTGAGTAGGGCACGCAGATTGCGAAGAGAAGAGAAGAGAGATCTATAAAAGTGGACACCGTGCCCGAGGCAGCACATATCACTCTTAATAGGCGTTGTGAACACATCACGATTATGCATTTAGGTACTGAGCCTTAGTATATTCTAGGCTGGAGCCACAATAAACTCTGTTTAAATTACGCATCCTAGGTAGCAAATAACAAATGAGTCAAGCGGACATCGTGCCTCCGACAAACAAACCGGGTGTTGCCTGAACCATCTATAAGAGCCTGGAGCCGACCTTCCTCGTCCATTTCGTTTTCTCTTCTTCCAACAACCAAAAGCCTATTGAATAACTACTTCATCAAATATCTGATATTCGTTTTATCACTACAGCTCACGCTTTCTTGACCCATATCCTCCCCGATCATCTTGTACTGGTTTCACTAATATTCATCACCACAAATCCTGTTTTCATCTCCCTACTGTGGTCAGTTTTTATCATGTTAACCGACTGTGGGTGCTACTATGTGCGAGGCAAAGGCCCTCATACTGGCTATGCCCAGTATCTGCCGCAGGTCTCGCTCAAAGCCCATGCCACTATCGTTTCCTCCGCGGCCAGCACGACCTTGACCCAAACCTTCGTCAACCCATCGATGCGCATTCTGAAAGAGGTTTGTTACACTTTTCCTCTTTATGATGGCGTTAGTGTTGTCGGGTTTGAATGCAAGGTTGGAGATCGCCTATTACACAGCAAGGTTAAGACCACCGAACAAGCGGACAAGGACTACAAGGATGCCATCGCCAAGAAGCAGACTGCTGCTATCATGGACCATACCTCTCAAAACGACGTCTTCGTCATACGTCTTGGCAATGTTCCTGCTCAAGAGAAGGTCACAGTTGACATCACCTTTGTTGGAGAGTTGAAGCAAGACACTCAGACAGACGGTATCCGCTATACACTTCCAACTGTTATTGCTCCTCGTTACCGAAATCAAATGCCATGGAGCCTGACCGACATGTCCCCACTTGGCTAGCCTGCAGTCCTCCAAGGAATGTCCCTCACAGTTGATGTTCAAATGGAGCGAGGCCTGATTCTTCGAGAGTTGCAATCCCCGAGCCACCAGATAAAAGTCTCGCTGGGGCGCACTTCCTGCACACAGTCATCTAGCTTCGAGCCATCCTGCGCCTTTGCAACTTTGAGCTCCGGGAGTACCACCAAAGAGGTGTTGCTACAGCACGACTTTGTCCTCCTCATAAATGCGAATGGACTTGATACGCCCCGTGCCTTGGTTGAGACCCATCCTACCCTTGCAAACCAGCGAGCTCTGATGGCCACTCTTGTTCCCAAGTTCGCCCTCCCCCCAGCTACCCCTGAGATAGTTTTCATTATCGATAGGAGCGGCAGCATGGATGACAAGATCTCAACCGTGCAATCTGCACTCAAAGTGTTTTTGAAATCTTTGCCTGTGGGAGCCTGCTTCAATATTTGCTCATTTGGAAACAGCTTCTCATTTATGTGGCCAAAAAGCAAGGTTTATGATGCTTCTAGCTTGAAGCAGGCCTTACTATTTGTTGGCTCTATTAACGCCGATATGGGTGGCACAGAGATGGAACAAGCAGTCATTGCCACCGTGGGAAACCGACTGGAAGGCAAAAGCCTCGAGGTTTTGATTCTCACGGATGGTGAAATCTATGACCAGGGCTCTCTGTTTGGCTTTGTTCGCGATGCGGCTGCCAAAAACACTACCCGATTCTTTTCTCTTGGTGTCGGCGATGCGGCATCCCACTCCCTGATCGAAGGTATTGCCAGAGCTGGGAAAGGAATTTGTCAATCGGTTATGGAGTATGAGGAGCTCGATCGCAAAATAGTGCGGATGCTCAAGGCTGCTCTCACTCCTCATATCTACGACTACAAACTCGAGGTTAAGTATGACGATGATTCCCAAGAAGAACATGAGTTTGACATCGTGAGCGATGTCGAAACGGAGGGAGAAGATTCTGCCACAGAAGTCAACGACGACAACGTTTCTGTTGGGCCTCAACCAGGCACCCCACAGGAACCGATCTCATTGTTTGACGAGAATTTCATAGAGCCTGAAATGATGCAAGTTGACACTGACACTAGTCCATCAGCTGGCCTTCCAACTCTCACTTCACCACAAGCAATTCAAGCTCCATACAGGATTCCTACTCTTTACCCATTCGTGAGGACTACTGTCTATCTTTTGATGGACTCCGACAAGGCCGAGCATAATCCCAAAAGCTTGAAATTCAGTGCAACCTCTAAACAAGGTCCCTTGCAATTAAAGATTCCCATTCAGAGCATTGGAACAGGTGAGATCATTCACCAGCTAGCCTGCCACAAGGCAGTTATTGAGCTCGAAGAGGAGCACGGTTGGCTCTCTGATGCCAAGGATGAGAGTGGGAACTCTTTCCAGCAGTTCCACCTGGACACAAAGCAGCGAATTGCAGAACGTGAATGTCAGCGTCTTGGAATCAAGTTCCAAGTCACCGGAAAACATTGCTCCTTCGTGGCTTTGGAGGACGATCTTGAAAAGCTTGACAAGTCAGATCACCTAGATAACCCGAGCACTCCAGACAACTCAAGCAATCCAAACAGCCCACGCAGAGCGTCGGCTAGGAGACAGATCACATCTGTTCGGTCCAAGGAGCATGCTGTCCATAACCTTTCGTCAAGCTTTCTAAGGCCTACCTATGGTGAAGCGAGGTTTATGGACACTAGCCCGCGGACGAGAACTGCAGGGCCCCATCAGCCGCCATTCGGGCAGAAGTCGCACCAACTATTGGCCCGAGCAGGTGGCCCAGCTGTTCGGCAGGCGGAACCCTTTGACCTAGCAAGAAGTGGAGGAGTATCAGAGAGAGGGTTTGGAGAATCAGGGAGAGGCCGACGAGGTGGGAGAGGAGGCGGTCTCTTTGGATCCTCCCAAGCAAATTCTCCTTCCACCCAGAGTCGCTTTGGAGGGAGTTCGGATTATGCGCCATCTCCCCCAGGAGGGAGTATTGGAATGTATTCTCTTCCTTGTGGTGGAGCTAGCTCAGCAGCAGGCAATATGGGGGCCTTTGGTCAGCCTATGCCATCTGCTGATCGCCCAATGGACAAGTTTTATGAGCTTATTGGGCTGCAAACCTTTGAAGGCAGCTGGATGTGGTCGAACAAACTGTTCAATCTTCTCGGTCTGCGCGAGCAGGAGATCACCACGAGCATTATCAGAATGTATGATCAGCACTGGGACACGGATGCTGCCAAGTTTCCAAATGTCGAGGAAAAGGCTGTGATTGCAACTCTACTGGCTATCGGATATCTGGAGAATAAACATGCTGATTTGCGAAGAGTATGGGAGCTTTTACACGCCAAGGCTGATGCGTGGGTTACGCAGAAGCTGCAGCAGATGGGGGACCCATCTCTCGGGGAGATGCGCTTCGAAATACTTTCACTGGCTTGATATCTTGCTTGAAAGCCCGCAGAACCAGAGACTGTGATTTGCTAGGGAAGAACTTTGCTTGAAACAAGGGAGATTGCAACGGGAGGAGGAAATGTGACGCGGACAAAGAAAAAGTATGGGAAGTAATATCGAATAGCTTTGCAATGAAAACAAATTGTATTACCCATTCAACACATCCTTGTAATACCAACATCTCTACCATGAACAATGCCCACCGTCAACTCTCAAATCAGACCCGGTCATGAAACTACTCCCATCACCCAACAAAAACAATACAGGCGCACGGAACTCATCCACAGTACTAAGTCTATAGAGCATATTATCACCGGCCCACTGTGTCTCCATACCGGGTTTCTGTAACGCCTCGGCAGTAGCTGCAGTACGAATATAACCCGGCGAAAGCGAGTTCACCCGAATCAAGGGTATTCCAACACGAGAACCCCATTCAGCAGCCAAAGACCGAGCAAGCTGATGCACTGCTGCTTTCGACGAGTTATATCCAGCGGTATCAACGCCCTATTTTGCTTGTTAGTTTACTAGCTGATAGATCATTTAGTGACAGGCTCGCCTTGTTCGAGACATATCCACTCATACTCGCCACTAGTACCATACTAGCCGTGACATTCGCCTTGATCGTCTCTTTTGCGACACGTTGCGCAACCCGGAATGTCCCCGTCACGTTGATATCGAGCAAGCGGGTGAATGATTCAGAGGGAAATTCTGTCGCAGGCCCATTGTCGGACACGCCTGCGCATGCGGCAAGGCCGCGAATGGGATATGTAAGGCCTGGGACTATTTCATCAAAAGCGGCGTTGACTGAGTCGTCGCTCCGCTGATCGCACTGTATGTATGAGACATGGCGGGAGTACTTTTTTGCAGCTGCTTCGAGGGTTGCTATTTCAAGGTAATTAGAAAACGCTCGCAATATTTATGTGTGCCGAGTTTATCTACCCCATTCTTCTTGCTTCGGTGAGCTCATGACATCGAGGCAGACGACGTCTGCGCCACTTTCGAGCATGGCTTCTGTCAACGTCGTGCCCATGAAGCCAGCTGCTCCGGTTACTGATTGAGATGGAGTTCAGTCCACTTCTTCTTTAATTAGTTGTTGGCTCCTTTACCAATTATGGTTCTCCCGTCAAGTCGGAATAAATCCGCGACTGCGACTGACGCGCCTCCTTGTGGCTGCTTAGCTTCTCGGAATCTGGGATCATGGACATTTGACTGGACTTCTTGGTGGGACATTGTGAGAGAAAAACTTGCAAAGTTTGTAAAGAAAGTGACAATATCTAGTGTTTATTCAGGAACGTTCAATCGGGCTGGCTTAAATATGTTGCACTAAGCTGTTCCCCGCATTTCTTTATGCATGATGATATCGACTCTTCACGCCGGGTCCACTAAGATGATACCCTGAGCACCAATCGGCCGATTATTATATGGAGAGACCATTTTCAAATGTAGTCTTCATCCTAGGTCACCACATATTGTCAGTTTCTATGCTTCTCGTCGTTTCTTGGGACCTTGTTGCCTGAGGTTTCTGGCCCGGTTGTTACTAGAAAGAACCAGTGTGCCTCCTTTGATAACGCCGTGGATATCTACCAGGGCTAAGGACATGCGGACCGAAAAAGATTCTGCGCGTTTTTCAACAAAATACGTTGCTTCGTCTCCGGTCCAAAGTTACTCTCTAAGCCATCATCAACTCTTTTCGCCAAAGACTCAGCCAGCGCCGCCGGCGTATAGGGATAGTCACTCCCGTACAGTAATCTGGAAGAATCAACCATTCGAAGAAGACCATGTATCTGGTCAGGAAACGGAACCCCCGCAAGATCAAAATAGAACCGTGTCTGCAAGAGGTTCTTCATCTGCTCTGCACTCACACCATTCCCTAGACCCGGAAGCATGGGAGAGAATCCGGCAACCCTTTGCAGAATAGGAGGAAAAGTACCACCGCAATGACAAGCCAGGAAAGTAATCCCTGGACACCGATCCACCGTGCCGGAAGTGAGCAGATTCATCAACGCCCGGGTTGAATCGAACATGAACTCCATCATTGGCGCCGAGAACCCAGGGATCGGCATAACCTTGCTTAAGGTATTCTCCCTTGGGTGCTGAATGAGACAGGTGGTGGGGTGCAAAAAGGCGATCGTTTTGCGCTCGCTCAACTTGTCAAAAACAGGATTGAATCGCGCATCACCCGGGTAGATGCTATGCGAATTGGTCAGGATTTGGAACCCAACTGCGCCTAGATGGTCCAGCGCATAGTCTATTTCTGCAAGGGAGCCTTCCACGTCCGGGAGGGGAAGAGACGCGAAGAAACGAAATTTGTCGGGGTGATCGGCGCAGGTTTTGGACATGTCAATGTTGGCGCGCCGGGTTATCAATCGCCCTTCTTCGTTGTTCCCTGGTGTCAGATGTGTTCCCGGTGACGACATGCTGAGGATTGATTGTTTGATGTTGAGCTTTTTCATTAGTTCGATGTGGGCCGATGCACTCCATTCCTGGGGTTTCAGTATTTAGTAAAGGAAGTTGACTGGTCTCTAGGGGTGCTAACTGGGATCGCAGGCATTCCATCTGGATGGCCGTTGCCCGCGAAGCCGCTCTGCAGGCAGTATTCGCGATATGAGGATGGAACACAGTGAGTGTGGGCATCGATTCTCTCCATTTTGAGGTACTGAACAACGGCAAGAGTAATTGGCGCTGAGTGTGCAAATTTACTACCTAGGCAGTCCCCCGCATTCTGTGCTGACCGCAGATTGGACATTTTTTCCAAGGTCAGGCATTAATATGCAACATTAGCCTCGTGACTAATATTGCTTTGGCTGGATTGATTGGACTTTATGCAGGAGAATACATTGTTTGCCTGTCTATATTGCTCTTTGCAAACAATGGGAATATTGAACATGATATAGCAAACCCGTTGGGTTATTTTCATACCAACCAAGAAACCACTATATGAAATCTGTCGTCGGAAGTTCCTTCGGCTCAACAATCAATCCCCTTGCAGCCAATAATCGCGCCTGCGTGAGCTTCAAGAACCGATAGGTGTTATCCAAAATGGGCGTCTGGACGCCCTTCTCTCTGGCAACCCGCAAAGCGTTCCCCAGAATAACCTCCACTTCCATAGGGTTACCCTTATCAACGTCCACTAACATGCTAGGGCGGAAAGACAGTTCGAGAGGAGTGCCATCAACCACGTCATCCACAATTCCTGCTCCGAGATCATAGCCATCAGCCTTAGCTATCGCTGCCATCTCCTCCATGCCGGGTCTGATTAGACTGTGTTCACCGCCGAACCGTCGAATCGCTGCATTGTCAAGCTGCGTAATGGCACACATTGGGTTGAAGATTCCATTCCACAACACTTTGCGCCAGCGGTAGAAAACGATATCATCCACAATATCCGCATCGACAACTTTGCTGCCGTTATAGATGGCCGCAAATTCTTCGAGCTTGGCTCGCTCTATTGCTTTATCCAAGGCTTGGTTGTGGAAGGCGCCTATGTGGAAGTTATCATGGTCATCATGTATAACGCTTCCATTGAGCTCATGTGCGCCAATATAGCTGGGGGCGGATAGCACAACATTTGACGGGAATGCTTCGATAATCGGTGGTTCAATATAAAGTCCATTTTGAAACAGCACGATGGTCGTGTGGTCTGGTGTGACCGCTGGAGCTATTATCTTTGGCACGTTGTTCACTTCTGGGATATTCTTCACTGTGACGATCACGTAGTCAAATGGACTTTCTTGATCCGCATGCGGGACCGCGTTCACAACTAATTTCTCTGTCAATCTCGTAATGTATCTCTACTGGCTGCGGTTTTGCATACCCGAACTTGGTCTCCAGCCGGAGAGTTTGCCATGGTCAATTGAATCAATCTCAAATCCATGCTGTAGGACTTTCTCATAGTTGGATCGCAAGACAGCTGTTACTGATGCCATTCCAGATCTCTCGAGCGCGACACAGACCATTGTGCCGACTCCACCAGATCCCACCACCAATACTCTCCGCTTTGGAATTCTTGTATCTGGCATGGTGGATTGCTTCAATGGTGTTTCCCCAGGATGGCTTGGTGTAAAACTTATGCAACGACCCAGCAGTAATTGAGACAATAAGACACGTTAAGAGGCCAAATATGTCGAGAACTCGGTCTTTTCAACTCTATACGATCTCGGAGGGCCCGCCGATATCATTACGTAAGTCGGGAGCTCCGACATAGGCGAATCTATGGTATTTGATTGGTTGGTCGGAGTCTGCTGCCTGTTTTCCTTATCTATATCCTCCTAACTGGATAGTGACACCGAACCTCAAGACAGCATCGTCGATTTGATGTTAAAGTGGTGAATGAAGTATCGTTTACATCGCATCAATTCTACAACATCTGATCCTCCGAGCTTTTTCTCGTCGGGCTGCATCCATGGATGAAGCGAACCTTGCGAGTATAATTTGTTGTCTCAAAACACTCAACAACTCAATGATGAATAGTGATGCAACTAATGTTTACAGCCCCTTGATACCTCCTGTAGCTCCTTCACAGTACGCACATTCATAATGAAGAACCCGATCAAGACCAAGAAGCTTCGAAAGTTGACAAAGACACGGGAATCACAAAGACTTGAAAGTCTCTTCGAGCTCTCAGAGGAAATAGCTGAAAAGTCTGGAAGATGGATATATGCCCAGCTCCTGCGCGGTATGCGATATATATGGTGGGATACCGACCGAGATATCTTCCTACAATGGGCACAATCCATCATCGAGACGGAGATACGCCTACGCGAAACTACTCAACGCGAGTCCTACCTCAAAGAATTAATCCAATCTCAACAATCATACCGCACCGTCGACGAGAAGTCTCGTTTAGAGGCACTAATTGAAGAACTCATATCCTTGGATCGTGACTACCGAAACCTTGAACGGTCTTACGTTGCTGTGATTGCGAAATGTCCAGAGGGGTCGATGAAAAGCGTCTATCTATCATTTCGAAGACAACCACAGTGGCATATGATGAGTCAGTGGCTTCGTCAGGATTGTGCGAATCGAGGTGGATGCTGTGGCCGGGCATGTCAATGCTGTGAGAATCTGCCCGATCCTCGTCGGGTGAACGGACGTGGTCATTGTACTGAGCAATGTGGCTGTTGTCACCGTGCACGCGGATTCTCGGTAACAGAGGAGGATCGGGAGCGCATGAATCCTCGCTTTGATCTCACTGTTTACCCGCGGACAGCTTATAGTCGGGAAATGTTCCTTGCTCATATCTGGTCACTTCTCTAGGACTCGCTTTCTTGTGGATGTTACTTACAAGAACACAAGCAGGGATTGCTTGCAAAGCACTAGGACTTCTTATTTTATTTTCTCTATCTACGCTTTGGCAGGGATTGCTTATTTGTACATGTTTTCTGGATATAGTTCCAATAATGATCGCTTATCTCACCCTACTTACCTATACTCCCTGATCATGACTAATAAATTCAATCCGCAGATAGTGACGAAACATAATTGCTTTTTCTTATTGCTCTCTGAGTGTATGTTTCGCAGAAAAGGGAAACTTGTAGCGGAGGCGTTCTGCCAAGCAAAATACAAAGACGTGGGCACTAAAAGCTTGTTCAGGCAACGGAATACCTGTCAAATGAAGACGAACGAATATATGCGGTTTAAGAGATAGGTGTGGAGACTCTGTTGCAGCCTGTCCAGGGTAGTGCCAAGCCGGCACATTTCACGCCTTCTGATTCGATGTGATGCTATCGTCGGTACCAACACTAATAGCTTCCCCGCAGCTCTACTATAGTTTTGATAAGGCCAATGTCATGGTTTCTCAAGATATAGCAAGGGCTGAGGGTTCTTAACCAGGGCCATGCCCAGGAGCACCATGTCTATCCGATATTATTCTCATTTGACTCAATTATAAATTCGCGATATGGATAACGACCCTTATGAGAGAGACGAGACCTTCTGGGCACCAGGAACAGTTGCTCTAGAAGATAGTAATTATCCATGACCCAAAGAACAACAAGATTAATAGCAGATTGACTAACAATCCCAGTCAACGCCTCTAGAGATCAACTCGTCCTCTTCCCCACCCCCTCAGCCGACCCCAATGATCCACTCAATTGGTCAACAGCCCGCAAAGCACTCAACTTCACGCTCGTCAGCTTCTTCGTGCTATGGACCTTCGTCCAACTGGACATCGGCTTCACAGCATGGGGACCCATGCAAACAGAGCTGGGATTCTCAGTGGATATACTAAACGCAGAAGCAGCCGTCAACTACGGCGGTCTAGCTGTAGGCTGCATATTTTTCATGCCACTGGTACACAAGTACGGACGACGCCCAATCTATATTTTCAGTGTTGCTCTCCAATTCGCATCATGTATCTGGCAGGCTGAAACATACACCATTGGGGATCTGATGGGCAGCGGCCTGATATCCGGTATTGGCGGTGCAATCAGCGAGACGATTGTGCAGATGACCATCGCCGATATGTTTTTCGTACACCAACACGCTACCATGAACGGGTGGTATGTCATTGTCCAATCGGCTGGCGCATTCCTGGGACCAGTGGCATCGGGGTACATTGTCGTGGCACAGGGGTGGAGGTGGATGTGGTGGTGGTGTGTCATCTTCTTTGGTGTGACACTGCTCTGTGTGGTATTCCTATTTGAGGAGTCGAAGTATATCCCCGTGCTGAATAGCGTGGATGCTACCCCGGCAGTGCAATCCGTCGCGGGTTCATCGAAGAATCCCAAGGATGATAACTTGCAGGATACGAAGAATCCCGGTGAAACTATTGCCAGTCGGGTAACTACCAACACCCAAATCAAGCCGAAGTCATACTTCCAGCGTATGGCATTGATTACGCCTACTGATGACCCTATATGGCCTCACTTTTATCAGCCTATTGTTGCACTTTTCACTTTCCCGGCAGTTAGCTATGCTGCTATTACATATGGGACTACATTGAGTTGGTTCGCTATTATGACCTCGTTGCAGGCATCCTACATGATTCTCCCACCATATAACTTCGATGCAGTTGGCGTTGGTCTTATGAACGTGGCTCCGTTTGTCGGCGCTGTTCTTGGATTCCCATTCGGTGGACACCTAAGTGATAGGTCTATTTTGTGGCTGTCTAAGCGGAATGGTGGTGTTTATGAGCCAGAAATGCGTCTTTGGCTTGCGCTTCCTATCGCGGTGATCAGTCCCGCAGGTATATTGATGTTTGGTCTAGGACTTGCCTATGTGAGTATATCTTCTTAGAGCTAAGTTCCATTATGCTAATAATACATAGGGCGTGCACTGGGCTCTACTGGCAGTCGGCTTTGGTTTCTTCGGATTTGCACTTGCGGCAATTAGCGGGATTGCACTTTCGTATCTCATGGATTGTTACCAGGATGTGAGTATATTCCTTTTTTCTCTTACGTCACTGCCTTCTCTAGCTAATATGCTTGTTTTAGATCATTGGCGACGCACTGGTTGGTGTGATCTTTATGCGCAACATCTTCTCCGTGATTGTCCTCTTCGTGCTCACACCGTGGGTCGAAGGCATGGGCATGCGCGACCTACATATATTAGTTGCAGTCATTGCTTTTGTTATTTTACTTATCCCCGTGCCATTGCTTATCTGGGGCAAAAAGGCAAGAGTCGCTACTGCGCCGATGTACCGGAAGATGGCGTCGAACCAGCTCAGTCACCGCACTGTGTAGGTACTACACCACGCCTTAAGCAATATTGAAATCTATTTATTCTCCATTTCTGTCTTAGGAAACTCATAGATGATTTCAAAGTCCAAATTAAATACGAGAGCTGATTCATACGGAGATAAGCTATTCAACAAAGTATTAATTAAGAAAAGATTCCGAAGAAGAGAGTGATTATCTGGTATAAGTAAAAGCAATGTACGACTCCCAGCCCCATATTACAACGCAACATATTGAAAGTGCAGTCTTTTTACCTTGTGCAAGCACAAAAGAGAACAGTGGGTACAGCAGCAGCCTTACACCTTTCCAGCCTTGCCGAAATTGTTGTACCCGGCAATCTCAATGCTCTCCTCAGCCACATAGGAAGTAACAGTATTTGGCTTCTGAATACTGCTCATAGTCTCGTTTGAGTTCATAGTTCCAGACTTGTTGGAGACAAGAGTCCTTTCGGATGTGCGACCTGTGGACCGGAGTTGGGACCAGAAGCCAGACTTGCCCAGCTTGAATAGAGGTCTGAGATTGGGCAGACAGGCTGCAATAATACCGACTGTGGCTTCAATGCAGGTCCATACGACGACTGGGACTTGGTGGTCTATGGAAATGGTTAGAATGTGTCAAGCGGGAAGAGAATTTGGATACTCACAAGTGATATCAGGGCCGGCATCGAGCAGTTTGATCATGGCATACAATCGGGCAATATCGAAAACGAAAGTTCTGTAGCGAGTAATGTCAGAGGATTGATAATATCACAATTGGGAAGGTAAAACTCACAGGCCACCAACAAGGAAAATACCCGACAGAAGCACCTTCTGAGATTTTGGGACGGGCAATGACCAAACAACCTTCGCCGGCATGAGGAGGATGATGAGATCACAGAGAATGTTTGGGATCTGAATGCCATAGTAGAACTTGTATGGGTTAAGGCAGGCTCCTGGGATGGATTGGTCCCAGAACTTGTTCGCCGGGATACAAAGAAGAGCACCCGAAACGAAGACGCCGACTACCCAGAGCAGGACAACGACAGTCATTATATGCACACCAACTACCATGTATCGAATTGCGAACAGACGCTTGTAAAGTGCCAAGATGGAGAACTTCACGAACGCCACGCAACTGGTGTAGACGAAGTTATTGGAGTATCCGATCTAATTCGAGTCAATGTGTGTGCTAAAATTGGTATTGCGGGTGGCGTACCTGGAAGTAAAAAACCAGATTCTTGGGTGGAATCATGGTAATGTGTGATCCGAGACCATTGTACAGAACTGACATTATCAGTATTGTTGTCGAGTCGCTCCGGCATATCTAAAACACTCACGGGTAACAACTCCACTGGAGCATGCATACTTGAAGAACAGAGCCACCAGAATCAGATAATCATCTAGGAAAAGCCTGCTTCCAGTCATTCGTCTGGCCACAAGACGCAGAACAACGGCGAGTGTAGACAATGTGAAAGCAAACACAAGCGCGATCTTGATAGGCCGGCGAATGTCCTCGTTCGGGTGTTCAAAGTCGCCTGGCGTCCATGTGGCGCCAGAAGATTGTTGTGCTGAAGACATGACAGGCAGTAGTCAAGTGGGTCAGTACCTTAAACAAACAGGCAAAGCAAAACGAGAAAAGTTGTTGGTTTGAAATATTTGGAATCATTGTAAGGCTACGCCTCTTAATATACTTTAAAGGATTTGAGATAGGCGTGTTAGATCCTTCTTACACCGAAGACGTATCATATTGTTCATCATCAATCCAAATGCCGCAAAGTGACATGGTGTGTCTACGGATCACATAGATCATATTTTCAACGCGGTATGAGTGCATAAACACACTCATAGCCAAGGCAGTGTTCTGTGCGAACCATAATTGCGGGGTGTTAGGCACAACTACATGTACCTCGCGTTGAAAAGCAATAAGTTTCCAATCTATGCCTTGCCAGATCATAAAAAGTTGAATCTTATGTACGCTGTGATCTTGTGCTTTTTGTCCAATCGGATGCGCGCGATGGAAATTTTCTCCGATATATCACCTCAGAGAGTAGATGTGTCATATCGGCCCTACCACAGTATGCTCCACTTCGTTGCAGATGCCAACTTCGAGAACCAGATGGAATGTGTTGAATAAGAAATTTAGGACTGCTTCTCTTTCTATCTGGATTGCAGAGAAGTCTAGTAAACATTGACTGTTCTTCCACCTGAAGCAATTTTTGATAGACAAGGAACATTAGCGGCAATCCAAATCGGAAGTCACCCCTTCTTCCCAAGTAAGGGATTAGCAAAAAAAGGTTGAGGCAAATCTAAAGTCGCGGGGTAGAGCTCTCCAGGGACTTTGCCCTACGGGGGAGAGTTTCATGCCGCAGATGTGTCATGTCAATTTAGTGGATCCCGGCGACATCTGTCAAGCAGGAAGCGCCATGATCGCCCAATAATTGGGGCGTGTGCAGGCCCCTAGATACCATTCCCGGTTTCTGCGTCAAGACATTCTCGTATGATTGGTTAACTGACGTCTGAATACTGGGACTAAGACGGGAGGAGCTGAAATTGGGGCTCGGCTAGCCCCGTCCGAGCCACAAGGCGATATGTCGATTCTATCTCATATGCCTTAGATCACGATCCACATGGTGGCAATTAGTGAGATTCAGCCGTTTGAATTTGAGTTCTACTCCCATGACAGCGCCTTTGTTATTAATATTCTATACATCTCATGCGTCACAGAGATAGATCGACAGACCTTTACTTTTTTGAGTTTTGAGAGACAAACATTTCACTTATTCATCCTGCTGACTGCATGAGAAGTTGAGAAGTCCGACTTGTCTGTTACAAAAACAATAAGACCCTGACAAGAAGAACGACTCATTGAGATGCCAAGAGGATATATACTTGTTTTCGTTGCATTCCATTTGCATAGAGGAGATTGGTGAATCTTCACCAATATTGCACTAGTTTATAGCGGGTCAACTCGCTTTACAACGGCAGTGCAGACAAACTTTTGTCCGAAACTCAGTTGTCGTCCGCAGATCCCTCCAGCAAACTTCCTCATCCTGGGGAGAACCGCGTCTGGTTTGGTCCCCGTAACCTAATACAGCATACTGCAAGTCCAACTCCCCGCGTCATTCTGGTTGCCCTTGCAATTATACTTTGCCTGGTCAAGGTAGCGGCAGATTGGATGCTGGCGCAAGATTTCATCAGCCGTCGCATCGTTCTCCCACTTTGTGGCGGCGTGTTCATTGGGCGCAGTACCGTTCTCGGCCAAGCCATCATCGCTAGAACAATATCGTGGCGCGATTCTCTGTATCCAAGAGTGCTGTAGGCACCAGTGTTGATATTGCAGTTGGTCTGGACCGGCAATGTCCATGGAGCATCCATATTTTCAGGGGGTGGAAAGATAATGCCTGTTGAGGCTCAGAGTGGCTGGCTTGACTGGGGTCTATTTTATTAAATTTCCTGAATGTTTGAACCTACTCCATTTCAGGGATGAGAAACAAACAATAAAGATTATTCATTTCAATACCTTGGGGCTCTACGGCACTGGAGGCTTGGTCGTAGTAATAAATGCTAGTATCCGGGGAAACAGGCGCATCTGACAGCCCGTGATGAAGGAACATGCCACAGCGCTTGTGGTAATCACTGATGTCAAACGTGTCGGCGGTCGCATTTCCAGGGTTCAACTTGTCTGCAAGCTGGACAGTGCTGTCGTCGAGGTCTTGCCAGGTAAAGCGATCCTCAAGACCCATAAGGTCCCGCGGATAACAGCACTGCTGTTCGATAGTGCTGTTCTTTCCCAGGCCGATATTTCCTAGCAACTACGATGCTTCACTGCCGAATCACGGGTGGCCATAGGCAAATGCCTGGTTCGCATAGATCCAGTCATTATAAAGCTTGTGCAATGTGGAAAGCTGGTCAGCCGTGACGCATTCCTCAGCGGCGCTAGGCGCGTTGTAGGACAGAGTATTGATGTCAACGTTCTCCAAAGCCACCTTGGTTTTGCGATCTTTGATAGAGAACCCGGGCAACGGATCATCCACGCCGTTCTGCAATCGGCCCGAGAGGTCTGGATTAGCGTGGCTCTGCCCCTTCAACCGGTGCCTGGATACTGCGATGATTCTGGAAACGACGCAGTGAATCAACTGGCCAAGCACACTTATTCCACCCCCATCTCTCCATGGATATGGCGCTCATTCGGGATGAAAAAGTGCTCGATAAGGGCAAGAATAAACCTTCTAGAACGGGCGACCATCTTCGCCGGATAGATGTCACCCTGCCTTCTAGATACACAAGGCGACTTCATGGAACGCTTCCAAGGAGTCGATCCTACCTACTGACCCAACTGCGAACAGGCCACTGGTAGCTATCAAACGCGATTTCGCTTTCAAGAAGACAAGTGTGAGTGCAGTGCACAGGAACAGTGGTTCATGTCATAGTGGGCTGCCCGAAATTGAAGATGCTGCGGCAGACACTACGATGGAAAGTGGTCGCCGCTTTCCGCAGCATCTCGTTGTTGCTAGGGGAAACAGGAAAAGGTAAGAATGTGAAATCTTACACCAATCTACAAAGAGTACAAAACGCCTCGACATGCACCTTTTCCTACACTTCCTGTCTGGGAAAAGTCTAGACCGTCAACCAAAGCCTGGGTGGAGGCTGAGTAAACGATTTTGGGGTATTTTAATGACGACGTCTCATAGGAGTTAGACATAGTAACATTGTTATTACACTTACATTAGCATGAATACTTCGGTCAAATGGCTAAAAAAACACTCGCCTCGTTTTCGTTTACATGATAATTCTGGAACGGTTTGGTTCCTAGGGAAAAAAGGGCAAAAGTGGCCGGATGTGGTCAGCAGAGAAGTGGCGCCCACTCAGAGTGCTGGGGTGACATGAACTTGTCACCGGATCAGAGCAACCTTCCGAATCGGAAACCGCGGGTGTTTTGCCAGCCAATGTCTGTCCAGATCAAGCAAAGCTCAGGCTGTGCAAATAAACTAGGGGAAACGGGTCTTTCACAAATTATCTTATTCCTATCCTACATAAAAGTGCTCAAATTCTGAGTTTGACTTCTACGCCTCCAGACACCAAATCACGCGAGCTTTCACGTCTACTAGCTGAAACTTATCTTATCTGCCGGACTCTATAAAGTCAATGGAAGATTCCGCAAGATAGCACCTGAGTCCCTAGGGTATGCAAATGCACTACCAACCGGAATGATGAGCTTCTGGCGAAGTCTCCACCACTGGGATTTCGGAGCTTTTAACGCCACCAACGACAAAACGTACGATGAAGAGAATCTTCGATGGGGGTCTGGGTTACCAAAATGCCCGCGACCGAATTGCCGACTAATACCACGGCTGAGAAAGGCTACAGTGGTTTTCCTTCTAATAGACCTGATGGTCGTCGGGCTGTTACTCCAGTCCTTCGCGCCGCTCATCAGTTTGCTACGCAGAAATGAAGAGCTCTTCGGGTCTCGAGTAGCACTGCCCGCCCCGTATAGGCCAGATGCTCGGCATCAAATGACCTCATCAGGCCAGATACCGCGAATACTGCACCAAACCGCCGCCACCGAGACGATTCCAAACAAGTGGATCGAGTCGCAGCAGAGCTGCATAGAGGCCTATTCAGACTTTGAATACAAGGTAATTCTTATCCGTGCATTATAAGAAGTCCCATCGACCTGCGAAAGTTTAGCTTCGTATCGAAGGAACTGGCTACTTTTGAACCTAACTGACGGATTTTTAAGCTATGGACCGATGAGTCGGCTCGAGACTTCCTCTCCATCGAATATCCCTGGTTCATGGATACCTGGGATGCCTACGCCTTTCCAATCCAGCGTGCAGACGCTTTACGCTATTTCGTTCTGTATCATTTTGGTGGTGTCTACCTCGACATGGACACCTGGTGCAATCAGAGCTTCCCCCTTCACGAAATTGGACTCAACACATCGACACACTACGCCTTGTTTAAATCAACAGTGCCGACCGGTGTAACCAACGACTTCATGATAACCTCCGCCCGGCATCCAATTTATGCCAAGGCAATTGCCAAACTACCCATCTTTTATGCGATAACTCACCTCTGGGCTCGATGGCAACCCTACTGTGCCATCATGATATCTGCTGGGCCCATGTTCCTCACTCTGGTGATAAAGGAATACTTGCTTGAGCAGCCTTCGCTACCCTCGCCGCTAGTAGGGGTTATCAATGCAACGGAGTTAGCGCCGTACATCACGGATATGGAGAGCGGTAGTTGGCATCGAACAGACGCACAGGTGCTCATGTGGATCGGAAAACGGAGATGGTCTTGGTTCTTCATTGGAGCGGTTGGGTTAGCTGCTGGATTGTCCATATTTCACCGTCTACTGACGATTATGCTTGATCGTGTGCTTCGCAAGGTTGATTTCGATTCCTGCAATCCGAAGGTGGCCAAGGAATCATGACAGAGACAGAATGGCAGTAAGTACAACTAGTTAATATGTAATATATTCGTCGATTCAGCTACACTGTCGGTTGAAAAAAATAGTTTCCTATGGGCGCAAATACTTCAAGTCACAATCAATGTTATTGCAGCGGATTGTTGACAAAAACTTCTCTGACCTCAACAGCGAGATCTCCCAGTATACCTTCATAAGGAGGGTTAGAAACTTCCACGAGGTAATGCTCTTGGTCATCGTCGACCAGATGAAGCTGATTCCCAATCCGTTCCCAAGGTCCATTCCAGTACAGGGACGTTATCAAACTCTTCTCATCATGGTAGAGATCAATCATTCCCTCGATACCTAGCCCAAATGCTGCACTTCCGCAGACCGATACCACGGCACTTTGGCCATGTGGAATTGAGATCTGATTGACATCTTCTGGGGAGATGAGCCTGGGAGTGCCGCCCTTCTCGTAGGGTTGGCCACTGGTAATACCGTAAGTTAAAGAGCGGGAGTACCACTCGGATTCATGATCATACCGGGCGCAGACTAGGTTCCTCAGGAAGATGGTGCCTTGGGCAAGATTGTTCTTTATGGTCAAAGAAAGGTGCTGTGTAAGGTGACAATTCATTTGTTCTGTCTGGCAGTGAAACGGAGCGCTTGGTTGAATTGGATACCTTGTTGAACTTATATGCTCCGGTGTGGCTGAGTACTAACCTAGACTCTTCAGTTGCCGGATGTAAAGAAGCTCCCAATCCCAGCTTAGAGCCATTGGTGGCGGGTGGTAACTGCAATTGCTTAACATGGACTGAGATATCTCCGTATCGATACGATCGGGAGACGCGTAAGCCATCTCAATTTGGATAATGCGCAGGTGGCGGACTAGTTATTCATGGCAGTGAAAGCCACCCCAAGGCAAACCCCGGCCGACGCATGTGGCCCAGGCATCTGCATTTCCGAGCCGGGAATAGCTCTCCCGCATCCCTCGCCTTGCTATTAGTATTGTTAAGAGTTATCAAACCCGAAGCGCAATAGTGTACAAAATTTTGTTAACATGCGGTCTGTTCTAGGAGGCGAAGAATTCTGAATAAGCTTGTGGCTGAATTGGTTGAATTGGTTGAATCTGACATTTTCGATGCCAACAAAAATCAGAGCCGTATTGCACGTACGAGATTCCATTATACGAGAGGATATATGAGGGTACCATAAGCTGGGAGGTCGTGTGCTGGGTTGCCCCGCTGTCAAAGCTTGGCTATATCGGCATTTTCCTTCTCCCTGACCATGATCTGGTACATGGTACGTACTTTGTCATCCACTTGCTACTTTTTATCTATGGAGGGCCAAAAAGATTGAAGATTGAACTTGATGGTAGATTAGGTCTAAGTGCGCTTGGATGCTTGCTCTGCTATGTGACGGCCCTGGTTATTTTGAGACTGTTCTTTCGTCCACTATGCTGAATTCCAGGTTTAAAGTTGGCTCGCATCGGCAGGTGGTACAGCCCTTGTTACAAGTTCATTGTTGATGGACAATACAGCTTGTCCTCTGACGCCCTTCATCGCTTAAATGAGTTTCAGTGACAGCCTGATAAAATTCACCAGGCTATTTTCATCAAGAATCGCCGATCATGTCAATGATCCTCACTTTACGAAGAGTAGCCCTTCCACAGGTTAAAAAACCATGAGCTTATTCTCGGTTGCAGAGTGTTTGGTATCAGAACCCATTACTATAAGGAAGCTGAATTCTACCAAGCTCTGGGCGCCGAAGGACCGATGGCGTTAATTTTGGATCCTAACGAACATCGACTGTATCGAAATCATCTCAGACCATGATCTAGACACGTTTTATTGCTGTGGTTGTTCCATATCTTGAGATTGAGCTTCAAAAAGCAGAGATTCCTATATGTCGGGGACAGTACTGGAGTCTAATGGAGGCTGGATGCTCATTTAATTTAGTAACTTGCTGCTTTAATTACGAGGCCACCCGGTCAATTTCATTCAATTGTGCAAAATCTATCGTAGCTGCAGCAAATTAGCAATTCCGTTGGTGGACATCTATACCGCCATTTGCGTGCGTAGAGAACCCTTGGAATCCACAACTATTTGCGCCACCTTGGTTGCCTTTTTGCAACTTAGGACGAGTGAAGACTATGCAAGCCACCGGCTTTTACAATAATCAATCATGAACAGAATACCACAGATCTGTCGTGACAATGACTGGCAATCCCTCGGGGTGGCTAACAGACTCGAGCTGCACCACAAATTAGGGTATGCATGCAGAGTACTATGAATATTGATAGGTATGCACATACAGCGGTGTAGATCAGCAATAGACTGATCCATATATGCATCGCAACCTGCATAGCTGTAAATAGGTAGAAGTCAGTTGCATGCAGTCAGCTGTGACATATTTCACGGCTTGATGAGGCTTTTCGGTTTAGAGCCGATTGTCTTGATTTGAGTCTTCACCGGCAGACAGTACCCTCCCCCCCAAAACCCGGCCTTTCAAAAATTATCGTACTCTATTGCTCTAGAAATAAGAGCTGCTCACTATCGCATATACCGTGCAAACCAAAAGCATAACCCATTCGCAATTACAACCACGGACCGTTCAGCTGCTCCCGACACGCGGTAGTCCGGGTTTTCGCAGGACTGAACTAATAGAGTAAGTTGTGAATATTCACTCTGTCTTTTTAAGTATTTCACTTTCCACCGAGTATTACTATCAGCCGATTTGTACTAAGGCCTTTTACACTACCAGTCTAGAAAGCGATCTCCAAGGCAGTGGCCCTTCACGCCTATCCCATCAGGACTCACGGCCGTCGGATTTATTATCTGGGAACCAAATCGTAAGATTGTGAAAGTATAACTGAATTGTAATATCGCTGTACGCTAAATGAAGTTGCTGTTCAATTCAAGTTCCACCCTTCACTTGGTCTCTGCCTTCTCGATATAATCTCCTAGATCAAACCAGTGAATCTGGTCTCCAAAGCTCCTCGCGTTCCATACTGAATACATAATATTCTTAACCCGGAGCTGTGACTGTAGGGAAAAAGTCACCATTTCTTCACTTTTGGTAATAATAGCTGACTGTTCTTCAGCACTTGTGATCTCAAAACTGGCTACCATGTAAGCAAGTGCAGTGCATGGTATTGACCTCCCCGTGACCTGTAGCACCATGTCAAATTCAGCAGTGATGGCTCTAGAGAGCAACAGTGCTCTCTCATCGTACTGTCCAAAGGGATGTTTTAGCCGATGAATGATGAGCAATGCGGCAAGGCGAAGCACTTCAGTCTGTGCAAGCATCCGAACGACCTCATCTTGATTGAATTGTTCAAGAAAGTCAGGCGGTGGTGAAGGTTGCCACTGATCCAAACAATCTTGGATGGTCTCCAGTTGCTTTGCGATTCCGACATCCATTCTTCCACCCGTGTGTCGAAGGATACTGGCCACTTCACAAATATCATATAGATGAGCAAAAAGACCAGAACTCAGCCCAACATAGCGATCAACAACATTGTTGCGGTCGTCTTCTCCAATTCTGATGGTTGGTATCTCCGACTTCAGGAGACAATCAAGCGTCTCCGTGCTAACAAGACACATCAGGAAATCCATCGTACCCGAATCCATCGTTAGAAGCCTCGGATACATCGGCTTAACTAGAGAAAGAGTGTAACGGGATATAAGGAATGACTGTCCATGTGCAACATGCATAGCGAATGTGACCATCGCTATGCCAATTCTCACCGCGGTGATCAAGTCCTGATCTTGAGATATTTGCAAAGCGCGAAGTCCAGACACGGCTAATGCGGCTCGCCGGTGGCCGATTTCAACGCTGGCTTTGTTATATTGGGCATATTTGTCGCCTAATAACACTGCAGCACAGGCTACTGTAGCATGCTTTAGGGTAGGTGTCGGTTGGAGCAAGTTTTGGACGAAGGACCTATGGTGTGTTTCATGGAAGCTTGGTCCGATTAGGAATTTGTCGAGTGGGGATGGTGCGACAATGTCTTTCATGAGGTTCACGAAATGTCTTTCCCACTGGTCTAGGTCGGGGAATAATGCTGTGTTATTGCCTAGTCCATCATTGAGCGAGAAATAAAAATGTGGATATGGAGTGTCCTGCGATAACATGGAGACGGTTGTCGGGCTACGAGGATCGGCATTGAGGCTCGAGGCTGGAAGATTATATGATAGTTTTCTTGCCATTCGAGGCTTTCGACCTGTCTTCGCGATATTCCGTGTGGTTTGGCAGTTGTGATTTAGCCGGTCACACCTTTCGCATGGTGCTGCAGGGCTCAGTCGACGACACTTTTCTTTCAAAGTGTGGCATTGGTCGCAGGCTCGTTTGGGTGCAGAAGAAGGCATTGTAGAGTATTTCAGTTGTTCAATCAAGGATTCTCTTCAACGTGGTCCGTCTTCAAATGGATCTATTGATATCAGGTCCCCGCATTTCTGGGTATAGACAAAAATGCCTACTTTGATCAATATAGCTCAGCGTGTGCGATAAACACTATCCAGACGTAAATGTTGGTCTTAGAAGACCCCATTCGAAGTGATGCCAGGAGCAAAAGATCAAAGCCAAGGGATGTCCTGATAAACTCTCGGGTGGACTTGACTAAAACGCTCAAGCGCGAGTTTGCGGGGAAGTAAACTGTCGACAACTTCTCATTAAATATCTTCATATCTTCACTACTTCACACGCTCCGGTCGTGTACAGAAAATACCTGTCAACAGTTCAAAGTATCCGCCATACTCTTCCAAACAGCCTCGGGCAGTCTCCCATGAATCCAATACCCGCCCTCTCCTCCATCCCGACCCTGTCCTTTCCACGTCACTAACAAGTCATCCAAGTGGCACTTGGTCTCGCGCAAAATCCCACAGTAGTCGACACTGCCCTGAACAAAAAGCGGGGTTTCTCCCTGGATGTCGATCTCGAAAAGGGGCAGGCCTTTCCATGATGCGATCCGGGGTTGCGCGGCTCGGCTACCGTAGGTCTTGGGGACCATGGGGTTCTTCTTGAGCTGTCGATGTTGCTCTACAACCTCACCTATACATTCTGGCTGCTGTGCCTCGTCGATTGTGTGTCGGATGTGTGTTGCCAGGCGCGTCATTGACGGAGTACTATATTCGCTAGATGGCATTGGGTCCGGCAGAGGCATCATATACCACGGGTTATAAAGGTTAGCTTCAGTCTGGAGCTGCTCTGAAATGTCGACTACCAGCCCAAAATTGTGGGCAGTAGGTGGGTGTAGAGACGCCTATACATGGTTGAGTTTCAATGGCATCCGTCAATAAGAGTAGGGAGTATGCTTACCTTGTAGATGAAAGCAACCAACAAATCGTGATCGGTAACCTTGGAGTTCTGCATCTCTGCTTCCTTTGCCCATCCTTGAATCTGGCCTCGCGGTACCAGCATGGTCCTGCCAACCCGTCGGGCAGAAGGGCAGAAAATGTTCCTTGTAATCTGTTTTCCCAAAGCACCAATCCCAGCAGACCAAGTTCGATGCACAGAATGCAGGTGCAAGTCTGCAATTTGATGCGATTCAATCATTTCAGCGCACTTCTCCAGAACTTCCGATTTGAGCGACAGCGATGGTCGAGCGTGCAGGGTATGCATGATTCTTTCGCCCCGGAGTAGAGTGCAGTAAGCCTGAATAATCCCATAAGCACCTGGAGTCACATATCAGCTTTATTTTTGCATGTTTGGTTCGGAATGAATCACCATTCGCATCGCAGAGCGAGTGCAGGAACTTGAATCCTATTATGCTGGCGTCGTTCAAGAAGACTGTTCGGATGGAGAAGACTCGCTGCTTCCATGCCTGCAAAATCCCGTAACCAAAATCCAATGCCTTATCCAGCGCCTCGGTATCGATCATCTGTGGGAAATCCGGCTCAGGGGATACGTAGAGGATCTCATCGAGGTCTTGGTGCATCTCTCGCCCTTCCCAGACATCTGTTAGATCACCAGGATCTTTTGGTTCCAGAAATTTTGTTTTCTGATACATGTCAGCCTTGGTTCTGTTGCTTATATATGCAGCACTTCTTACCAATGGGTCCATTCGCAAATTCAACACAGGCCATTGTGAGACAAGTGTATCCGCAGCGAACTGAAAGTCCAATGGACTCGGCTTAGTTTTCACGATGACCGACAGGGTAAACTCGAGAGGACGAGCATAACCCAAATCCAGCGGTCCTGGCTTCATGTTGAAAGAAAAGATTAAAGATAAATTAAATGATATCAGCGATTGGATAGAAGAAAAAATGGAAACGAACAACTGTTCTTGTATGAACTCAATCTAGCAGTGCATATCAACAATACTCAGGAAAATGAGGCCGTAACAGACAAGAAGTACATAATTTTCGCTTGTTTATCACAACTTTAATGGCCCTCTCCACATAACTTCTCTCTGGAATGCGCAACCTGTGATCGGCTTCTGCCTCTGCTGTCGTCTTGGCTTACACGATTGGAATTCCGTGCCATGGCAGCGGCACCTCTGGAATGTTAGGCGATATTTTTGCCCTTGCACAGACGTCTCTATCGCTCATAATTACCCACTAAGGCCGGGGTAGCATGGTTGACGGGAATTAGGATACTACAGCCGGTAGCCCTGTAGCCAATTAGCTGTATCCTGTCATTCCCTAAAAATCAATTTCTGTAAGGCACGAATTCCACTTTGTTTCGGCATTGGTTATAACATCATCGGTTATGATGGCAGTTGAACTTCTCACCGGGTGATCCTTTCAGACGCACTGGACAGTGCAATCAGACAATATCCGAGATATCAAGGTATCGATCTCCAATCAGGATCTGTGTTCAATCTCGCTCGAGGTATACTTGATTGACGGGACTTGAGCCCCGATTACCGACGATTCCCCCTGGAAACTGCTGATTAGGGAAGTAGATAATTTGAGAAAGTTTGGAGGAGCAATGATAGCCAGTGTCAAGGCGAGAATGACGACAGCGATTTCATTGCTTGCCGAAGGACAAAGGTTATCTTTGAGGGAAGACTCCAACGAAAATGATTGGCCGATCAGACCGCAGGTGAAACAGGGATGAAGCGACTCACGAACGAGGTCAAAGCGCAACGAAGGGGCGGGAAGGGCCGCTGCATCAGTGCAAAACACTCAAGCACGATGCTTAACACATCTCACTGTGTTCTTGATTGCTTCAAAGGGTGTGTGGGAAGCTTGAACATGTCCTGGTGATCAGGTTGTATACTGGGAGTAAATGACTTGAACCGCAAGAGGGAAGGGACACCACACATATTATCTTTGCACGATTTAACAGTCGAGCATCGGAGTGTCGACATCGTACATGCAGGAATCGTCATTTGGATTCGTTGATCAACACGGGCTCGACCCTTGGTCATTGTATCTGGGAACCAAAGGTGGTGATCGCGATCCGTTCGGCAAATCTTGCTTCAGACTTGACAAATAGTGTTCAAGATCCAGTGTGGGCTAATGCACATCATGCACCCTAAAAACCTGAATGGATACGAGTCGAGGTTGAATTCCGTCCGTTGATACCTGGTAAAGTGCTGCATAAAGCGGTGTGCTTGATCAATTTCTTTTCACATCCAGGTTTTGCATTGTAGGTTCTCTCTTGTGAGCTCGTTATTCTTAACAAAGACGGTCCCGTTGATTTGAGGGCAGATCACTCGATAGGTCAAATCGGGCGACATCATTCCTGGCCATCATAGCGCATAGTTGCACATGTACAACCGTGGCGGCTGGATGCTGAGACTGCGTCATAAACCACCAAGGCTTGAAAAAAAAAGCTAGAGCTGTTCGGCTCAATCCTGCAGCGCAGGATATCTATGCTTCGTTTGCCCATCTGAGTGGCTGGCTGACCCATGGCCTTTGGTGTGATGGTTGCACAAAATGCCCCTCTAGCTGCAGGTCTGCATGCAGCCGGTTTGGGATTGCACTGCCGAGTTCTTTGACATCAAGGACGGATAGTTAAACCGTACGGTCGTCTACACTATATAATATGTCGGTGGACCCACCTAGGGTTCAACTGCACGAGCTTGGTTTGATAAATATCCTCCTACCTGCATATTTTAGTATTTTCTTTGTCCAAGAAACTTTAAACAGGTACTTTATATTCTTCATCATGGTATGGGACTACTACGATGGCAAGGTCCTCTTTGTGACGGGAGGCTCAGGATTCATTGGGACCGCACTTCTCTGGCGACTCTTGAGTCAATCCTCACCCGAACGAGTGTATGTGCTATGTCGAGGTGGATATGCGTGAGTGCTCTTGGGCCTTTTTCTTTTGATGGAAATATCTAATTGAGGTCAATAGCAAAGCAGAAGAAAAATGGTCTAGCATGCTTCCAGCGTCTACTGCAAAGATCCTCACCGAGAGTCAACTGTTGACTGTTCTCGACGGTGAATTGGGTGATACAGCCACTATGGATCTACCAGAAGAAACATTACAGATGCTCAAACGAACAGTGCACATAGTCATCCACGCAGCATGTTCAGTCCAACTACAAAACTCTCTCCGAGAACTAGCATATAGCGTCATGGCACCCAGCCTGTGCCTAACAAAATATGCCCTAAAATTCCCCAACCTCGAACGCTTCGTCTTTTTCTCAACCGCATACGCCAACGCCCATCTATGGCAGACAAGCAATTCTTCCGATGTGCAAGTCGACGAAAATATATACCCCCTCGGCACCGAAAGCGAGGACTATTACCAAAGCGCACTGGACTCATGGCGCGCAGTAGAAAAGACTGGCTCGTCAGACGAATACGACACCCATGATTTTCCCTGGCCATACGCCTACGCCAAGCACCTAGCCGAGCGACTCGTCCTGCAAAAGGCATCAGAACGCGGCAAGCTAGACAAAGTCCTCATCATCAGACCCTCGGTCATCGGCCCTGCCGACAAGCATCCATACCCCGGCTATGCAACTTCGAAAGGTACACCCTCCACAGCCGTTGCAGCGGCATACATGCTCCACCCAGGGCGACGGATCACACTTTCATCTCGATGCGAGAAGCCAGGTCAAGAAGCCACTATCGATGAAGTCCCCGTGGATGTGGTGGTTGATCGGGCGCTAGTCCATGTAGCGGTTGGGACGAGTGGATGTGTTCATGCTGTCAGCGGGGAGCAGGGTAGGTTATCTGTTGACGAATGGTGGCATGCGTTCAAGAAAGAGAGGCGGATTCCTTGGAATGTGAAGCTTGCTTGGACGTCTGAGGATTGGCATTCGCCTAATCTTCATCAGATTGCGAGGCGGTTCAAGATAATTGGGACTTCTTTTGCTTTCTCTGAGGAGAAAACTGTTCAGGTGGCGGAGAAGTTGGGGGTCAGAAGGAGGATCTTATGTTGTTTGCGGATCGGTCTCTGCCTTATTCTTTGCACTTGAGGAGACACCATATTCATCATATGGCTGTGCAGCATGCTAAGACGAATAAGTGGCCTGCTTTTTATGCCAAAATGTTTTGTCGAAAAGGGAAGCCTATGGCTCATTTGGGTAGTAATGTGAAGGCGTAAAGTTGGATGGACTGATGCACGTCGAGGTACGTTCTTGTATCTTACTCCCTTGGAGATTTTCTAAGCACGGTTTTCTCGGCGTGTATTTTATGTCCGATCTTTCTTCTGAACTTAAAGTTATCAAAATATCGAGACATATGAAATGCACAATTCGACTTTCATCAGCCTTGAACTATATATACATCTTCGAAAGGTGCGACCATGTTTTCTGACCGATGCCAAAATCGAAGCAAATACTTTAGTGTCGACAGAATTAAGGCATGAGAGTAATATTTGCAACAACATTCACTCATATAATCTGCTATTCAAAATCACGTAGTTCCGAGTGGACATCTAGATATGCGTGCACGGACCACTTCACTGATCGCGGGGGAAAAAGAAATTCTTGTTGCCCGCCACCTTCTCGCAACAACATCATGGCTCCTACAGCGTGTTTCAACTGCAAGGAGGCGCGAGCCGTCATCATCCGGCCCAAGAACAGACACAAACTCTGCCGGGCCTGTTTCATTCAGATATTCGAAACAGAAGTCCACGAGACTATCACCGGCACCAAACTTTTCTTCCGCGGCGAGCGAGTGGCGATCGGAGCCAGCGGGGGCAAAGACAGCACAGTACTGGCAGCAGTACTGAAAACACTGAACGAGCGATATGATTACGGCCTGGACCTATGCCTGCTCTCCATCGACGAGGGAATCCGCGGCTATCGCGATGACAGCCTGGAAACTGTAAAGCGCAATGCAGTCCAATACGAGATGCCCCTCGAGATCGTGGGATATGGTGAACTTTACGGGTGGACAATGGATCAAGTGGTGGCACAAGTTGGCAAGAAGGGCAACTGCACCTACTGCGGTGTGTTCCGGCGACAGGCTCTCGATCGAGGCGCTGCTCGGTTGGGTATCAAGCATGTTGTTACCGGCCACAATGCAGACGACGTCGCTGAGACTGTCATGATGAACCTGCTGCGTGGTGATCTTCCCCGTCTATCGCGCGGAACCAGTATCGTCACCGACTCCGACGCCTCGGATATCAAGCGCAGCAAGCCTCTCAAGTATGCCTATGAGAAGGAAATTGTCCTCTACGCTCATCACCGGCAACTCGATTACTTTAGCACTGAATGTATCTACTCGCCTGAGGCATTCCGCGGTAGTGCGCGCACCCTGATCAAAGACCTGGAGAAGATTCGTCCTAGTTCGATCCTTGATATTGTCAAGAGTGGCGAGGACATGGCTGCGCTTGTGCCGGTGGAAGTTCGAGGCTCTGGAAAATCAAAGCATTCGAGCGGAGCAGAGGACGAATCTGCCGGCGGCTGTGGTAGTCAAAACGGTCGGTCTAGTGGTGGAGAAATGGCTGCTATGGAGAAACAACTCACTGAGAACGACGCTGCCGAGTCACGCGAGACTGAGATCAAGCTTCCAATTGCTGCATCGAAGAAGGCTCGCCCGGCTAAGCCCGCTAAGCAGATCAAGGGACAGACCATGGGACACTGTGAGCGCTGTGGCTACATCTCCAGTCAGCGGATCTGCAAAGCCTGCACACTCCTGGATGGCCTTAACCGGAACCGACCCAAGACGGCAATCGAAGTTGGCGTCAGTATGGAGGACGAAGAAGGCAGTTCCACTTTGATGAGGCAGATGGAGCGGGCTCAGCTTGGAGCTACCTGAACAGTGGACCAGTGAAGCACATCTATTTATGATGCCCAAGTGGTCATACTCCACAGAAACCGGACTCAGGATCCTGGGCATTCCCACCACAGCCATATCGCCTAGGTCATCGTACCTGCCACGCCACCACATGCACCTCCGTGCAGTCACGTTGAAAGGCAGTACCTAAGTCGGTACCATTGCACCGCACGGCAGCCCATGCGTATCAGGCTAAGATTGGAATCACGGAGCTCAACATATCGGGCCCATCCCGACAAGCAACCTACAAAGCTAGAACAGAGCTCAAGGCACCAAAGCTAGAGCTTATCCATAGCATAGAGCAAGTTCGAGAGATTCTCAAATATGAACATTATACATAGTTGAGTGGGTAGTTTATTCACGAAGTCGCTGGTTGTAGTATACAAATCCCAATAATAATCAACAAAAAAACGCCCTTTTCATGGGATCCATCCAATGCAATGCATCCCAGGTTATCTATCTATACAGCAACCGGAGGTGACATGCCATGGCAGCACCGTCCGTCGATACCGAGACCGGTTGGATTGTGTACAAGCCATTCGGTCCCAGATAGGCAAAGCCATGAAGCCAGATCCCGAGACTTTACTCAGAGAAAGAGCTCGGGAGGAAGGGATCATGACAGAGCCCATGCCCAATTCGAGTAAACCAATCTTACTCAGTCTTACCCTCAGCAGTATGCAACTGAGGCAAATCAAAGCCAACCCGTCTAGCCGTAAGACGAATCTTCTCCTCCTCATCCATGCTCATGCCAGGGTTATACCGCTCTAGCAATTCGCAGTATGAGCGCTGAGCGCGGGCATACTGAGCCAGTTGTTCGGCTTCTTGCACACGGAGAGTTAATTCTTCGCGTGTTTCGGGTGCGGAGAAGGGGAGCGCGCTGGATCCGGGTGTGGATGTAGATGTGGTGGTTTTTGTAGTGGCGTTCGGCTCTGAGCGGAAGATTTTGCGCAGGGATTGGTGGATTGGACTGGGAGTGTTTAGGGATCTTTTTGGGAGTTCGCGGAGGAGGGCGCGGTAGGTTGCTCGTGTTTGGATGTGTTGGGGCATTGTGGGTGGCTTTTCGGATGGGGTTGGTTTTGAGGTGTTGAGCGGTTGAGGGGTCGAGCTGGCTTTATTTGGCTTGGTTTGGAGGTTGATTTGGCTCCTTTGTTGGATGTGCAGGGTGGCTTTGGTTGGATATCAGATTGAGCAGATCGATTGTGGCACGTGATCCATGTGGAGTGTCGCCAACAAAGGTTTAGCGTTGATTTTATAAGAGCTGCACATGTATATACGGAGTAAGTTACAGCTACTTTTGTATCAAGGCCTCAATTGTACTGCATATAACAATGCCATGTTCAATGGATTCTCTATTCTCTAAGGCCCTAGAATTTATCCATCCGAGTAGGTATGGGATTGGCACGGCTATATGTACCATACTTCACTTTGACAAGAGAGTCAAATATCAGAAGATAGATATATATGGAATAGATCACTCTAGCTAATTACTTACTTATCCTAGGGTATGGCTACTAGAGATAGCAGAACATCGGACACGAATGAGCTAGAACCAAATGGATTACTTCAACGGAAGATTACATCTAAAGATACATTCCCGGGCTATGGAGAGAACTCTGAGAAATTTCTGGAGGTATATGAAGAGCTTCTGGCTATGACTAATACCAAACTTGGGCAGGTTTCCTCACCTGTGGAAACCGAGAAACTGGTATATGGCAAAGTGCTAAAACAATAATCAATAGATGGACGTCAATTCTCCCTGGTCTTATCCAAGACCATGGCATTCAACTACCTGAATAGCGGAATGAACCTTCACGAACACCGCTGAATCTTTGTACAGCAGCAAACCCGTGGGTGTAAATCGTGTGATTGAGGTGATGAAACAGCAACAGCATCAGCATGAGGATCAGAGAATCCGAGGGTATGATGTTGCGTAAGTTAAGAGGAACAGCTACGTAGCCTTTGCGAGGTGAAGCGAGGACACCATTCCTTTCACGGCTATATCTCTATGGGCGCGAAAAGCTTACGGTTGATCTGTTTACACAGAACATTCTAATGGCGGTACTACAACGACTTATTCCATCATTACGAATATCAAAGTTGATACCAAACAGAATGTCTACATAGGGGCCTCGTAAAAGCCGCTGCTCAGATAGGAAAGCCCCACTTGCCAGGGAAAATCAGGTATGTATACTCTGCAGGCGCATATGTACAAAAACGTCGTAGGGGAGCTTTTTTTTTAGATGTTCGCCGCTCCAAGCGTCATATCTGTTCCCTCGGGAACTGAGTTCATAACGAAAAGCAGGCAAAGAATAGTAGCAATGTTTATCAATCATAGAGGGGCGTGGCGACATGAGAAGGTTGGTAGGGTAGGGGAGGTAAGAGGAGGGGTGGCGTGGGGTGGGGAGGTGGAGGATGCTAAGAGGGACGTGAAAGTCGGTCAATATAGGTGGCGTGAGACTGAGAGCTGTGACTGGGCTCTCAGACCTCCTAAGAGCGTAGCCAGCCGAACTTCCTTCGCCCTTCGGCTCCTGTGGACGGTTCGACGTGCAAGCTGCGAGCATACAAGTCCTAAACAACGTTAGTTGAACGATCGATATTCTGTGGAGATGGTGGAATTTACCTCTTCGTCCCCAGAGAGCTTCGATTCCAGAAGCAGACGTTCGACATCATCGAACTTCTGCGCCTGGGGATGAGGAGCCTTCTGGCTACGTTGAACACCGAGAACAACCTCACCCATGACCTCGAATTTCTTCCAGTTGATGCGAGACTTGTTCTCGCCAACAAAAGTCTTATTGCCTTCTTCGGCAGAGACAAGGTCACGACGGTGGAGAGGAAGGAAGGGGATTCGCTCGGAGAACGAGTTTTCCCAGGCAAGGCGGTAGGCGAAGTGACTTCTTTGCGTGCTCATAAGGATAACCAAGCGCATGAACTCTTTCTGGACTGGGATGGGGATCAGTTCACGAGTTTGCGTTAGGCGGTGGACTGGTGTGCCGTTTATGGCGGCGATTACGGCACCCAGGGAGTTATAGTTGTTTTGGCGGCGGAGTTTCTAAAAAGGTCAGTTGCTGGCGTTATTCGGAACAATATGGGGTAGACATACCACTGCGATGTTCATGAACTTTTCCATCGCCTTCGCGCGGTGTTTGGGCTTATCTCGTAGGAGGATCATGCTCGCTACGAAGAATGCGAGGTTGTTGAACTGCTTGATCATGCGGTTGACGTTCGCCAGGCTCTTGATCTTGTCCTTGTCTATGCCTGAAAGGCTGACATGGCGGACCAGATCACGCGCCCGGAACGAGTTGTACATGACCCAGTCAATCCGGGTCAATTCTCGGGCGAACTCCTCGTCAGGCGTCTCCATGAAGAATCGCCACTGGAGTTTGCTGAGTGGATACTTGGGGCTCAATTCGAGACGCAAAGCCTCTTTTGAGCTGCCTCGAGACTTAGGAGTGTGAATGACTGATTTGTCATGGTATTAGGTTTGTCGGCAGTAGAAGAAACCGAAAGAGTGCCAGAAAGTCGGGATGTGGAGTCTTGCGGACCATCGCTAAGATCCAATGCACTCATACTATATATGGGATCTTGTTCTTCCTCATCTTCGTATGTGCCAGTGCCGATGTCCAGGCCAGTATGAACCGGCGCTGGGGAGCTTCGGCCAGAGTTGTCGAAAAATGTCTCTGTGAGACTAGAATCATCGGGGTCGACATCACCGCCATAAGCCCAGCCAACATCGTCGTCTTCTGCATTGGAATCCAACTGTGACCCAATTTCCTTGGCGGCGAACATATAAAAGTGGCTCTTCTCGAGCGTAGCAACAAAGTCGATTATGCGCTTGCGTAGCTTAGGGTGAGCAAAATCTCCTGGATATTCCGAGGCCCACTGGGCCATAACGTCTAGCAAGCGCAGCTGATCTGCCATGCGGGTAAGCTGGTCGACGTTGCTCTGCTCATTTCGCTCGAATCGACTGATCAAGGCAGTCAAGAGGGTTCCAGGGGCAGCAAATTTGCGGTATAGACATAGGAAGATGGACCCGAACTTCTGCTCCTGCTTCGACATGGGTAGCGAAATCAAACGGTCAACAAGCTCGTCGAAAGACAAGCCTGTCTCGGCGCTGGAATTGCTCTCGCTGCTTGGCTTTGGTCGCACGACGGCACCAGGACTCGGGGGTCGGCTCTGTCCATCATCAATCTCGTCCTCCATGTTTAAGAAGCTGTTGAAGGCGTCCGACCCTCCACTATGTCGCCAGGCGGAATGCAGACGCTGCTGACGGCTGTCGTGACTCGGGGAGTTGTTCGCTTCTGCTGATGGTCTGCGCGGGTTCAAACGTGCTCCAGGGGGAGTTTGCGGTCGCAACGCTTGCGAATTACGTTGGGCATAGTGGGTGGAACTTGGGGTTTGCGCTAGGTTGTTCAAGTGGTCGCTGGAGGAACGATCACCGTCTCCATCGACACATCGATCTGGAACCGTCGGTTGTGGGCCGCCAGCGGCTGTGAACACGGAGGGGTTTCCGGAGTTGGTACGGGTGTGATGCTCGGGTGGGTGAGGTTGGAAGGATTTGGTGGTGGTTCTCGGAGGGGAAGGGAGAGAATCAGGCTCAAAAAGGTCTGGTGAGGAGTTAGATTATCCATAAAATCGTCTCCTGGGGAGTGGCATTTGACAGAGGTAGCGAACGCTACTACCGCGACCCACCTGGCCCGCTCCAGGGGGTCAAGGCACACCCCAAAGTTTTGTGCTCACCTTCTCGAGTCGAGATCACCGCCCGCAGCACCAACGCAATGCACATTCGCTGTGATCGTGGCGAGGAAAAAGATGTGCGGTAAATCTCATATCGTTCGTGGATTGCATCCACAGTTTCTTCCAGAGGTTCGGGGAGGACATCGCACTTGCAGGCGACCTGTAAGAACGGCAGAGTCGACGTCGCCAAGGAGTCTGGATATGATCAGCAAGAGAAATAAAGCTACCCATGGTAGACCTACAGATGAGGTTTGTCGTGAGCGAAAGTCTGTCCGGTTTAGTAGCATCATGCAGGACAAGAACTCCATCAATAGCTGGCGCAGCTCTGTCACGTCCTGTCCGAGGCCACAGGACGTTGTTCTCCTGGTCGAATTGGACCTGAGCCAAGTCGACTTCCAGTAGTCGCACGATGTAGACCGACCCGTCCAACGACATCTTCTTCTTATTCGAAGGAGCGACAGGTGAGCTCTTCATATCCAATGCACATCTGACGAAGCTGCTCTTGCCAGCGTTCTCTTCGCCCACCACGGCAATAGTCACTTCGGGAAATCCGGCCTTGCAGTCCTGTAGAAAAAGTACCGTCAGCAATTGAGTCTCCAGTCCTCGCAATCAGATCAAGACATACCTCGTTCTGACGGGACCTGCGGGCCTCATCGGCAGTCGGTGACCCCTCATCCTCCTCCACCAAAGTATTAACTGATCCTCCCGGTTTCCGCGCATCCAATTTGTACAGTTCCCCCACTGGGGCCGAGGCAGTTCGGTCTCCCATAGCAGGACGTTGAGCAATTCCGGGCATTGCTTGAGCTCTGTCACTCTGAGCCCGCTCTCGGCGGGATGGGGATGCGGATGCCATGTCGGAAGCAGTCGGATAGAGCTTCTCCGGAGTGAAGCAATCCCCGTGTGACGCTCTACTGTGTAAGGTCAGAGAAGCACTGCTGTGCCATGGTTGTCTTGGACAGGTCAAGTTCGAGGCCAGTCAACGGGGAAGTAGAGCTCGGTTGGAGGTTTGGGGGAGTTGAGAGAAAGAAACGTGGACAGATCACAGCGAGATCCGTTTTTTTGGCGGAAGCTGGGATCCGGAAGCGAGATGGTCTTTGTCCCTACTACGGAGTACAGCTGAAAACGCGCAGCTGGAGCTGTCCAAGTGGCGACTGGTATTTTCGGATCTTACTCCACAAGTTTCATGTAGTACCGATTTCGCACTTTTAAGATGCATCCAACACAATATTTTCAGCCTTGATTTGACTCGTCAGAAACCTGGAAATTACCCAAAATTCAGCATTTTCTACCGATCTCCAAAAGTTCTGGGCCGTTGCTCCGCCTGGATTGGTACGCTAAAGGGCCGCTAACCCGCCATTCGGCCTTGGCTTGACCCGTTGGGATATACATGGATACCCTATATATACAGAAATCAGAGACAGTGGTTTTCTTCAAATGCCGAGAAACCAATCTGAATCAGTCATCTGACAGACCCGTGGACGTAGACTTGTGTCCCCAAAGGAGATTGCTGACACTCTATTGGGACATCCTGAGGCGCAACTAAGACGCCCCCTTGATAGTATGTAGACGCAACATCTGCATGTCTCATTGACATGGTTCTTTTCGAAAGTCCACCTCGTATGCGCTTCCTTTTCCCCCAAAGAGACCGCATCTGACTCAGGCTGAGTGTGCTTCCTGGCCCTGATTGACAAGCGCCATAAACCGCATGAATGCCTCTGCGGCTTGACCAGTTTCTGTGCCTTCCTCACAGTCCTGTCGCAGCTTCCGGACCTTGCCTAGCCCACGGTTGAAGCCTTTCTCGGAAGTCCAGGAGCCCCTACTGCGACGAGTGGGGCCACCTCGTCCTCGTCCACGGCCTCGTCCGCGGATGGGAGTTGTGTGCCATTCCACCCATTCTTCTTCCAGCGTTGCTTGGTAAATTTCCTGTAGCTGGCTGCGGAGTTGAGGGTACTTCTCGAGGAGCTCTTTGATCTCCGCTGATGTCGCTACAGCTGCGACATTTGTCGGCCGTTTCGACTCGGTTGGCTCGGCATTTTCAGTGTTGACATCGCCGTTCTGAGGCGATGGATCGGCATCGGGTGGATTGCTCGATTCCTCGTTGGATGGGGCTTTCAGAGCACAGTATATCTTATGAGACTGGGTGCATGCAAGCGAGCAGCTAGAGCGACAAGGAAGGTTAGTAAGTGGTCCACGTACAGGAATGGCAATCATGTACCTCATCAGTTCGCAGGTGGGACAACGATATTTGGAGGGCTCCGAAGAGCAAACCTCACAGGAACCAGGCATTGTGGCAGTTTCTTAAAGAACCCATGAGCTCAACAGTCAAACTTGGTCCATTATTTTGACTGGTCCAGGAGTAAGTGGAAACTTTCAGGGAGTTGAGTGACTTCCCGATTTGCTCGATAAAGCTCAGACAATTCTGCCTCAGGCCAAATTCATGCCTCGGTGCCTGAATATCCCTTTGACGTGAATAACTCAACGTTCAGCTAACTTAGTTAACTAGTTAAAGATCTTCCACGTGACACATTGTAGTACGTGTTATTCTGTTTGCTAAGTTACTGTGCATCGTTTGGCATAGGTTGCTGTGATCCATCAAATACAACGCAAACATCCCAGACATGGACAAGCCCACACTCATTCTAATGTGGCCACCCCTCCATGGGCCCCGCTAAGCACTATAAGAAGTGGCGCATCATATAGATCGACTGGCTCAAATACCTCCCGAAGACGAAAACTCAAGGTGGACCTACAATCTCCACCCGAAAATATAGTGTGGCATGATCACCATCTTCCACGTCTAATACCATCCTAGCCCTGGTCTAGTGCGACGAAACAAAGCCAGAATGCACGAGATGCATCACTAACGGCCACGTCTTTAGAAAAGGTCATGTCCTTGAGATTAATTCGACAGGTAACATATGGGCAACGGCATGATCTCACTCTATACAGAGTCTGTACACGACTATGAGATCCACTTGAGGGAGTGAAAGCAGTAAGGCCATCTCCGATGGATCCTGATTTCCCGATTTGACTCGACGCTGAATTCAGTTTTTTGCATACTTTGTTTGTTTTTTGTCGGTGCTTTGGCTTGTGATAGGATCCTCTACAAGATTCCTTTTCGAGGTCTGTGGAAGTACTGTGGCTTTACCTCGAATAAGGAAGTACTAAATGGATAGGGATATCTTGTTACGGCATCTATGTCCAGAGGTCTAGACTAGCAGGTAGACCTAGTTCTAGTCTCAGTTCTTTTGGTAGTTGAATACATCACCCCTTTGCATCCCTTCAGTTCCTCTGCCTATCATGTTATCACCAGACCGAAGATTAGTTATAGAAGTAATTTTTGCTGTTCTAGACATCAATCTTTAGAACCTAAATTAGCAACCAAATCAGATGTATGAAGGTTGTGGCAAAAAAACAAAGTTTACTGCGCATGTTGTCTCCAGCCAACACCTGAAAAGCTAGGAGCGCCACCTGTTCCCCAGACTGATGATCGACGTGTTTTATCAAGTTCCCACGTGATGCTTTCGATTTTAAGCTTCATTGTTCCTATAGATAGCCAAGACCTATATCAATTTCAGTTCTATGGCTGCCGCTCGTTGAACGCTACGTAAAGATATAGTCTAGATCAATGATAGAAGTTCTCAGATAACAAGAGCAACTAAGATCAGCAGCGTACTAATCTTTCATAGAATCAAATCAAAACAGGGAAGACTATGACAATTGCCTATAAACCACTGGTCTCTCGACCTCCGACATTCGGCGAATCCATAAATGTAATGGTAAAAAGCATCGCCTCTGATTGGTGGAGAGCCCATCTTCATTTGTCAGATTGAAGGTCACGTGATGATCAAATTGCGTCAGAGTCGGCCATCGGACAAACGCCTCGAGTGTTTTTCTAGGATTCTTCAACTACCAACTATCTGAGCATTTCGCTTCATTTCACATAATGTCTATGAGCAACACATCTACGACAATGTTCCGCCGCGCTCTTCTAAGCAGCCGCCTCGCCACCTCCGAGTGCACCGCGCGAACCATCCGACCAGCCTTTGCAGCATACAGAAATGTCTCCAGCTCAGCCCGCCTCCCTACACTCACAGCATCAGAGACCCGTCGCCGACCTACCGTGCGACCAAACCAGCAGCCTATCTCGCAGAACCCGCTTAATGGGCTCTCGCCGACGAGCAAGCGCACCATCTTCATCCAGACTGAGAACACCCCCAACCCCGATGTAAGTCCAAGCTACAGATGGATATAATACAGTACTAATCAACAACCAGGCCCTGAAATTTATCCCCAACCACCGCGTTCTCCCAGAAGACTTCCCAACCACATTTCTCGAATACCTTTCACCACGCTCAACCCTCGCGCCACCTCACCCTCCCCTCTCGCAGCCAAGCTGCTGGACGTTGAAGGCGTGACCTCCGTCTTCTACGGCGCCGACTTCATCACGGTTACCAAGGCTGGCGACGCCAACTGGGCACACATCAAGCCCGAAGTCTTCAGCATCATCACCCAAGCCGTGACATCCGGCGAGACGATCGTGACCACAGTCGAAGCCGGTGCTGACGGCGAAGAGAGTGTCGAGGACTCGCTCAGCTACAACGAAGATGACGATGAAGTTGTCGGCATGATCAAGGAACTCCTCGAGACGAGAATCCGTCCCGCTATCCAGGAGGATGGTGGTGATATCGAGCTGCGCGGTTTCGAGGATGGTATTGTTATGTTGAAGCTTCGTGGTGCTTGCCGGACTTGTGATTCCAGTACTGTCACGCTGAAGAATGGCATTGAGTCTATGCTGATGCATTATGTGAGTTTTGTTCTACGGCTGATTCTTAAGTTCTATACTGACTTGGTCTCTAGATTGAGGAGGTCAAGGGTGTTGAGCAGGTTATGGATGAGGAGGAAGTTGTTTCTATGCATGAGTTCGCTCGGTTTGAGGAGAAGCTGCGCCAGCAGAAGGGCGCTGCTGCTACCGCCTCTGCTCCCTTAGATAGCGCCCCGTGAGGGGTTTGAGAGGATGCATATGTGTACATTAATTGGGTTTAAATGGATGACTATTTCGGTCTTTACAGCTTTCACATGTTGATCTCCACTTGGACTGGAGACTAGATCAGCGTCCTTCGCATCTATGCCACCTTGCTGTATGGTCCGTATTGCTGAGTAGCTGCCTCGGTGGCTAGGCCCTTATTTGCCACATGTAGGGAATAGGGTCAGGATGTCTTCGTTTCTTATGTTTTTTTTTTCCCCCTCTCCCCTAAATGGGCCCTAATAATGCTGTAGGATGCGTTCATTCATAAGCTTAACCTGCAGGTCTGAGGTATAGTGGCGATGCTACCGAGGCCCAACCCCACCTGGGCACATATACGCTATCAAAGTACAAAAGAGACGTGAATTGAAGTCATATGAAATTGAGACCGAATATACATGTTCAACTTCAAGTTCATATTCTCAGAAGAGCAAGCTCCAAGGTAATAGCTAGGATCCACAAACATGTCGTGTAGTGCCAAGACAGGGAATACGGAGGTCCGGAGCGGGGTGTGATTGGGACAAGACATCGCTTCTTTAGACTCATAGAGGGGCAATATGCCCAATATCCCTCCCTACTGTGTAGCCTGTAACTCTGTACTCTACTCTGTGTATTGTACTCCGTACAACGGTCCAGATGCATCGGACCCCCGCCACCCGAGGATATTAGTCGCGTGGGGAATTGGGTGCGCTGTGAGAGGCTGTTAGACCCATGGCATGCATGGACGGGAAAGCTCTCCCCGCAAAGACTGTCACTCTTTTCCATGGATATAGGGGGTCAGTTGATGTGGCATTACTTCACCTTTTGTATATGGTATATTGGGATCTGGGGTAACAGTGACGTTTAAGTTTTCTGTGTGACGTTTTGTATACCAGAGTAGAGGGAGAAGGGAAGAGGGAAAGAGAGAGAGAGGGAGGGTATGTTCCCCAGATCTTCGACCCGCGGCCCCACTGGGAAGAACATAAGAAGTCAAGAATGTAAAAGTGAAAGACTAAAATAAAACAAATCTCACTAACTAGAAACTAAACATATAACTCACACACACTCACACCCCCCTGTACTTCTACGTGGTCCGTGTCCATCGCAACGTTGCCAGATCCGTCAGAGGTTACCCCAGTTTCCCTTTTCCCCCTCTTACCTCTCTACTCTACCCTACCAACCTCTCCTCTCGCCTACGTTTTACCTTCTCCCTCCCCCCAGCTGCTACAGCTGCATCTTCATCTTTCAGTTCCACTCCGCGCAGAGGAGCTTACCTCCCGTTGTCGCTGTCGCCCCACCCTCATCGCTCACCCTCTCGCCTTGTCGCTCTTTACGAGACCCACGATCACACGTGCGCACTTTGATTTGAATAGATTCCCGGAGTTCTTACGGACGTATTATTCCATTAATCCATTACCATTAGAGTCGTGAGTCGTGAATCGCGCACTTGTCCCATTCCCTCCTCTTCCGAATGCGACTGGCTAATGCATGGAATCGCAACCCAGGCACAATCACGATCACACGACTGCTTTTTCCCCGACGCCATTTCGTTGATAGTCGCCTGATTTCGAGCCGTCTGATCTTCGCCCGCGTTACAGTTGAGGGTTTTTTTTCTAGATATCTACGGGTTTTTTTAGGTACGTGCTGGTCTGGTTCTGCGATCGCAGGCGAGTTTTTGTGGCGAGGCGGCTTTTCTCGATACTGCGCTGGGGTTTGTGTTTTCGCGTGACAGTGGGGCTTTTGTCTATTTGTTCCTCCTTACTTCCCTTGCGCTGGGGGTTTGCCTGGCATCTCGTGGGCCTGTTGCGGACTTCCGCGGGCGTCTTGCGGGCTGGGGGCACACACCGGTGTGGACTTTGACCTCCACTCTGGGGCTCTGGGGCCTCTGGGCCCTGAGAAGAGGGGCCGAGGACTTGCAGATATGCATATCCCCGCTTTGCGCTGCAGCTCCTGTCATGCCACCCACACTCTCTTTCTTCGAGCGTTTTGAGCGTTTCGTTTCTGGTTCACTATTTCATCCTGAGATGCACAAAGCTAACTTCCTTTTAGCTGTGGACATAGCGCATATACCCAGTCATCCATCGTGTCTTTGAAAGATCGAGATTGGCTATTTACCCCAACCTCATCGAGCGCGTGGAACATAGACTGGAGTTTTGTGTGTTCATTTCTTGAACCTAAGACACGTCTATATCGTACAGCCTCGCAATTGTAATTCAAAGACAGGTCAGTCCATCACCCGTGCTTCCAGACCCTCGGACTATCATTTGATTAAAAAACCCCGCTCTGGTTGTGTCGCTTCAATGGGTGTTAAGTGGCGCTGTTGGTGTCACAGCCAGCAGGGAATAATCATATTGTCACACACTTCGAAAAGCCTTGACTGACTTGACAGCAGTGTCCCTCTATGAAAAGAAGTCATGGCTGCGCCATCACACAAACCAGTTCCGGCACAGTCGTCCCCGCCGCCTGCTGCGGCGGCTGCCTCTGCTATTCTCGAGAAGACTCACCCTGGTGTGCGTCGCTCGACTCCCGACTCGGACGCGCTTGCTTCTTCAGATGACGACGGAGACCATGTGGCCCAAGCCCAGAACATAATCCCACCTACTACCCGACCACCGGCACGCCGAACCTCGTGGCTGAATGAGGTACCACTTTCAGCCCAACGCAAACATTCTCTGCCGGGAGGTCTCCTGTCATCTGCTCCTTCCAATCCTAGCAGTCCCGCCACAGAACAGGCACCCTGGACGACAAATACAAGCCCTGGGCTTTCTGGCTCCTTCAGCTGGAACCAAGCCGGAGGAAGCTCATTTCCCTGGACTCCAGGTACAGGCATTTGGAATACTGAATCCCGCAAAGAACCACCATCTCGCCTGTCAGAAATGGTCCCTTCTCCTACTATGACGAATCCAGCTCCTGCCACCACCATGCAAGATGAGATGCTGAGCCCAATAACTCGTACCATTTCTGGTGAATCCGCTATTCCATTCTCTATCCCGCTACACCCTACTCCCAAAACCTATCGATCCCAGTCATATTCTGTTGGTCAAATGGACCCTGAGTTCCTTGGCCTCACTGGTAAGTCTGGTGCGGGCGCTGGTACTGGCCAATTTGCGGGTGGTCGTTCGCGCGCACCAGGACAGATGTCGGCTGTTCAGCCTCGGGCATCGCGTCCCAGTGTACTGGGCGAACTAGGACACGATCCCGCCATGCTCGGTCAGGTCCGCGAGGACGAAGATGGTGACGAAAGCCTCAACAGTTCAGAAGGTGACACGAACTATTCGGCTAGTCAAGCCCGAAGAATCGAGCAGCTTGCACGTGAGAATGCACTTTTACGACAAGCTGCTGCTGCAGGTCAAGCAGACAACAGATACCGCGAGCGCGCTGGATCAGCTGCATCTATAGGCGGAGGAGTTCATTCGTTGCATCGCATTAGAGGTGGTGTTCCAGAGGAAGACTTGGCCGTGGAAGATCTGGGAGAACTGCGTGATATTTCTGGATACAACATACACGGCAATACTAGGCGACGCTTCTCTGAACATTCACCACACCCGGAACCGCCATTCTCGTCTTTCGCTCCCCCGCTCGAGAACCGTGCTCTGGAGAATGTGCGCAAGGCTCACTGGCAGACTTCTCTCGGCTTTGGACGTATGGCCGACATGCCTCAGAGCCGCCGTCACTCCTTTGCAGATATTCCGATGCGTCATGGTTCAATCGGTTCGGTTGACTCCCTCAATTCTGCCGCTCCTCGTGCAGCTATGGGAGATCGCGAAGATGGTTATGGCATCAATGACTACTCTAACCGTGAGTACATCCACTCAATATTTTGTTACGTGCTAACAGCTTTGCAGCATCATACTATGCCCGTGAACAGACCTTGCGTGGCGATGGCTCCTCGGGTATCCCTGCTTCTCTCAACCAATATGCCATGTCGGGTGCGTATGGTCGCCAGCAACCCGCCTTGTCCCACGCCCACCAGAATCAGCTTCTATACCTCGTCACTTTCAAGTGTCACCGCGCAGATGTTTTCTACATTCAAGAAGACACCGGTCTCCAAGTGAACAAGGGCGATTTGGTCATTGTTGAGGCGGACCGGGGCACAGACCTGGGTACCGTTCAACATGCAAACATCTCTTTACAAAAAGCTAGAGAGATGAAGCAACAATATGCTGAAGAGCATTACAAGTGGCTTATGATGTTCTCTCGGCAGGGTCAGCTTGAAGGTTCCAACGTCACCAACCCCACAAGTCCGAATGCTAGAAGTGCCACCGGTGGCATGGGTCCTCATGGCCCACACAGTGTGCAGGAGCCTACAACCGACCTCAAGCCTAAGCTCATCAAACGCCTGGCGCAGCCCCACGAGATCCTGACTTTGCGTGACAAGGAAGGAAACGAGGCCAAGGCCAAACGTGTCTGCCAGCAAAAGGTTGTTGAGCATCGTCTGAACATGGAGATCCTCGATGCTGAGTTCCAAATGTAAGTTTCCTCAGTCTTGTTACGAATCAGCGACTAACTTTTTGGCAGGGACTGGAAGAAGCTCACGTTCTACTACTTTGCGGATTCATATATCAACTTCAACTCGCTAGTAACAGACCTCTTCAAGATCTACAAGACTCGCATCTGGATGTCCGCCATCAACCCGGCCTCATTCGTCACTCCCCCAACCCCCGGTTTACCCGGCCCAGGCCCAGGCCCAGGCTCAATGCCTAACCCGCTGTACACCCAAGAGACTCCAGACCGCCGTCATCAACACGATGGCAGACAACATGGAGCGCGAGAGCCCATCGACACAGGCCGTGATATGCAGAACCCAGTGGGCATGCTCCGCACAGCCTATGGCGACACCTACCAGCCTTTCACCCAGCCTTCTCGCCAGCAAGACTCATCCCAGTCGGATCCCTTCGCCGCATATTCTCCGCCGGCATATGGTCCTCTCGATGGAGCATTCGATTACGGTGCTGCCAGTGCTGCCTCCAACAGTGCTACACGCCTACACCCAGCGCAAGGTGAATGGGTCGGTCGATTCCAAGGTCTATCCCTTAACTCCTGATATTCCATATCGAAAGGATTCCGCATGGACTCGATTGCGTTCTGGATAGAACAAAGACGCCGACAACATGGGCTAGTCCGCCGGACATGTCCTGGAATCAACCATCTACGTCGTCTCTTCCTTCCATCTTTTTTCTTCTTTGTGTACAATCCGACCTCTTTCTTTTCATCCTTGCGTCCCGTTTTATTATTTCCGATCTTTTCCCTCGCGACACGAAAGAGATTTATGAACTTAGACTTGATCAGCCTCGTTTTCGTTTGCGGCTTCCGCGCATGTCTCTCCTTGGTTTTCCTTTGCTTTTTCTTTGCTATTGTTTTCTGCTCAAAGAATGTTTCCTACGGTATGTGATTGGGCCTTGCGTTTTTTCCGTCTTCTTTCTTTCCCAGTTTCTCATACCCTCCCAAGACTTACTATCACCCCCTCTATTCCTCCTCCACCCCTCTCCCTCAATCGTCATCAGAATCTCATCCCTTCTTTTCTCTGTGGCTATTTCCTGTACTACTGTCAAATGTTAGAATTCATACCCTGGGTCCTGTCGCCTGAACCCATGTACCAGAAAATCCGGACAGGACACAACTCCCCGCTCGGTCGTTACCATTACTTGCCCAATATTTCTATTTCTATTTTCAGTTTCCAGTTTCCATTTCCCTTTACTCTATTCGCCATAGATTTGATCTTGCATGACGAATGTTTCTTCTTTTCGTAATCCGTTTCAGATGAAGAAATGTCCATATCTTGATCCAATCTATAATCGATTCTGTTTTGATTTATCTTCTTTTCCCTCGTTTATTTTTTTGTTTGTTTCGATTGTTTGGATTTGGAAAAAAAGAATGCATGCTCGAAATTCCCTCTTTTACTTCTTTATTTCATACCTCTGCTCTTTGCTTTCGCTATTTCTTCCTATATATTCGTTAAATACAAATTGAGAAAGAATTGGCATGTGAATTTGATCGAGTATCTATGGAGGTGCGTTTCGATTTTGAATGCGATTTTGATTTGACTGTTTCTGCTCTTCTCTCTCGGTGGATACGATATGCAAGGCAACAAAAATGAGACCTTTGATAGAAAACGAAGGAAGATCGTTTTAAATTGATATATTTTGAATATCCTTATCAATATTCTAAGGCTGTAGCCTTCTCTTTTCCTTTCCCTTCTTGTCAAGTCTTCGAGTCAACGTAGCGCTTCTGAAACCACATAGCATAGAACTCAAGCAAACTTGTCATGCTTCCCCTTAACCTTAACATCAAGCAAAACCTCATGGAAATTCCCCTCCCTCCTCCCCCTCCTCAACTTCCTAACCTCATCTTCATCAAGGCCCCGTCCAACAATCCCCTCCAACTCCTTCTTACTAATCTTCTCATAAGCCTTGCTCTCTTTACTCGCCCGAATCCTCGGCTTAAACTTCGCCTGCATGCGCACGCGCATAGTCGTCTCGAACGAAATGGTACTGGCGTCCCCGCGGATTTCCACGCCGGCGGCAGCTTTGCTGTTTTCTTTGATGCAGAGGAAGGATTCGGCGTCACCGCCATGGGTCTGGAGGGAGAATGTGCCGCTGACTTCTGGGGAGGGGATAGCTAGGTAGCTTTCGTAGTGGCTTACCGCTGAAGCTGTTGCACTTAAGAGGCCGTGGCTGTCGGATGTTAGGTATCTATTGAAGGGGGAGAGATCGGTTAGCTTGGACATTGAAGGTTGAAAAGTGGGAAAGGGAATATAGAGGCGATACTCACTTCCCATGATGGCCCTTAAAACTAAACCCCTCCGTCCCTGCTACCCGCGACGCAACCCAAACCTGTCGCACATCATGTGGCTCCGCCGTGCCTGGGTCGCCTTCTACTAGGTTTTCGAGTTTGCTTGCGAAGACTTGTCCATTGGCGTCGCTGGCTATGCAGGTTGGGTCATCGGATGGTAGGACTAGGACTACTGGGCCGGCGATGTCGCTTGCTGCGTCGGCTGAGACCCAGCTTTGGTCTTCGGGGTTGGTGTCTTCGTCGGCGGCTTCGGTTGTTTTGCGTGTTTTTGGGGTTGGGTTTTCGCTATCTGTTGTGCGGACCTTGCGCTTTTTGGGCTTGTCGCCTTTGAATGTTAAGGGCTTGACCATTTTGGATATGTGTGTGAGGTTGGAGTTGGAGTTGGAGTTGAAGTTGGAGATCGAGATTGCTGCTGTGGGTCTGAGGGTGGGGGGACGACTAAGCAGGAACTATATCCGGTCAAAGGTTCTACATTATCACCCGGTTCTTGTTTTATGTCTCTTTTTATATGTTGGCATGTCATCCTATAGAGTTAGTTCTTTTGTTCATCTACCCCGCTACCTTGGTGATGTCCCTCAAGGTCCTCACCCTACATAAAGGTACTGATTCCCCAACTTCAAGGAAGAATTGTCAATTTCTCTATCCAATCAACCTCTATGAAACAAAGAAATGTCCAATCACTTCAGTCCCAAATCTAGTCAAAGGTGATGGCCGCCTTAATAGCAGACTTGTTGCGCATAGCCTCAAGGCACTCCTCCCACTGCTCAATCTTGTACACCTTGTTGACAATACCATCCACCCTAACCTTTCCAGAATCAAGGTAATCAACAGCAGCAGGGAACTTGTATGTCTCAGAGAAACTACCAAGGATAGTAATCTCATCACCAACTGGAAGGGATCAGCAAGAGAACACAACACCAGCAGCACAAAGGAAGAGAAGAACAACTCACAAATCTTGGCTGGCGACCACGAAACCCGCACCTCACTCGAGTACACTCCATACACAACAAGCTTACCACCCCGGCGAACATAGTTAATCGAATCCTCAAGGATCTTCTGGCTACCAGTAGCCTCAACAACAATGTCAAAGCCGTATGGGTTCTCAGCCTTCAAAGCATCGAATTGAGCCTCCGGGTTCTGGCGCGACAGTTCAATGTACTTGTCACCGGCGCCGAGCTTCTGAGCAAGATCCATCTTCAATCCCTGTGGAGCAGCAACGACTACATTGCAGCCACCGTTCTGGCGGAGCATCTGGGCCAGCACGAGACCGGTTGGTCCAGCACCGAAGATTAGAACGGATGAGCCCATCTTCGGGGCGATCTTGTCCAAACCGTGGGCGGCGCAGGAGGCTGGCTCGAGGAGGGTTGCGTCGATGTCGGATAGGTTCTTGATCTTGAAGACTCGGCCAGCTAAAGTGATATGTTAGCTTGGTTATTTCAAATGGTGGATTGTGATTATGTTCTACTCACCGGGGTAGGCGCAGTATTCAGCGAAACCACCGTTCATCGTCACGCCGTGGGCCTCGAAGTGCTCGCAGAACAGTTCATCGCCACGACGGCAGTAGAAGCAGGTTCCGCACAGCTCAGAGTTATCTGCAACGACACGCTCACCGATCTGGAAATCTTTGACTTTGGGTCCGATGGCGGCGACGACGCCGACAGTTTCGTGGCCGGGGATCAGAGGGAACTATACACTCGTCAGCATCCAATGAATAAACCGCCTCTTGTTCAAGACCTGAGATACCTTGGCAATGAATTCACCCTCGTGGATGTGCAAATCGGTACCGCAAACACCGCAGGCCTTGACCTTGATCTATTGATTGAGTGGTCAGCTCCCTTCTTCACGAGTCGATCAGCTTTCTTTCATACCAAGACATCATTCTCACGCAGCTCCGGCACAGGGACCTCGACGATGCTATGGTTCTTGGGCTCTGTGTACATCAGAGCCCGCATAGTCTTGGGAATATTCATAGTCTTGGGAATTATGGCCATGGTGGTAAGTAGGAAAGGGAAAAGAACAAGAGGAAGCAAAGAATCTGGAGAAACCAAAAACAAATAAGAAGAGGGGGAAGCTGTACAGGCCGTTTAAATAACCACGGAAAGAGGGGAAGGTCTGGCTTCAAAGCGCTTGATGCCCTCAACGCCTCCGAACTATACAGGCTCACATATTACATCGACACTTACAGTACGTCCGGCGGGTCGAGATCGGCAGGTGTCATACGTTTGTCTCCACTATCTCTGTTTCGAATTGGCCTACTTCGCTTCGCTTCTGAGTTCCAAAGCTTTCGTTTACAGTATGTTGGTGTTGGAATTTACGGAATGTACGTTGCCAAGTGAAGCCAAAGTGGGAAAGCCCCGCGCTGCAGCGTTCCATCTCGGGTTTCGCTCCAGAGATGAGCCTTAACTGGATCAACCATTCACCTATCCTCGATCCCTCAATTCAACGGGTAACGTGTGCTAAATCATTGAACAGCTTCATCACAGTCTCGGTCCCAATCGAACTCGGTACCTGAACTAAACTCACACAATGTCCGTGTCTCTTCCATTGCAGACACACAGACACAGGCACATTCCCTAAAACCACAAAACCGAACAAAGAAAAAAGTCTCTGCAGCGCAGCTGACCAACCCCGTCGGAAAATTCCCAGCAAATATCTCGAAGCAAAGAAGCAAAAGCACCAGATCCCATCCCAATACTCTCACCGCTCCCCTTACCCAAATCCCAAAGAAGCAACTCCCCAACCTTCCCCAAGCCCACCAAATGCAGACACGATCACGAGGATATTGATATTGATAGCTTAATTTTGAATCCGGGAAGTCTGAGAGGCGCCCAATTCGACTCGTCGAAACATGTGTGTGCTGGATTCTTGACCGCCGGTGAGGGGAATGCAGATGCAGATGGCTATCGGCTATTCTGTACTGTAGGACAGAGATGCATTGGTCACTCTGGATCTGCTGATGGGCGTTTTCTTTGCTTTTCTTTTTTTACCCCGAACTATTTAGGCCGCGATTGACATGGTTCCGTTGGGATCTGCGTTTCACTGCTTTTTATGTGGTCTCAACTTACCTTTTTGCGGTTGGGGTGCTTGGCTGGGTCTGCTTTTGTTTTTCTGAGGGCTGTGTATATGGTCTGATGCTGGTTAGGTCTTGAATTTTTTTAGCAGGTTATTCTCTTCATTGGGCTGGGGGTTGAGCCTCGAACCTTGTATATTGTTGTCCGAAACAGGGGGAGAAGATTTCTACTGCATGGTGCCCGGATGACTTGTACGTTCGTTTATTACAAGGCTTCACTTCTGACATTGACCTGTAATTGCATCACTCGAGGGTGTGGGTACTACGCAGGTATGTACTAACTGAAAATGGGTAAAAGTGAGGCAGATCTTAACCCCATAATGTGATGCGGAAGCCAGAAGCCTCAAGGATGCGAAGCTAATACAGCGGCTTATTGCTATGTTGTCCATGGCCTGATGCTGGGATAGGCTTTACATTTGCTAATTATCTTTCCAAACATAACCACACTCTTCTGTTGACGCTGACAGCCTTCCAACTAAATAAAAGACTGGCTTGTCTCAACAATGGCATCCTTCACAAGTGCCACGATCTTCTCGAGTTCCTCCTCGGTCGTAATATACGGCGGGCAAACGAGAATATGATCAACCTGGTATATGCCAGTATGGCCCAAATTCCCAAGGATATTCACACCACGCTTGAGAGCATTGGTGACCACCTTGTTGGAGAAATTGGCTTCAAGGGGAAACGACGTCTTGGCCTTTTTGTCGACCACAAACTCCACTGCCCAAAAGAGACCGCGGCCGCGGATATCTCCTACCAAGGGAAGAGGACCAATCTCGCGACAGAGCAGAGCTTCCAGCCTTTTTCCCAGAGTCACGACTTGCTGAAGTAGGTTGTCGCGGTGGAGAATGTTTTGCGCTGCAATTGCCGCGGCGCAGGCGAGAGGGTGGGCCTGTTTTATATTAGCCTGGAACGAGGAAGTCTTTCACCATCGCTAACCTGGAAAGTATGGCCATGAGCTAATCCACCAGAACCGGCGGATAGAGCTTGAAATATCTTCTCATGAAGCAAGACACCAGACAGAGGTACGAATCCGGCACCAAGGGCCTTGCCAATGGTCTGGATATCAGGACCTCGAATATCTTCTTGCTCCCAGGCGTGCATAGTACCAGTCTTACCCATACCACAAATTATCTATACCCAATTAACATTCAAATCTTCCGAAAAATCACCCCAAGGCCAGTCAAAGGGTAAAACCATACCTCATCCAAAATCAACAAAACCCCATACCGATCACAAACCTCCCGAATAGCCCTCCAATACCCGGGAACGGCAGGTACACAACCCAACGTAGTCCCAGAAACAGTCTCAGCAACAAACCCAGCAACCCTATCACCCCCAACCCTCAAAATCTCCTCCTCAACCTGCCCAGCCAACCTCTCCACAAACGCCTCATCACTCTCCCTCTCCCCTTTCATGCGGTAAGCATAACAAGGATCAACGAACGACACATTCCCAGACATGAAATCCCGATAAAACTCCCGCCGGGACTCATGTCCAGAAACGCAAAGTGCGCCAATAGTATTCCCGTGATAACTCTGCTTCCGGGCGATGAAATGCGTGCGCTGTGGCTGGCCCTTCTCGTGCCAGTATTGTACGGCGAGTTTCAGTGCTGCGTCTGTTGCTTCGCTGCCTGAGTTGACGAAAATTGCTTTGGATAGCCCGCCTGGTTTGGAGGAGAGGAGGAGTGTTGCTAGGTCCTCTGTTGCTTGGTTTGTGTATGGGCTGCCTGAGTAGACATATGCGATGTCTTGTTGTAGGTGGGTGGTTATTGCGCTGGTTATTTCTGGTTGGCTGTGGCCTAGGCAGGAGACTGAGGGGCCGCAGCTTGCGTCGATTATTTCGCGGCCGTCTTCTAGGGTGAAGGTTATGCCGTTGCCTTTTGTTACTTTTGAGGGTTTGGTGTTGAAGGTTCGGTGGAGGATGTGGGAGTTTGCCACGAAAGGGTCTGTCATTTTGGCAGTATGGGTGTTTGATGGGGATAATTGAGGATTGTAAGTGAGGATTGCAATTCAAGTGAAGGCCTCTGAGTTTTTGTATTGGTTTCGGGGGCATCTTCTTCTCCAACTCGGATGGAGTATGCCGCCGTTGACGCCGGGTGGGGAGTTGGAGTCGCCGCTGTTGACGCTGAGTCTATAGTTCGAGTATTGATTTGTAGATGATTCTCCACTTTTGAGATATAGTTCCAATCCCACTATGTTCGCCGCCATTGACGCCCTAGAGGCGCAAAATAGAAGTATAAGTATAAGTTAAAAGATACAACCTCAGAATAGCTCTCAACACCTCCTATCCAACCTCAAGCATGACAACCATCACAACAGAAACGGTAAGACCTCTTCATACCCATCTCCATCAGAAACCCAACTAACCCAAACCCAGATGTCCCTTCAAGAAAAAGGCGACAACACCCCAATAGCCTACCAAGGCCCAAATCTCCCAAACGTCCCCAAAGACCTCGTAGTAACAGACGCACTGAACCTAAACTGCGACGAACGCCTCTGGGTCCCGCAATCCCCAGACATCTGGTTCCGACCACTATGCTTCAATGTGTCGCACGGCTACTTCGTGAACATCCTACGCGTTCGCAAAAACGGCATTCTCTCCCGTCACAGACATACAGGACCCGTGCACGCGACTGTGCTCCGTGGCCGCTGGCATTATCTTGAACATGACTGGTGGGCTGAGGAGGGGGGCTATGCGTTTGAACCACCCGGTGATATCCACACGCTTGAAGTTCCGGAGGGGGTCGAGGAGATGGTGACGCTTTTTCATGTTACCGGGGCTTATGTTTATGTTGATCCGCAAGGTACGGCACTTGGGGTTGAGGATGTTTTTAGTAAGTTGATAGCTGCGAGGAAGCATTATGAGGATGTTGGGCTTGGGGCTGGGTTTGTGGATCAGTTTGTGAGATAGGTGATTGTATAAGGAGGTGAGAGGGGAATTCCTTGATGAATTATATATGGGTTGTTTCGTTATGATAGTGAAAGTAACACTCCATCTTGTTGTACAATGTCCAGCCAGTCCACTGTTCCTTTCGCCTGTGAGGTCTTTCTTTCTAGGTTCAAGCGCCAGAGCTTTTCTAGAATGCAAAGTGCCACTTCTACGTTTCGGAACCCGCGGGACTCGATCATATCGAGCATTTTGTGCCGGATACTTTTGATATGGGCTTCTTCTGTGGCTTCTCCCCCTGCAAGGAAAATCGGGAATAGTAATGTACATTCTGGGAGACTTCGAGTTGGCATCTTGTCGATGTTGGTGACCATTGCTGCCACTTCGTGGGTGATTTTGATGGATAGACTGTCTACCCGGTTGGGAAGACCTCGACGGACCACTCGGTATAGGTATAGGAGGGCTGAGCTGCGGTATGATTCAGCTAGCAATATTAAGGATTTGTCGTTTGATGGCGGGCAGGTCCATGCCTTTAGGCGGGATTCGAGGGATGTGAATGTGGCTGAGATGTCGGAAATAGAGACTGGTAAGGCTTTGGTGTAGTTGGAGGTGTGGTCCTTCAGGGATTTGATTTGGGCGTTCAGGTTAATAATCAGATAAAGGATCTCCAGAATCTCAGAAGCCAGGCCAAAGTATGAATCGGCCATGGGCACTTCGTCAAGCTGAACAAAAAGGTGTGAAGGTAGCAGCGGCATTCTGTCCAAAGCTACTGCCATTAATATATCATGATAGGCAAAGTTGCGTAAAAGCCACCGGCCAGTGGTAGCATCCTCGAAAGTCTGAAGAAGCTGTGAGGAGTCCAACCCGTTGCCAGGTTCAATAGACGTGCGAGACGAAATAATGCCGGCCGCGCCCATAAGATGCAGATACCATGCTTTGTCGTTATCTGCCATGATACTCTCCATCGAGCAAAGCACTAACGTAATTGCAAGATTAGTCTCCACATTGGCAGGACTGGACTGGAGAGAAAGACGCAGATCCCGAAGCGCAGCAAGCCGATTATGCATAGCAACTTGGTGGAAAGCTTTATCTCGCAGCGAAAGATGAGACGAAGACCACGCAATCAGAGCGTTCAGTAATGCTGAATCATGCATTGCCATTGGCAGGAAAACTAAGTGTCCATTAGCCAAGGTGCCACACCATAAAAGGGACAATCCACTAACTCGAAAGAAAAGAATTATTCTCTATATTCGTCGTGAGAAGGTGAGTAAAGGTCTGTGCATAGTATCGCAGGAAATGGCGCTGACTCGAGCGAGACGTATTATCAGAGTGATCATCTACCCAGAACAGGATAGGATCAGGCACCTGCAATATTCGAAATGCTGTATTGACCAATTGATCTTGAACCTGGGTGGATTCGTTCAGAGCTATGCTTCTGGGTTCTTCCCATGTGCACATGTAATTGAGCCGGACACACTGCTTGCAAACTGGATAGCCTAGATCGCAACGCTTTTTTCTAATCTAGGTATGAGCAAGAGCTTCGATTTGACAGCTTCGTGGTCTTATCTCTTACCGTTGTCGACATGTTAAACATCCCGTCCGTTCGCGCGTGGTTCCTTTCCGTTTGGCGATTCGGCATGGAATCCCCCGCAGCATCAGCTCTGACATATCACAATATGAACACCTAAAGCGAGGCTCTAGATGTCAGTATGGCGCCAATGGCGGAAATTAAGAAAAAGGCGATAGTCGAGCGAGCTCCGGTGAGGGGGATAGGTAGTGGATCTATGGCCGCCAATCAGCTCCAAAGCGCCAACGGCGCTGAGGTGAAAGGGACAAACAAATCTCGAGATTGGGAGTAGGAGTAGAAAAAAGTGATACTACAGATATTGATAGTTCAACCAACAACAAAAATAAAACTATCCATATTGTGCACCTCCCCTCATGGCCTTTAACATCACAGAGCCAACACCAGCTTCTTCAATTCCTGGAAATTAGGCGTCCCAAGTCCAGTAACCGGATCCCAGCCCTCAGTAGCATTCCAATGCGCACCAGGAATAATCAAGCTACCAGGCACAGCTCGATTGCTCTGCGGATCAATACCACCACATCCATAAGAAGCGCCGGCAGTAATATCATTCAGCGCCTTGAATCCCTTCGAGTATAAGAACGGATTCAAGAAACCAAGAACCGGCTTGCCAGCGCGCAGACGGGCGTCATTGAGGAGACCGATGATACCAGCGAATGTAGGTGCCGCAGCGGATGTTCCACCTGAGGCGGAGGTATTACCGGCAGTAATGACTTGGTAACTGGATTGTTTTAGACATGATTGGCTTCTTGTATAGAAGGCATTATGGAATAGTTTTGTGGACTCACTCGGGATATAAACTGTGGGCAGAAACATCTGGGAATCCACGACCCTTGAAGTCAGCATACTTCGAGTAATACTCCTTTGTTTCGTGGGTGATGTTGGTCAGGTATTTCTCGACAGCGGAGTTCTGATACCAAGCCCGAGAGAAGTAGTTGGAGAACCCGCCAGACGAGGCGTTCCAGGCTACTTCCGGGCTCACGTCTGATGTACCGCCGACTGCGGTGACGTAGGGACATGTTGCTGGGAAGATTGGGTTGAATTGGGGAGTTACGCCGTCGGTGGCCTGGCAGGCTGAGCCAACGCCTGTTGGGTTTAGTTTAGAATGTATTTCGGTGAAGATTTAGAGCACGCTTCTCACCTTCGTCACCGGAAGAGTGGATGATAGTCAATCCGCGTAGTGTGTTTAGGCCGATGAGATTGCAGACGCGTTTGGCGTACTTCTCGGGGACAGTCTGGTATACAGTTAGTAAACTGTCGACTAATGATTGGTTAGTAGGTACTAACCTGTTCATCATCTCCATAGGAGGTGGAAATAACCTGAGGCAGCTCGTCATTGGTCTTAGAGAGCAAGTACTCATGGAAAATCAGATATGGCTCGTTCTCGTCATCAGCCTCGGTAGGCTCGTCGGCATCAGGAAGGAAAGGTCTTTCAAATGTTAGCACATCCATAGAAGCCAACCAGAGAGGGTCTTCCATACGCAACGCCACCAGTAATAAATTCATGAACGGGCAAAGGGTGCGAAACAGCAACGATAAGTTGCACATCCAAATTGGCCTCGCCAATATCACTCTTACTCGCGCTCTGATTATTCACTCCTCCATTAAGCAGCTCAACGGTGAAACTCTGCGATGGGATATTGAAGCGAGATTCATAATCCGCCAGATCAGAGTACGACGCAGATTGATTCAAGAAACTCGCAAATCCAACACGACTACCGGCCGCAGGCTCGGGCGTATAATCACCAACATTATACATCTCCTTCAAACAAGAAGGTGTAATAGAAGTCTGACAAGCGGGCGAGATCTCAGTCGAAGAAGCCCTGCGCTCCTGCACCTTCTGCAAAGGCGACGGCACCGGAACAGCACTTCGAGTCTTGCCAAAGAAAACAGTGGGCGAAATGAGATCGATATAGCTAGTCAGATCATCAGGAATCGAATACTCAGTCGTGCGCAACTTGACCAAATCACCATTACTATAATAAGCAAAGCTGGCATTGAGCAGCTGGCCAATAATCTCAACGCTACCAGTGAAATTGAGCAAGGCGCCATCACGGGCGAAATTCGAGATTCCGGCACTCTTCAACCAGTTCACCACGGCTGTATCGTCCACGACGGGGAATTGGGTGTCTATCTCGTGTTTTTGGAGCCATTGGCCGTACTCGGCCTCGCCGGGGGTTGAGAGCTTGGTCAATTTCGATTCTAGCTGGTCCAGGTTCTGGCGGCTCAACGCGATGGAAAGGGCCATTGTTGAGTCTGATGAGGGAGTTTCTTTGAGATTCCAGCTGCTAGGTACGCCTCCGCCCAGACTCTCCCAGACTACACCCAGGGTGGGTGCAGCTAGGGTGCAGAGTAGCCCTGTGTAGATAGCTGGATGCATGTTGGGTCTGTCCTCTGTACACGGCGTCTCTAGGCTTTGGGGAAGCGTGCTCAGGAGGAAATTAGTCTACTTATCTGGCGGATTGTTAGCTCATCACACAATGCGTGAGTACATGTATCGTGCTCGGCAACTAGTTATGCACAACACCCCATTCGCCCTGATAGCGTAGTTCGTGTTGATCTTTCGTCGGGATAAACCGACGGAACTCCGCATTCCTGAGTGAACACAATACAAGGGTTACATTCTATCGGTTAGTAACATGGAAAAGTAGCCGATATACCTCATAAGTAAAGTGTATGGGGGCGTGGAGATTCTTCAGGATCATTAGGCAGCGTGTTTGTGGTCGTTCCTGGTTCCTGGTTCCTGGACGCGTCAGCCTTGTAGTCCAATTACATGGCAATGCCGATAACAATAACAAAGGCGTGGGCTCATACGACACTAATTCTTCAGCAACGCGAGGTCTGGAGACGCGGAGTCCGCCGGGGCTCCGAGAAGCTTGTCCTATCTAAGCTTCTGCCGAGCCGATCTGCTTGCAATATGAAACACTTAAGGATCACAGCCAATGAATTTCGTGTATTAGCAAAGTAGCATACATCCATGACTTTATGCAAATAGGGATAAAGTCATCAAGACTAATCCAGCAAAGTGCGCCTGTTCCAAAAACCGAGACAGGAACAAAAAGCAAGGGACGCCAGAACCGAAAAGAACAGAAAAGGTTACGACTCCAAGTACCAAAAGCTCCCTTGGAAGTCAACGTCCAGCGTCTGTACAAATGTGCAAGCACCAGAATCACCGATTAATAAACAAAATCATTTCAAGCCAAATCCTTCGCTGTTAACGACTGCATCAGAGAGCAGACGTAGGAATTTATCTCGTGAAGAATAGCGGTACAGACCCAGCGTGTTGAAACACGTACGTGCGATCGGGTAGCGGGGGAGTCATCTCCAAGACAGGCAAGCCGGATGCTGAGGCTCGTAGCGCCCATTGCGGGAATTCGATCGCTGCCAGTGACGAAAGATAGGATCTTGCGCTGCTGTTTTGGTGGCGCACTTTCGAAGAAATCCCAGAACCACCGTACCACAGGAACTGACTCTGGCTGTGCATATGACCAATTGTCATATGTGGCTACTGCTCGAAGAGAGTTCACATCAAGTGGCTCATCAGAGCCGCGGACGAGTAACTCAATCTCTTCTGGTCGGAACAACGATAGTGCATTGCCACCGCAGACCGTGAAGAAGCCCCGTTTAAAAGGTTCAAACTGTCGAGCAACGGCGGTGTCTAGCAGATAGTGCACGTACAGATCCACGAACTCACGTCGGTTGGAGTTGGTCACCGGTCGGTTCTCGCCTCCTGTGCAGAGCGGAACCGAGATGTTTTCTCCGTAGCGGTCAACCTGTGCGACGAAATCGTAGCAGAAAGTCTCTGCAACATCCCCTTCGAATTCAAGTAGGCCTCGAAGTCCTTTGGCCAAAACCGGTCGATACTCAGCAAGATCTTCCAGTGTGCACTTGAAGCTCGAACGCATAGAATTCGCAGGCTGTGGCCCGCTGGTCTGCGGTGCCGACGCCAGTAGCTTCTTGAAAGCAAATGGTGGGAGATCAACGTCCAAAATGGTAGAGTTGTAGATGGCGAGCCCAAGTAGAACTCCAACCAAGAAGAACTGTTCAGATGACTCAAAGCAGTAAGGATTGAAGTAGCAATACTGCGAATCGTCATCATAGATGAACAATCCATGGTGCGGATCAAAGACCTCTCGCACCAACAATAGGAACCACTCTTTCCGCAAACCACCGGCATCAATTCCCTCTTCGCCTGAGAACTCGATCCGAAGACCCTTTTTGATTTCTTCTTGGCCGGAACCAACAACCTCACTGACACCTTTAAGGCTGTCTTCAACCAGGCACTCGCGCCGTACCTTCAGTACGAGATACTGACTGACCGCCCTGTGATTGAGGATGCTATTGAAGAAAGCCTCGCGGGCTTTGACTTCCATTTGACGGCGTGCGTCATGCTCCATGATGTGAATTTTTGCCCAGATACTGAGGAAGAATGGGTACTGGCAGAACGAAAACTTCGAGCTTCGAGACTCCCAGATCTCAAAGTCTCCTATCAGATCTGAATAGTCCAGCAGTGTGTTATAGAACGCACTGATGGGGATCACGTGGCCTTGACGAGGGCCTGGGGCTTTGGGTAATTCAACGTGGCGCGGTGATCCATCGGATTTCCTCGAAGAGCCAGAAATGTTCGCAGTAAAAAGCAACGACATGATCCTTGCTGCGGCTCGGATCTGCCAGTCCTCGGCGTAGACTATTGGATCTTCGGTCTTCTTGGCAGGCTTCTTGTTCGGGCCCCTTCGATTTATAGCAGCATGAAGCTCAGCTGGAGTGTTACCCGAGGCGCTAGCAAAGCTTGGTATCAGGTCATCCCCATTTTGAGGCTTCTGAGGAGGTTTCCTTCCATGCTGTCGGCTCAAACGGTAGGTCAGGAATCCACCAATGAGCTCCACCAGGCGCTCAAAGTGGCCTGTTGAGAAACGCGCAGACCAAGATACAAAGTAGTGGTGGCAATCATTCGGTAAATTGGACATGAGGCCCAATACTCGCTTGATGATTCCATAGTGGTTGGAGCTCGGTAAACGAGGAAGGGGTTTGGTTGAGTCTTTCTGCTTGCCATTTCGGGTTGACTTTGGATATTCTTTTGGGGGCGATGGACGCCTCTCCTCGCGATGAGATGTTGATGTCGGTGCGTGCTGGGGATAAGACGTGGGAGACGATAGGATAGGATTCGCCAGCAGAATGAACAAGAACCTCGTGTCTTCTGGCCTCTTTAGGACACGGCGCGGTCGCTTGAGAAGGTTCTCAGTGGCCTTCAGCAGAGTTCGCTGTAGGTGCGAACGAGACTCGCTGATTTCCCTCCCAATGAGGGTCGGATCAACGGATGCCCATCTCCTCGCTCGTAGCATGTCTGCCTCTGAACGTTTGGGGTCAGGCTTTTTAGCCGCCCACTGCTCAGCCCACGAACTCCCCGCACTCAAAACTAAGTGATACCATTGAGATACTTCGGCCCAATTGATCCGAGGGCTTCGCGATGACACCATCCGAGACTTGGGTGTATCCTTCTCTTTGGCAGAGACTGGGGTCTGCCTTTCGGCCTCAGCCCATTCGTTCATCCACCAAGTGGAGTTCTCGGTCAAATCTCCCAAAAGGAGGGTTTTGGCATCTGGTTCGAAAACAGGGGCATCCTGCGCTGGCACAGGCATCGGTGCTGGGTCCATCTTCATTTTCGGTGGATTGCCACTGCTGGCTGATCGAAGAGGTGGATGAGTCGTAAACGATTCGTTGAGACAGTCACAGCCTTTGAAAGCAGCGACGATGGTATTCTCCAGCCGCTTGAAGATTTCCACTCGACTCTCTCGACTTTGAATATCAGGATGAGCAGACTGCGAACCGTCTTGATGACGGTCTGGCTTCGGGGATGATTGTAGGTCGGAATTTGCGCGAACTCTGACGGGTGTGTCTTTTCCCTCCCAGCGAACGGTCTGTTGGGGTAGATGCGTCAAGTTCTCCTTTGACGCGCCGACTCTTTCCTGGTCGCTAGACTGAGAAGGACTGCGGCTTCGAGAATCGCCAGCGCCCGGCACTGATAGATAGTTCGAGCCAGTATTGGAGGCTTGAGAAGAATCTTGCTTTGGCTTCTCGTACTTGTCATCGTCCAGCGACAGCCACGACTGAGAGCCCTCATCTAGAAGGCCTTCGAAATACGTGTTAAGACACCCTCCAATCATGCCACGGGTTTGATGGGCCGATAAATGGGTGACTGCAATTACAGATCAGTACATTATACGGGTATAATGGGACAAGAGTATTGGTAGTGAATACCTTTGCTTGGCGGCTTCGGCTGGGCCTGAGAGCCCTGTGAAGGAATGCCGTTGTGCCCCGTATCTTTTGACTCATGGGAATCCGGCTCAAGATCGGTAACCATCAAACAATCGGTGCATCGGAAGACTTTCAAGTGTTGGGGCCACCGCACAGTAGCATCGCACGTCTGGCACTTGCCCTGGGCAAGATCACTGGCATGTCCTCCGCGGGCTGCACCTTTCCGAGGACTTGACGACTCGGGCTCGATGGGGTAGGTAACATCCTCGTCCTCATCGTCCGAGTCCCAAGTCTCATACTTGACAGCTGTCTTATCGCGCTTTCGCCCGAAACCCGCGAACGGGTTGCTGATCGAGCGGTTGTGTCCTCGGTGGTATGAATTCTTGGGCATGCTGCCAGTTACGGATGGCATATTGGGAGCATCGCGAGGCCGGAGCTGGCGACGCGAGCTACCTTCCGGGCCAGTGACTGGTGAAGGGTGTGGAGGATTGGCAGCGCTGCCAGAGGTCGAGATCGGAGGGATGGGCGGCAGAGGACGGTCAGACCAAGACGGCATAGAGGCGCATCGAACGGGTTATTCTTGATATGTCGACCTAGTTCAGCCTCTCCAGTAAGGTATCCAGCTCGTGGAGCTTGTCACTTGTACTGGACACATGCGAGTCGGTGGACGGAGTTAGAGTAAGGCAGTCGAGTAACGGTAACGCAAGTTCAGCTTCTTTGTTCAATGGAGGACAGATCTGTGGCAGGGATGCCTCAATGAGCAATCCAGGTCAAGGTTCACTAAAAGAGCAATCTCACCTGAGAGTCCAATGGAAAGGTGAAGTTGCAGTATCTCATAGTCCCCGTGGACGGATTAGGAAAGCGCCGGAGAGGAGGTAAGTGGTCCCTTTGACGGCCTCAGGCATCAATGCCTATTTTTGGACAACCTGAAATCGCAGCTCTATTTTTGATATACCCCTCGAGATTTGAACAGGATAACATAGCGGGTTAAAGGTCATCAATTGTCATCAATTGTCATCAATTGTCATCAATTGTGTCAAATGCCCATTGACCTCCAAGCCCCTGCTGGCGATCACGGCGATCCGCGAAGGTAAACTATCCGGCCCTAGGACCTAGTACGGTGAGGCATTCAGCCAGTTCTCTCCAGGGCTACGTCTAGGTCTAATTTATAGACATAATCACTACTCAAGACTACAATTTACGGTCACCAGCGGCACGGAGTTGAACCAGTCATACTTCGTTAATAGGGGAATTTGAACATTTAACAAGATGGCTTTTTGGCTAACAGATCCGGAAGGTCTGCATTAAAGTTGAGCCTAGCGTGGGTGACACTGTCTGGGAAAGAAGTGTTCGAATAAAAAACCACATGCTGTGACCAACATTTTCCAACCCAAATCGCTGCAGAAGTGCACTACCGCACTTAACGGTAACGCCAGTAGCTCTGGGTGTTCTGGCGCTTCCAGGTGTGGCGGCGACCAGCCTTGGTGTTGTTGTAGCGGTGACCCTTGTTGATACCACGGGACTTCTTGCCGGTGGCGGTGAGACCACGGGACTCGCGGTGCTGTTGAGGAAATTTGATCAGTAAAATTCTTCTGGCATGCAATTGAATCCTGAATCAAACTCACCTTGTGAACGGGAGCGCAGATCCAGTTGATGCGGGCATCACGACGGATGGCCTTGTGCTGGGGGTCGACACAGATGACCTCGAAGTACTTGTAGGTGGAGTCCTGGTTGATCCAGTAGGAGTTCAGGACACGCAAGTTAGCAGCGCGACGGCCAACACGCTCCTCAGCGGTGGACTTGAGAGCACGCTGGTACTTGAGCTGGTTGACTCCGTGGTTGGTGGGCTTGCCTATTCACACAATCACACATTAGTAAGAGTTTTCGACAATTTTTCAACCAGACCAAAAATTCCATCTGGTCCGTTTCAAATCAAGAAAAACATACCGTAAGTGGCACCCTTGGGGACGGGGCGCTTGCGGCCACCGCGGCGGACACGGGCACGGTAGATAACGTAACCCTGCTTGGCCTTGTAACCGAGACGACGGGCCTTGTCGGGGCGGGAGGGGCGCGAGGCACGGTGGATGGCGTTCAGCTGGCGGAGCTATATTATGCACTCTCAGCAAAGTTCAACGAGTGTATAGCAAGACACATGAGCCTTTAAAAAAAGGAATCTCTTGCGTGCCACAATCATTTCCGCCGAATGAGTTTCGTTCGAGCCACCTAGCAATACCACATAAAACGGCATATCCTATGGCAGCGCACACGAGCGCTCGGCGGAGATGTTAGGCAATCGAGGGGCATGGGGTTTCTCTCACCTCCCAGCATCGGACGCGCAGCAGGAAGCGAATCACATCGGACTGCTTCTTCTTTTGGATTTCTTCCACGTACTTGAGGGCACCCATCTGGACGGTTCTATGTTAGATGAATGCACTGACGGGATGGGTGGGATGTTGCAAAAGGTGAACGTACCTTGTCGGCTTACACGAGGTCGTCGGTTGTCGTTGTCGCGAAAAGTTCGAGGAAGAAAACGACTAAAGGCAGAGGGATGTGTGTGGGACGCTAGTGATTAACCGAGTGTGGGTCCACAGCCAATCACGGGATTGTGGCCTTGGAAGTCAGGCGCCCACTGGGATTTTTGCCTCAGGCCAAATGCTACAATACAATATGTGACCCTGCTACACACTATAGTTGCATACTTTTGATTGAAAAAGTTCTCATCAAAGGAGACGCTGAATTCATATGGTAAAGGAAACTCATCAAATGCTCGATCGCGCGAGTCAAACGCCATGTTCCATGCAATCGCCACCAAAACCGCAATGCTAGATCAATGCAAATATACAACCGTCGTTCATCCATCGCTTGTTTCCTTCGTTTCTTTCCTTCTATCCCAGTAGAGGACCCATTGTGAACGTCTCTCAGAATATATTCCAGACAAAATATCAAACACCCACTCTGCGTTCATACGGAGCGCCTCGAAAAATGCTCTCGTTGAACCATTTCATTGGTCACAGCAATATGACAACTTCCCGGGGGTAAAACACTCTTCTTGCATAGAGGACACAAACAGCTGTTCTCAATAAGGAATGGATCAATGCATCCTGAGTCAAATATATGGCCACACGGTAGTTCACGGACCAATGACGATCCCGCGACAAAGTCATCGATGCAGATAGCACAAGTTGTTTGAGTATGGCTCAGTCTGTACTTGGCTTTTTGAGACTCGTCTGTATCACCTTCCTCGGGTTTGATGTACACTGGCTCCGGTTTCTTGAGTCCAGCATCGCCCAGATGGTGATGTTCGTTGGGAGACGACGGGGCGGTATTATAGCCAGAAGCAAGTGTCACGTCGTCATCAGGTGTATTCAGTCGAGTAATTGTTGTTTCTTCTTCTGGGTGGATCTCGAGGTAGGTGTAGAGTGGCATTTTGTCAACCACCTCTCGAGGCGCCGTCATTGGAGTCATTGTCAAAGCTTCGATGTCGATTTGGCCGTCATTGATACGTCTCAAGAGGATATCTCTTCTCTTCCGTAATACAAGACGGTAGATGACGACCAGCAGCAGACTTAGTACCAGGACCGTACCCGCAATTGCGAGAATAAAAGCCCAGAGACTCGGCATTTGTCCAGATGAGGATGTGTCTGTGATATATAAGTATCCGATTTTCAAAGTGATAGAAAGTTATGACTTACCGATATCCACTCTAGCAAACAATCGATCGCTCTTAGGCTGTACAGCAAATGCCTCGCTGGAGTTGCCTTTGGTGGTGATATTTGACCCCGTGTCCGAAAAGTGAGAGAGGTCACTTATTAATGTCGCTCCAGCTGCACCCGGGATGGCATAAACTGGGTAATTGTTCTCCATCCTCCACTGATTACCATCGTTGATTGACCACCTGGGATCATCTGACGAAGGCGGTATGTCGGTCTCATTGAGTGATGGTTGGAAAAAGATCAGCCCATGCGATCCGGCTTTCCGTGCGGCATTTAGATAGGATGAAGAGCACTCGGCGGTAACCCAGGGAGCGAGACCAATAAGGGAGTATCCAAACTCCGACACATCCTCATAACGGGTCACATTTGATGGTACAAACGAAGCTGTAATGTTGTTGCATGGATCTTCAGGCTCTAGGCTCGGTACGAACAAGAGACCTGCAACTGACTCGGTATCGGGAATACCGTTGCTTGATATCATCTGAACTTTGTGGTTCAGAACGAATCGATAGCTGACATAGTCCTGTATAGCGTCAGAATTGGTCCTCATGCTTCCCTGGTATCTTTAAAAAGAGGGTACTCACATTGACAGTGGAGGTGAAATTTGAAGCGTGCCCGGGGCCTGCATAAAGCGAGGCCACTTTCCCCACCGTTTCATCTGGAGTATTTCGGGACATGCCTACAGTCGACATGGTATATAGAATGTTGAGCAATGGGCTCTCGGATTGTGTAAAGTAGGGATGAGAGCTGATGCCCAGATGATCTAAACGAGGGAAGAAGTCGAGATTGAAATGGAGTCAGGAAAGGCATTGCAGTATATTTAGACAAATAAAAAGTATTGGATTTGATCGATCACGGCCAAAAACTGCTAGATTGAGCCCTACAGCGGAAGAATGCGAGAGTTTAATCGGGACCGGCACAAGAATGTGAACAACACTGGTCCCGACCACGAGGCAGGAGGCAAAAACGCCATTTCCCCAGGATCTGCGTTTCAGATTCTGAAGAAAACATCATAAACGAGCAAGAATGGCCGAGCGCGTGGTCATTGCTGTTCTATACTTTTCCGCATTGGACTACGCCGTTCGCGGAAGTGACGCTTATAGAAATGATCGCCACAGGCAACTGTTCAGTACAAGTACATAGGAGTGCTATCGATCAGTTCATAAGTCTGGGCATACGCTGGCCATTTATTTGCCTGTTTAGGTTTGCAAAAACAAAACTCACTTCGGGAGGCTCCTGTTTCGGAGTTGCCGCCAAGGCCATTCGGTGTTCTCCGCAGAATGTTTAGTCTATACAGATCCGCCCCAAAGCTCAAACGCCATGCACATTCTTGTAGGCTGAGCCATGTGTGAAACTGAGGCTTGATCACGAGTCTATATTCCGTATACTTCTAATGGAATCAACATAGAAGCTGTACTGTGTGTACAGTAGTTCCCCAGATAACCTCGATAAAAGCACACGTGATGATAAAAGAACATGTCACGTGTAGTTTCGACCGCCAACATCGTCACCTCTTAGCTTTGTAGTTCATCTGTGACCTCGAGGATCTCTAGAACCGCGTCAGCTTCGCTTTGTGAGAACCTCAGAGGTGGCATAATCTCCTCCTACTCATCTTCATTTCAAGTGACCAACGACAGCATGTGTTGGTCCAGCCCCATCCATACCTCCTAGAATCATCTCTGTCGACCGATTTATCGTCTGATTGATAGCAAGTACCGCTGCGATCAATCCATCTTTCCCCTCTCACCTCCCACCTATCTCAAACAACATGCCTTCAGCTTATAAGAGCAAAGGCAAAGGCCGCGACGCACGCCAGTCGCGCAGTCGCAATACCACTCCATCCAGCGCTAGTGCCCCTACGATTCCAGGACCTCCGCTTCAGAATTACCTGGAAAATGATGTAACCAAGCTCATTGACCTGGCTAATGGCCAGTATGCCGATGTGTTGGACTTGTTGGCCGCGCAGAATATCCCAGATTCGAAAACGCTTGAGGCCTTAGTGGAACACCTGAAGAGTCTCAGTGACATGGCTGATGCTCGGGGTGAGGTCTGCAATGCGGGAATGCGGGAGATGTCTCAGAAGCGCAAGGAAGTAATGGAGGACCAGGAACTTGATCGTGAAGTCCGAGACCGAGCAAGACTGAAGCGCGAGACAGAAGAAGAGGATGATATCCACAAGGGCGGGAAGCTGAAAAAGCGGAAAGAGCGCGCAAGTGGGAAGGAGGAGCGTCCATTGACTCATGGAGCTCACCAGGTCGGGCGTCAGGATGGTGCTGAAACTAAGATTGAGGGAGGTAAGAGAACCAACTCGGCGCTTTATTTCCATCCTTTGTTTTCACTTGCGACTCACCTCTTCTCAACCCTCAATTTTACTCCATATTCCCCACTATTTCGACATGTACTGACATTTCCAGCGGCCTCCCCAGCATCGAAAAACTCCAAGCGCGCTGCATCCGATGACAGCTCCTCGCTTTCACCACCCTCTATGATGTCTCCCAACGGTGTGACCACCGCTGGCGATGGTCCAGCTCCCCCGGCTCCCCCGGGTCTGAAACAAGTAACGAGTCACACCAGCCTGAGCCTGCCCCGGCTGTCCCTCAAATACAAGTTTTCGGTGATAATCCGCTGAAGTTTGACGACCCTACCATTTACCACATCCGCGATGTTCTCCCAGATATGACCGACGAAGATAAGAAAGAGATTTACAGCGTTGCCCGATTCCCCAAGAGCGACCTCGCTCACATGCTAGCTGGTGTTGCACCCGACAAGGACTTTAGCAACGCGAAGCCATCCAATCAAGTCAGCGCCAATACTTTCCTGACATACATTGAGCCATACGTTCGGCCTCTTACCGAGGAGGATATTGCCTGGTTAAGGGAACGAGTAGGTCAATTGCAACTATCGCCCTGCGACACAAGCTAACATGATACAGGGGGATCGCGTTACCCCATTTATAATCCCACGTCGCGGAAAGAAAAGCTATCGTCAGCTATGGGCAGAGGAAGATGGTGTATCCTACGATTCGAGCCAAGATGACAAGGATCAGCTCCCGTTGAACCAAGGTCGTGGCAGCATCGACACATTGACTGATGATAAAGCGGAAACCAACGAGGTCTCCGTTGGGCCCCTCCTGAGCCGACTCTGCTCTCTTCTGCGTTACGAGCACCGAACCCTTCCCGACGATAATGCAAACTCAGCCACAAGCGAAGGCGGCCTCGGCGGAGACGCAATGGAGCTTGACCAGCCGAACGGCGAACCAGAAATCAAGACCGAGAAACAATCACAACCTCCTGCAACAGCCTTCCGTGATGCCGACCCAAATGGCTTCAAGACCTCAGTCGCAAAGCTCGACCACGCCCAACTCGACGAACGTGCCAAGGCCGAGCTTCGATATATTGGATTCCTCGGCGCGGACGATAACCCAGACTACGACGCACACTACGACGATGAGGTTGCCGAACGTCTCCGCCTGCTACAAGGCGAGCTCAAGAAGCAAATTGTCACCAATAACGCGCGCAAGGCCCGTATCCTAAAGATCGCCCAGGAGCACATGGCCATGCTGGAATTCACCACCATTCAAGACGACCTCGACACTCAGGTCCAGCAGGCCTACCTCAAGCGCACCCGAACCATGGGCAAGAGCAAGAAGGGCGCTCAGGCTAAGCACCGACCCGGCGGTGCAGGTGGCGGCAGCCACGTCGCTGGCGCTGCGGGCGTGTCTCGTCCTGCTGTTGGAGACGCTGCCAAGATTGTTATGGACCGTCGTCGGCGCTGGAACGAGGCTTTCCTGCCTATCTTCGATGATATCAAGACTACGATTCCTTCAGAGGGAGAGTCGATCTTCGACCCGGCTGTTATGGCCGAGCATGAAAAGGCTGAACTTGAGAACTGGGAGGAGGAGTAAAATCCGTCACTTGACTTGGATCTCTCCTCTCCTTTGACTGGTCTTGTGTCTCTTCCCTTTTCTGATCTCTAGCAGCTTCGCGGAGGCTTCTTGTTCTGATTCATTTTCTTGCACGATACGATACGAATGGCATGACGGGCTGGCGGGCGTTAGCGGATACCTTTTTTTTTTTTCTTTCCCAGTTCCACTGCCATGTTAGATTCGGAGACCGGGCGTGGACTCGTCTGTGCTTATTGAGGATGGAAGGCATTGTGTTTGTCTGTATTCGCGCGAAGAGAGTAGTCTCTCTACTACGTCCTGTATCTGGCTGGTCAGATGTGACAGTGTACCTTTATTCTTTAGCTTATTATTATCAATAAGTGATCAATCTCTTCACAGACTTGCTCTGTATCTTAAATTGTATTTCAACCTCGATATCATGAGACTCATCGAGGGTATATATAACCAGTAAAACTAGGGGTATCGATCACAACCAAACATTGAAAAAGCAAAAGAAACGCCAACCTTGGAATGCAACACTTTATCAAAACCATAACTCACCTCACCGATGCAGAATCAAAACTTCCCCAGGATACCTCTTCAACCTCGCCGTCAACTCCCTCTCACTAAGCTCCAACTCGGTACAAATCTGATCAAAACAATGCGTCCCATCAAGATACCTCTCCAAAACCCGATCATCAACCTCCTCAACCTCATACTCCTCAAAATTACCCGCATTAACCCCATTCCTACTCCCACTCAAAACAGACCCAGCCCTCTCCCAGCTCGACTCCCGCCCAGAAAGCGGCCCTTCATCCCCAACACTGGAAACAGTATAGGGCGTCGTAGTCCCCGTCGTAGCACGGGACGAGGAACCTGTAGCCACAGGAGTTGCCGTGGCCGTATGCGTAGGCGTAGGCATGAGAGGAGAGCCCGCCGCGCGCGGGGCGGGCGCAGCGTGGCTGGTAGCGCAAGCGTATTTGTGGACGCGGTAGAGGAAGCCCTTTATTACGCCGAAGGTGATGAAGCGGCGGATGTCGATGTTTGCTAGGGCTCTGCTGTGTTGAGCGTACCATTGTTTGACGCTTTGGCCTTGTTTTAGGCTGGCGTAGAGCTCGACTAGGCCTACCCCATCTACTATGGCTGGTTTGTGGAGGGCGTTTGTTTGGTGGTTTGAAGTGGAGGGTGAGATATCGCTGGATGAGGAAGGTGCTGGGGTTGTGCTGTTGTTATTGTCGTCTGTGGGGTCCTGGTCGCCTGTGTCTTCTGCGGGTCCGAGAAGGGGCCAGATTTCTTCTGCGTCGAAGCGAGAGTCGTCGCGGGTTAGACTTGGGGCTTGGTCGGTTAGGGAGCTTGAGAGGGGTCCCGTGCCGCTGCCGTTTGCGCTGCTGCCGCTTGGGGCGAGGGATGCAGGGAGGGATGAGCTTGGGCCTACTGGGAGGTGTGGTGCGAAGCGGAGGTTGACGTAGCGAGCACATTCTAGTTGCATTGCTTCGTCGCAGCCGATTGTTGAGCTGATTTGGGCGGTCGGGGCGTATATGGCTGCGAAGGAGAAGATGTCCAAGAGGAATAGACAGCCGTAGTAAAGGAGGTGACGGATTGCACGGCAGGTGAGAGAGAAGTCTGTGTCTGCTAGAATGGAAATGATGCGGACACTGTTGACACCGTTGATATGAGGGACAATCTGATGTGGTCAGTTATTGTGGCCCATGGAATGAGGGCATCGATTCACATACCCGCTGCATGGTCAAGTCCCAGTTCTCGTCCATGAAGGCCTGATACCGCAGGGTGAAAAGCGGCACATGCCATGCCTTGACTTGCGGAGGAGAGGGATAGATTGGGAACAGCTTAATGTTGAGAGTATTCAACTCATCTAGCCAGAGATTAGCAGCAGAACTGTGTATGCATTTCAAGGACATACCGATGGGAACCATGCACTCGCAGTAGTTATTCAAGTCCTCCATCAACATCTCACAGAGACTATGCACCTTCCCCTCCCCACTTCTGGAGAAATCACGGGATAGGAAGCCATTCTGCTCCTCCAGGCCATGCATCAGATCCGCTATCTTCTGTACCACGCTCTTATACGTGCTAAAGTCGTCCTCTTCGGCGAGAACAATGCAGAAGTTGAAAATGAACTCATTGCGATCATATCGCGCCGACTTCATGCAAATTGGGTAGCCCAGGATACGGTATCCATTTGTGCAGACTTGCAGAAGGTTTCCGCAGAGCTCCTGGCGGGGGATCACGAAGAAGGAGACGTCGGAGAAGGTCAGGTAGAGTGACTGTGCAGGTGCCGTGGGGGAGGGAACAATGGCTCCATCAGGGACTTGGTGGACGACTTTGGGACCTGGAGATAGTTAGTAGTTGACAATGCATTGCAGGGGTTTCACATACCCTCTTGCGTGTCGAATTTGCTGTAGAAGATTGCCTTGATCATCGTGGGGGTGATGTCGCGGGGGGTTGGAGGGACACTGCTTGGACCATGAGGCGGACTCAGTATTCAATAAAGCAGCGCAACTATCCGAGGACGATCAGACCTGGTCGCATACAGCCAGGGAGCCAGCAACAATGTACAGTGTGAAGTGGCATGCGGAGATGCGGAGATGAGCTACGAGCTTATCGGGTGTTTGCTCTATTTGCATCAACGCTCTACAGACAGGAACACAATATGGAGTACGAAATGTTGAGCATTCAGATCAGATAGAATGTGCTAGATGAATAATAACTTTTGCCGTTTTCAAGTCCAAACAAGAGCACCCGTAAAGAACAGAGAAATCGAGGCACGGCAATGAAAGGTAAGGGTATTAAGTGAGACGCAGGTAGCCAAGGAAATCTATGCAGCAGCAAAAGACTCTTGTGAATATCGAAAGGGATAATGGGGAAAAGACGGGGAAAGGAAGGGAAAGAGAAGGAGGAGCCAGTCCACTTCAGACAATGATAGAGAGAAAAAGATGCGCCGGAAGAAATGCATACAGTTATAGCGAAGCCTTGAGCAAGGATCACAGTCAAGTCAGAGCAGTCATCGAGCCGTGCCAGAAGCAGGATTGGAGGCAGGTGGAAGAGCCGGGCTTGCAAGGATGCCTTCTGGCAGCGAGAACGGGTATGAATCAGGAAGAGACGCAGCAGCGATCGACACAAAACGAGCCCCATTACGATGGCGCTGAGTGCGCGTATCAGAGCCGACGCTCAAGGGTTGGTTTGCACGAATGGCATGAACCATGTCGCCGTATCCGCCGCGTTCTCCAGCCTCCTTCAGCCATTGTTCCCAGTCCTCGTCGAGAGGCACATCGGCCCCTTGGTCGCGCGCAGCCATTGCGGCGAGAAGCCGGTTGTTCAGTGCAACACCGCAGCTCTCCATTTCCTCGTCACTGTATTCCTCCTCGGCCTCGTGCTCTGCTCTGTCGGAGGAGTGAGTGCTCGGGGTGCGAGAAGCGCTTGGACGGACGGTGTCGTTACTCTGGGTCTCGATTATCTGATCCTGGTCCTCTGTCCTGCAGAAGTCGTCGAAGTAGTGGACCTCGATGGAGGGAAACGGTAGGGGTGATGCTGGTCGGATCGACTGGGCAGTGGTGTCCCGCACTTTGGTCCCTTCTTCAGCCTCGTACCGTTGTCGCGCTGACTTGGTCCCCTCCCATCTGCACAGGTCTGAGATCTCCTCCTCGGTTAATTTGAGCTCATCAAAGACTCGGAATAATCTGCGATGCCATGGGAAGCGACTCAGTCGCATGCGATGCGGCCCGTAGGAGTAGTCCAGCCCTGGGTATTGCGCTTCGATGCAGTCTAGCGAACCGTAGAAATGGGATGTCTCAACGCGCACTTCAGGGACGAGGTTTCGGGTAATGTGAGCAGCAAACGACCCCGGTTCGTTTGTGCGAGGTCGTGGAAACGTGGCGTTATACACGATCTGGGCCAGCGACGGTTTACGCATGTTGATGGTGAGAGTAGACGCGAGGTGAGTGTGAGAAGTGCAAATATTAAGGAGGCCCCTGGAATGTCCAGAAACCAGGATCCCTTCCCCTTTGTCGGCAAGAAATGAGAGAGTCTCTGAGACTATGTTAAAGTGAAGTTCTCAGGGAAAAAAAGAAAGACCGATCAGGTGCCCAGCTGACGTTTCGGCTCTTTGACCCTTGAGGATTGGAGGTCTCACAGGCATGAACTATACACATTGAGACCTCTTAGGGGAAAAGTGAAGAAGAAGAAGGGAGAAAATCGGAAGAATGGGGCGTATATAACGCATGCGCTGGCAAATGGCTAGATCCGGTGTCCTGCACGGCCAGCTGTTCCGACTAGTACTCTCATAGGTACGGAGTACAGGTACGAACTACGATTTACTCGAATCAGATAGGTCAATACTATGCATTTCACTCTATTTAGACCAATAAAGATTAAAGGATATTCCTCGTTTCTTCTTTACTTCCACGTCACGTGCATATCCAACTCATCCATACATGGTGTGGACTTGTCTTTGCATCCCGTCTGACCTAAGAGTGGCCATGTCGACCTTTGACGGCATTGTTGAAGGTGAGACCCATTTTTCCTGCGTCACTTCGGTGTTAACTGTTTGACAGAGTTTCCCGACATTCGGAGTGAGCCTCACTTGCCTCTATACGGCGATGTCAGCTAAACAGAAGCAGTCGATTACTTTCGGAAATGCCCTGAGCGGCCTGCGCCACTGGCGTGCTTTCTCAGCCATGTGCATAGTGACCATCTGCAGGGCCTCGAGTCGTTTCGAGCGCCGTTCATTTACTGTTCGCCAGCGACGCGCGAGGTATGTCGTATGGCATCACTGATATCACTCTCGCTAACCCTCACTTAGCTATTATTACGGATTGAGCAGTATCCGCATAGGATGAACTTTAACAAAGGTATCCTGGAGTCACGCAGATTGCATTATAAACATCTCGCAAAACTTCTGGTATTGTGTTCTGAGCTCCCTCGGTTGAAGCCAAAGCTTATCCTTGAACAGCGCCCCATCCCGTTGAATACTCCAACAGAGATTGACCTTACACCTCGACGACGTGTTAGGGTAACACTATTTGATGCCAATCACTGTCCTGGGGCGGTGATGTTTCTGATCGAAGGAGACGGCAAGGCAATCATCTACTCTGGTGACATCCGAGGTAAGTATACAACCTGTGTACATTGATACCATGACTGAGTACCTTTAGCTGAGAAATGGTGGGTCGGCAGCTTAATTCGCCATCCCATCTTGATACCATACACTCTAGGTCAGAAACGGCTGGAGAAGTTGTACCTGGACACCACCTTCGCGAGCAAGAAAAATCCATTTCGAGAATTTCCTTCCAAGGCTGAGGGT